ACGAGTTTATATATATATATATCTATGTCTGTGTACGTGCGGGGTTAACTTTCGATTTCGCGCTGTTGACAAATTCCTGGCATTCTCGCTAATATTCCTCGCGGGCTTTTCACATGGTTTTTCTTTTTTTTTTCGTTCTCCCATCGAGCGGAAATGGCAGCCATTGTCAGGGCCAAGTGGCCGATTCTTCAGGAGGAGGCCTCTTAACTCGGACTTATGGCCACTTGGCCGCAATTAAAGCCGGTTTCGTTTGAATATTAATGGGCACATTAACCGCAAATTGCAGCCAGACTGCAATAATTACGTTCGCGCGAAAAAATATATTCCATGTTGCGCTGGAGACCTAAATATTTCATTAATTTTAAGTTGAGTAAGGCAAGTTGGAGGGAGTTCTGGGAAAGTATTTAGCCAAAGCTGCAGTACTGCAGTTCTCAAAGGCAGATCTTTTCTAAGCACAGACAAAGTCTTCTTTTTGTTACATAAATTAAATTTATTTTTAAAAGAGGAAATCCGTAAAAGGGCCACTCAAACGAGACCCACACGAACAGATTTTCTGCACTGCACCAACGAAAAACAAAGTCAATTGAGAGCATGGCCGAATGTCAATTTTCGGCATTTGGAAAATGGAATTATAGAGCGGATTTAGGGGTCAGTGGCTGTGCGCTGCTTTGGTCATCATCCAAATGGAAATACAAATTTATGGGGATTATTTATTTGCCAGCTTTCGAGGGGGAAAAGTGGCAAAGTGGAAAATAGAAGCCACAAGATGATTCTGTGTAAACAAGCAGATGTCAGTCGAGCTGTTGTTAATTTATTGTTGAATCGGGTTAGGCAAACGTTTGTTCAGCTGAACTAATTTGCAAATTGCGTTTTGTGGATCCGAGTATTAATTGGAGGGAAATGCTAATACCCCCGGGCAACTACTTCTATTTAATCAGACCTCTGCCGTAGCTTCAGCCAATTTCCAGTTAATTGCCTTGTTTTCATTTGCATTTGCAGTAACCTCTTCCCGGGGACTACAAGAGCTTTAGAAAATCTGCAAAATTTCCTCATCCAATTGCCAACAGAACAGAACAATGTTGTTCAGCTGCTCAGGCCCCGAGTTTTCTTGGCTCGGCACGCAGAAAACTACGCAAAACATTTTGTAAATTGAATTTTATTTGTTGAGATTTTTGCGGGGCGCTCAAATGTAATTGAAATAAATTCTCAATAGAATATCCGCCGAAGTTGGCGGAAGCTGATGGCAGGCAATGAAATTATTTGTTTGTTATTCTGGCAGCGCTGTAACGCTCTGCAGAATCCAGGCAGCAAGGGGCCAACTTCCGTTGCGGCAGGTCAAAGCATAGAAGGAGCGCTTCTCGATTTGATCTGGATAAGTAGAAAGGGCGGGAGAAGAGTGTTTGAAAATTAAATGAAATATATGCCAGTCATAAGGTGGATTTTCATCAGAGAGCGAGAGAGAGAGGGAGAGGGCAAATCGCTCAGCGGAATAAATGGCACGTTCATCATACGCCCCGTGTACACAATTTGGCAGCTTTATTTATATACCCCAGCATGAGCGCTAGCATATATCCCACACAGAGACCCGCCTTATGTTTTCACGCAAAACGTTTGCTTTTCAATTATATAAACATATTCCGATTGTATTCAGTGGCGGGGCCGGCCAGTGTGTGCATTAAAATTATAAATTGTTTGAACAGCCAAAGGCAGAAATAAATAAAACACAGCCACCACCAACACATCCGAATTGAATCGAATCGAAGCGAAATGAAAGCGAAGCGCATAAATAACTGACCAAATGTACTCGAAACTTGGAATAGCTGTGGGCTCATTCACTCAAAGGGCGGGGTGTGGTGGCACCTCCTTGGGAACTGCAACAAGTGAATGGAAGCTAAGCGAGCGTCAAAGGCCAAGCGACGCCTGACATTGAAATGTCGGTCTTGTTCGTTTGTCACGCCTTTCAAAAAGCCAACACACTTGGCAATACACTGGACAAAATAGGTATTTCAGAGTTTTAAGAAAGTCAAAACTCAAAGAAAAGCCCCTTAAGCCACCTCAAATAAACTTCTAAGTTGATCTTAGTAGCTCTCCCTCGTAAGTCTCTGGCTTAACTACTTCTAAATACACTTTAGCCTGTACTTTCTCTCAGTGTACCCAACACAAACAGACACATTTGCAATACACGTTTCAATGGCTGCCAGTGAAATATTTGTTTGGACTTCAAGAGGCGCCACCGCGTTGACAGCTGTCAATGAAAAGGGGGTGAAGGGCAAAGGGACCTCAATGTGGGAGTGGATAGTGCAAGGGGGTCATCATCAGAGGGAGTGGGTGGCAGAGACAGCTGTCCCTGCTCTGATTAGCGCTGCGGCTTTCCGCAGTTTGCGGAATGCGCTGGCGAATTGGAAAACAATTTAATATGCCAGCAAGCACAATGGAATCATCGGGGAAATCGCTGTGGTCTGCGATACCGAATCGTGGCCCAGCTAATCGCTCGGAAAACTCTGAATGGGGAAAGCCTGGAATATGACCCCTCCCCCCTGTCCAGCATCAGCAACTAAATCCCTTCGGAGCTGAGCTGGCCCCTCGTGGATTTCCAATTAATCTCTGTTCAATATTATGATGTCTAATCAGGAGAATCCTGGACGGGACAGCAGGACAATGCGGCTCGGAGGCCACAGGAAATTCCATTATCCCTGATTGTCCCTCAGTGTCCGTATGTGGAATTGTATGCTATATGAGGAGCTGCCTGGTTATGTGAGTTTACGGCTTGTTGCACAAATTAGCATGCCCCATTTGAGCCGGACGCCGAGGCTAAGCAAAGATTTGCTTAAATACATTCCGAAGTCGGCAGGAATTCTAAGGGCAAACTCACCGACCACAAGCTACCCGTTACGGGTGTGTACTTAATAAATGTAATTCATTGTGTTTGCATTTAATGAGGCGTAATCAGATCATTTAATAGCGGTAAACTCGGCTTACTATTAAATTGATTTTGAATATTTGATTTGCTTGAATTTAATCAGACTTGATGATGAGTCGGAATGGAAAAAGTGCTAAATTTCTATGAATATTTGATGGGATATATTTGATTAATCAGGGTTGTGATTAACAGCGACTTCTTAGATACTATTTTTAGTTTTTTCCTCATTTTTTCATACTTAGTTTTCCTCCAATTTGTATAACCCTTTAGTTAGCCTTATAAATATGCTGCCCACAACCTCCCTGAATAATTAATGATACCCTGTACAGCCGGCCAAATAACCGCCGAGTAATGAGCAAATCAAATCGGCAAACAAACGGACAGCGGTGAAATCAACTGTGAAATTTATGACAGTTTTCCGGTTAGCTTGAATTAAGGATAATAAGAAGGGGAAGGGGACAGGAAAGGCCCCAGCAGAACTCCGACTTTATTTAACTAATTTTGCATTTTCAATTCGAACTCGACTTCGGCTCAGTCACGTATTCCTGCTGCTGGAACTTTGACCTGTTAAGCGCATAAAAATGACAAAAACGCTACGTGACTCATTAGCCGGGTTTTGCCCAGGAAAAGCTGGCGGGAGAAAGTCGATGTGGGAAAGTGAGAGTAGAAAGTTCAGCAGTTCAGCAGTTCACGAGTTCATGGGCTCAGCGACGGACCCGGACTTGGCCAGCGCAATTAGTTCGGTAAGCTGCTCCGGGCGGAGCACATACGCAGCCCATATACGTACATATGTACGGACATATGCCGGGGAAACGGCACATCCTTATCCTTATCCACAGGACTCCGGCTTACATACAGCTCATGCGTTTTTATTTCCATTTCGGGCCCATAAAAACGAGAAAAGGCCGAGAGAGACCGACCCCAAAAAAGCCAAATTGCAATGCAAATTTAATTTGGCTGCCATAAAACTCGACGAAAGAAAAACGGGTGGTGTTTGCTGTTTGTTTTTTTGCGATGGGGGCCAGACAGTCGTAAAACAGCAGCGGAAAAATCGAAGATTTTCCGGTGAGGGGGGAGTATGGTGGAAGGAAGAAGGAAAAGCGGCGGAGGCAGCTGCATGCGTGGCTGCCCCACCAAGCCGGAAATGCAATTTGTAATTTTGTGCAACGATTTGTTGCAATTAATTGCCGCCCCACAGCTTGCCCCACCAGCCTGCCACACCCTCCACCACCCAACTGCCTTCAGAGCGCGCCAGACCGCAAGACACGGAAACCTCAATATTTATTTTTTTCTGCTTCGATTTTTTTCTGGCTGCAACCATTTTTTTTTTCGGATTTTTGTTTTTTGTTGGCGGCACAGAATTTATTGCATTTAATTTTTTGCCATTTCTTCTCGGACTTGGGGATTTTTTGGCATCGCTCAGCATCGAGTATTTAAGTGATTTCTGCTTAATAATAATTTAATTTCTTGGTTTTTTATACGTCGTGTCTTGCCGTTTGAAATCTTTTGTGATAATTTGCGCCGAAATCAAACAGCTGCAAAATTTGTTTTCCCCTCCTTTCTTTCTCAGATTTTTGTTGGCTTTTCTTCGACGACGTCGCCTATAGAAAGTGTGGCCGAACCAGAGTGATATATATATAAATATATATATATGTATATATCGCCTATATGTCCGCCCATATCTGTGTCGCAGTGTGTGTGTGATGTATAATGTAGGGGAAGATTTATAATATTCGTGGGACCGTATAAACAATTTTCTATATACTTTAATTTATTGTTTTGCGGTATATCTAGAAACAAAAACTGGGTAAACAACACTTGAAATGAAAACAACTTTATAAAACTTTCCATGTTTTTGAATAAACTTTGCTGAAATATTCCTCAGAATTATTGCGAATATCCACTTAAGACTTTTAAAAATAGTTCCCATTAGGAATTTCCAAAAAGCTTTTGTAGTTTTTCACATTGAAGAATTAAAAAGATATTCGATTAGTGTGTGATTGCCAAAACAACTATTTGAGATTGAGATTAGGCTTTTTAAATACTGAATAGATAAACTAAGAAATGAAAGCTTACTCACCTCAGTAATCTTCATGGTGCGCTTCACCGTTTTGCGGGTAACTTCGGTGGTCTCCTCCACGACATCGCCGTCCTCATCGATGGTCTCGGTGACCATCTTCTCGGTCTCGCCGGGGATCACCTCCTCGGTATGTTCGGTGACCACGCTGGTTTTGCTTTGGGCATCGGGCTCGGGCTTGGTCTCCTCGGCGGAGCCACCGAAAACATCCTCAATGTCCGACATGATCTCTGATTTGTATCCCTTTTCTGCGAGGACTCTAGTTGCTTCACTTTGCTTTTTCTTTCGTTCTTGTGTTCACTTTCACTTGGCTTGTTCCACTGATCACTGATCACAGATCACAACAATAACACATAACACGCAGAAATGCTTGGTTTCTCTTTCTTGCTTTTTAGCCTGAAAAAATATAAACGATCAGCCGCAGAAAAATGAATATTTTGTGTATATTCTGTGGGCTTCTTGGCAGCCACAGATTATTATATAAACAAGTAAAATTTCACGGCGCGCCTGCTTCTCAGTAACTTTTTGGCTTGATAACGGTATAGCTATAGGTCTTAATAGATCCTTTGGGCTTTACGAATGGCTAGGGCCTTCGATCCTCTCGGTAAGTGCTTGGATTTTGAACTGTAAAAGCGTAACGTCGACCAGCGGCGACGAAAGGCGCGACAACAACGGATTGCGGATTACGGAGAACGAGAATACGGGAATAACGGAACAATGGGACTACAAAATAACGGAACAATGGGACAACGGAACAAGGCAGAGTTGTAATGAGAAAGCGAAACAAGTTGAAAGACGTGGCTATCAAAAAGGCATCACTTCAACGTGTTTCGCAAACAAATCCGGAATAATTACGGAATAACGGAACGCACACGAGGCGAATTACACGATCACGGGGGTTCTACTTGCTGCCTCCGTCGTGGCTTCTTCTAATTCTTCTAGTTAGAATCTTCTGCCTGCCACCGGAACCGACGCCGGAGAGCAGAGCGAGATGGCCTGTGTCCCGGAGGGTCGAGTGGGGCAGAGGCCCCAAAGGGAGAAAGCATGAGTGCAAACGGGATAGCCAGAGATCCGTTACCCATCTCTCGTGAGAGCCAGGCCAGTTCTCCACACTCTCTCCACTCTCATTCGCTCTTCTCTGTCGATCCTCTGCCTCTGCTGACGTCTGCTCAATTTTGATGTTGATCTTCGTCGCGTTTCAAAACTTGTGTTGCCTTCTGTTCCGTTCTTCTCTACACTGAGAGAATACATTACCTAAATAGGACATAAAATTGTCGCCTATATTATAAATTCTGCATGGGAGATATTTCATAATATATGCCACAGTAATAGTATCATTTAACTCTCATTTTATTATAATTTAAGAAATCGAATCCAAGTAAAAAACTTCAATTTTAATAATCATTAATTATTTATTATTGAGTATAAATGCCTTGAATTTACACATATTTTTCTCTGTGCACTGGTTCCTCCTGTTGTTGTTGCTCTTCCTTTGAGCGAATGTGAAATATGAATGCGAATGAGTGCGCCCGCTAATTGTCCGCCTGTTGCAATTTCTCCGTTGGACCAAAAGAGTGCAATTAGTGCGGCTGCCGACGTCTGCGGCCCGTCAAAATGTGAAACTCTGCCAGCACCCCTCACTAGCTATCTCATGTGGTCCCGAACTCCCCGTACTTCTCATACTCCCCGTCGAAGACCCACGCACTCTCCTTGTCAATGTGCGTGGAGCTATTTTCGGTGGATTTAACAATAGCCAGAAAAAGAGAGAGCGATGAAGGAGAAAGTAAACAAACTATGAACCCATAGATACCTATTAAAGGTTCTAATGATAATTCATACGACTCATTTGTTGGGATGAAATCTTAGCGCTCTGACCATTCATAAGTTTGTATTATTATTCATATATATACAATGAATCAAAGGCTTTGTTTATTATTTTCTTATTTACACCAACTTCTTGTCCAATAAGCTCTGCCTCCCACCGATACCCTGTATGGGCAAACATCTCTGATTCGGGCGGAATATATTGGGCCGATCTGGCTGGCCATTTGGCCGGTCGGCATTTGACGCTGTCTTTTCCTTTTTGGTGTGCTTCTCTTTTTTCCTTTCATTTTCTTTTGCTTTTCCTTTTCCTTTGGCGTGGCCGGCGTTCGACAGCTGAGTGGAGGCAGTGCATCACAGCCAGCGGGGTCTGTACAGGGTGCTTTGTGGCAGGGGCATCTGTCGGAAGATGCCCATCTCAAGTGAGTTCACCTTCTGCCTTCTGTCCGAATTCTGTTTTCAGATTTCTGATGTCTGATTTCTCGTGCTGATTCCGATTTAGATTTTAGATTTTAGATTTCAGTTCTAAGATGATTAGCGGACGCCTTCAATTGCTGGCATTTGGGGCTTTCGTTTTGACAGCGATGTGCGGACTTCCTGTATCGCATCGCGGACTGCAAGATATATGAAAGACAAGTGTTTCGAACGCCCCCCGATTTTGCCCCCGATAGCTGTGTAAACAAAGCGCCAAGCACACGCAAGACGATATATTCTAAAATTAATTTTCGAAAATGTCTTTTCAGCTCGGCAAACGCAGCGACAAATGCCTCTATATAGATACATCCAATGGATGTGTCTCTGATGAGCAAATGCAATTATGTGGAAAAGGGTAGCCGCGGGAGACGCGGCTGCGGATGCAGGGTAATGAATAGAGCCACGAAATGGAGCAGGAACTTCTTTCGCATTCCCCTCAGTGGCCCTGCATGTATGTGTGTTTGCATGTGGAAAACCACACTGATGACAGACAAGCCACAGCAGAGAAAGCCAAAGGATAACATGAGATAACACACATCCAAAGCCACTCAAACACCCACACACATACAGCAGGGGGTAGGAAAATATGGAGGTTCTCAGGGAGACTTTGAACTTATGTTGGTCATATCTCTGCCAAGAACTGCTTATTTTGTTGCTTAAAATTTAAGGTAATTATTAAATATTTAAGGAAACTTGTTGCAGAAACATTGTTATTGATTAGCAGTGCTATGGTTGTGGCGCCATGTGTTGATGCATGCGTACATCCCATCACAGCTGCTGTGATCCTTTTGGCGTCGAGAAATCAGCGCTCAAATATGATTAATAAGTAATTTCTTTGTCAACAACTGACTGGGGATGACGACAGCGGCGATAACGACAACGACTACGACAACGAGAACGACGCCATGGAAATCTTTAATAAAATACATGCATAAATAAATTATAGGGCTAACAGGGGCAAGGAAAAACAAACTGTGTGGAGATGAACTGCTCTGAATGGAGGCGAACTGGTAATAAAACAAAGCGGCTACAGCGAGATACAAAGATACAAGATACAAAGGGGTGACACGAGCAACCGAGGCGTGACCACACTTCCTTTTTTCCAGATTTATATATGTATATACGTCTCACATGTACCATCCTTCTAGCCGCCTTTCAGAGCTCCTTGGCCTTGGCGCTTCCCTGTTTATTTTACAGTTGTAAATTGCACAAAGTAAATGAAGTACTTTTTATTATAAGCCAACAAGCTAACGAGGCCTGTATTCAGCACAGTGAAAAACATCATCGCCATCGAGGGAAATTGCATTAAATAAATATTTTATATAAAAACATATCAATCATTGGTTTGGTTTCATTATTGAAAGCCTGTAATGATATGAATATTAAATCATAAAGTGGATATGAAAATGAAAAATTTATTAAAAATAAAAGCATATCTATATGTTTCCATTCTCTTATTGCAAATAATAAGAAAGGAGAATGAGATTCAAATACAAATAAATATTAAGTTGATTAACGAGTCTCAATATTTTGTTCTTTGTGTACTCCCCCTTTGCCACCCCTCTGCCGAGAGTTTTCTTTGAATGCGCCGTCGTTTGCCAAGTGTCGTTGACTCTCGCTGACCTAGAGGGAAAATAAAACCTGGGAAATGCCTTGCCAAGATTCATGTGTAGATAATTCTGGGAAATGAAGAAAAGTTTTCGCTTCAGTCTCGATTTTGCCTCCCCGACATGCAAAAGCGGAAGGCCCGAAAACGATTTCTGTCAACTTCTGGAGAATTTTCATTGCCTGCCGTCCATTAATTGAGCTGTCGGAGGGCAGGCTGGGAAATGGGAAAATCGGGGGAAACCAGCTGGCAATCGACCATTGAAAAGTTCAGATTGCTTGCTGGCACACACACACACGCACACTCCCGCTGCCACTCGACATGTTTGACTTGCGATTTTCCTTTTAACTCAAGCGAAATGCAGTTAGCAGCAGCAACAGCAGCAGGAAAATGAAGAAAAAGACAAACACCCAGATGGGTGGCTGGGCGGATGGGAAGTTAGGAATGCAATTCTGGGAAAACTAAAACGGAAACTGCAAATACGAGGGATTCGCACAGCATACTTTTAGGTGCAGCTTGGCAGGGAGCAATGGAATGTCTCTAATCTGGTATCCAACTACTGCTACTACCACTGCTATGCATAAATCTGCAGTGGAGAAGAATCTCCGGCAGGATTGTCTGCCCCGCACACCCGGCGAATGAGCAATTTCCCAGCAATTCTTTGGCCATTGCCAATGTTTGCCCTCGCAAGCATGCTGCGGAAAATGTTCGCTTATCAGAATCCAAGTGGGTCTCAACACTCACCGCAGAAATGCACTGCAAGTAATTGGTTTTTATAATATTTTTAAATCTAGATATTTTTAGGTATCTGCAATATTTTATTGAGGAAAAGGTATGGAAAGTAAATGTTCCTTTAACAACACGTTAGGCGGAAATTAAAAAAGAGTATCAATAAAAATAGTAAAATAATATATTTGAAATATGATGATATTTCTCCCTGTTTAGAAAAGGCTAAGAGGGCACTCAGCTAAAAGAATGGAGAAGGGGAATCTCATTGCAACTGTGCTGGCCAAGGAGGTTTATCATCAGTTGCAGGCCGCAAGCTGAAAGAGTGGGTTGCACGGAACAGTTGCTAAGTATTCCGTATTTGTATCTCTACCAGCAGTCCATCCGTAGTATCTGGATCTGCTGCGGGCTGTGGACAGTAAACAGGCGAAGCAGAAATGGAAATAAATAGTTGCCTTGCTCTTTTGTCTAATTAAAACGTTTCATTTCGTTCCAGCTCCATTTGTTGACGTCACACGCACAGAACACACGTGTGTGTGTGTTTGTGTGAGTGAGCATCCGTTGTGAGTGGGGTAGTAGGGTATATTGGTTTTCAGGATGGAAAGTCCTTTTCTATCTTTTCTTACCTTCATAAAGATTAAATTAATAACTTTTTTTTAGTATTCAATGAATCTAATACAAGATCTGTTCCCGAATTTATGTCTCAATATTATGAAGATAATATTTATCTTTACCACAGATATTGCAGATACCATCAGACGAGTACAAAACCTCAAATCATAGGTTATCTCCCAGTCGATTACCAAACCTCCTTCGAACTACTGGTTCCGCTTTCCCTTCTTCCCCGTGTGCGTGACGGACAAACGCACGGGCGCACTTTTCCGCAGGCCATCCCCCTTCGATTGCCCCTGGAAAAGCCACCGTCGTTAGCTGGTCAAATGGTTTCATCTTCATTTGGTTCTGGTCCTGTTTTTCTGGCCAGACATACATATGCCGGGTCCTGCTTCGCCATTATGATGATTTATGAACGGAAATCATTTTTCGCCCAGTGCGGCTTTTCTGGCCTGTCCAAGTGGGTGGCTAGGTGGTTGGACATCGGCTAGGGCCTCCCTTTCGAGGACCTGCTCCGCCCCAAAGTATGCAACAGTTTTCAATTTCGTTTCCGTTTGCTGCAAACTTTCCCTTCACACTCGGCTGGCTCTTTTAATTTGAAAACCAATGCTCCTCTGGTTCGGTTATTTCCAGTTCGGATTCGTTCGCTGTTCGATTTGACTTCATTTGGGGAAAAGTTTTCCCGAGCAGCTGGCCGCAGATTGATGAGTTTTCTTTTTCGGGTGGAGCATTAATTTCCCTTTAACAAATTCTGCAAACTTTCTTTTGGAGAGGGCAAGATGAACATGTTTTGTTGTGGGCAAGGGAGCAACAAGTGGGCATAGACTGCTGAGTTATGGCATCATTATTATGGTTTCTTATGGCAAAAGCTTTATTTTTACAGCTTTTTGAAATGGCTTAAAACTTGGATGTAAGTAGAAGTGTGGGGACAACAACCATTCATGGCAACTTAAGAGCTTAAAGTGTGATTATTAGCTTGAAGATAATAAATATTAAACATTTTTAAAAAGCTTAAGATATATCACAATAAATTTTACAAAAATTGGTAAATATTCAATGTCAAAATAATCGTTTAGTAAACATGGTTTTTGTGGTGTAAATCATATCATCATATTTGGAAAATACTAATGGGTTTTACCTTTGCTTAAGGGCCTTCCCCACTTAAGATGAGTCACTGTCACTGTCTTAAGCAGGTGAGTCTTCGAGCTGGGCCTAAAAATCTCCCAGAAATGTGAGGTTTTAAACTCCCGCTTAGTGAAGCTTAAAAAGCTCGGATTCTTCTGGGATTGGGAGGCTGTGGGGCTTTCCGAGAGAGAACTTTCTCCATCCACCATCTCCAAGCTCTTGCAGTCCAATCCTAAGTGGAAAAACGAGCCGAAGCTGGTTCCGCGAGATAGCAACACCATCAGTTCGACTTTCGACGCGCTGCCAGAAACATCGTGAGCACCGCTTAACCCACAGTACATATCCAAGAAATAATATATATATTATATAGAATGGGATTCCCAGAGAGTGGGAGTCAGAGAAGCTGAGAAAAACAAAGAAGCAGAGAGTGTTCTAGTGCAAGTCAAGTTTGTGTTTAGCACATTTGATTTTGAGCGGGCTCCCTCGAACAAACAAATTCTTCACGCCGTTAACAATAAGTTAAAGCTCTGGAAAAACAACAAGTGAAAGTGCTTCCAGCAACCGCAGCAAAACAAACCAAAAACCAAAACAAAACCAGATCTTTCGGCTGATTACTAAGCGATTTCGTTTTTGTGCATTTGTGATTAACTTATTTTTAGCTGCTAATTGTTCCTAATCGAAGGTCACGCAATCCCCTTCGACTGCCTTGGTTTTGATTCAGTTTGAATTACATTCAGTTACCAATTCATTGTTCATATTTCAGTGATAAAAATCCAACAAGTTAATGTGTAAATACTGCAGTACGAAATTCTGAAAACTATAACTTCACAGCATCTTCGCTTTCTTATCAGTTGTGGTCACTGAAAAAGTTTCATAAGTTTGTTATTTGAAGAAGAAATCAATCATTAAGAAAAAGCTAGGAAGGTGCTCAGAAACAACACAAATCTGTTAAAGTGATCCTGTAATGAAAGGACTGATAAGCTTAATTCTTGATTATAATAAAGAACTGTATACATGTGTCAATATTACTTTTATCCATTTAAAAATCCTATAAAATTCACTAAATAAATTTGTTTTCCTAAACTTGTGTCAATTCCTTTCAATTCAGAAAAATCTATATAAATTCCCGACCGATCCCAGGAAAAACAGACGCAATGAGCGCCGTTGATGCCATAATCAATTACAAGCGCAGTCCCAACGAGGACTTCTACGGTCTGCTCCACTGCGATGAGAACTCGTCGGTAAGTTAGCCCCTTGAGCTCATACTACTTCCTCTTTAGCAGACCTTTAAACTTGACCTTATAACCCCCTCTAAGCTGCCTCCCCGGAATGCTCTGCTAATCTGGGCTGCCAAACTCACTTGGCCCATCAAACTTTACACCGAATTTAATTAGAGGCTAATGGAATTGTGGCCTTCAAAAGTGCGCCTAATCGAATTGGGGCTTTTAGGGTGGACCTGGTTTGAGAAGCGGGGGAACAAATTGATAGCTTCTATAAGTCAAAGTTTTTATTAAATGTTCGTGCATGCAATATAAACCTTCGCATGAAATCATCTATGAAATCAGATACAATTCATGTGGCAGCTCAGCACTGAGAGAAAAGCTTTCGGATGTTTAGAGATTTCATATTTCATACATCAAGATATCAAAGTGATGCTATTAGTTAGCTTTTAGTCTTTCTTTAGCATTTAACTAGATTGATAATGACATCTAGAACCCATTCTCTACCATTTCTTGCCAACTCGCCATGTTTTCTCTCAGTGCCCCTTGAAGGCGAGAGGTTTGCTTTGAGAATTAGTTTCAATTACTCAGTTCAGCCATCGTAGATTGGCAGAATTGGCGCTGATCCGCCGCAGCTGCAGTTGCAGTTCGAGCATCGAGTGCATCTTGACTCAGAGGCTTGACACATCCACAGGCTTACCCCGTCCTCCGAAGTTGAGGCCCACCTAAGCCAACCGATTGCTGGCTAAGCCAACTCCTGTCTGAGCGGAATTAACGAGTTCGGTTTTGGCAGGCAATCTCGGGCGGCTTAATGGCATTTACCCGTCAGCAGACTCCATTCCTGATTCCTGAGCTGCTCTGACATCCATCTTGAGTTGTCACATTTTCGGGCTCAGTAGCCAGCGATGTGGGCAGGTGGGAAAGCTTGTTGTAATCAAATTTATTGGCCCGGAAAATACTCGGGCCAGAGAGACGCACACATTTTGCGAGCTGTCGATTGCATCAGGCTGAGTGGGGAATCTATTGAATTATGCAGGAGCTGCCGGGCGGAGACGCAAGTCCCGGAATCGATTTTGCTGGGCATGTAAACAAAATCAAATATTTGCTGAGAGCTTGAGGAAAATCAGTGGTGGGGGAGCTAAGCATTATGGCCAGGCTCTTATCACGTAGCTCTAGATTTAGCTACTGACCCCTGACCCTCCCTCGCTATTGTTTGCCCCACGACTGCCTCTATTGCCCCGGCAATTATCTCGACTTGGCATCCATTCCCCACTCGAGAATGCAGCCATTCCATTCGCATGCAGATTAGTCTGTGGCATTTGCATACCCAAGCCAAACAATCCCCTAACCAGAGCAGCACAAACTTCGAATGTTTTTGGGGCTAATTTACAGTGATCTCCAAACGGTTCTGGCCATTTTAATTGGCCGGGTGCAATCTGATGGCTGAATTAATCAAGTGGAAATTGAAATTGGCTTGGCTGATGATGATGCGACGACTGTTGCCTGGTCTGCTGCCTTAATTGGGTCCATTCGATTGCGTAATGCAAGTAGGTGCAAGGTAAACACTGTTCTCCCTGCGGCATAACAATCCATTGAAGGTGCCGCAGAAACAGGAGCACGAAAATCAACGAACAGATTCCATTTGTCTAATTATAGAAACCCCAAGGCTGCGGCTGCTTTGGCCACGTACACGTTGGCGTATGAGCAATATTAATTGCGCTGAAATTAATTATACGCGCCGTTGCAGTGCGGTTGGCACGGCAAACGAAGCTCAGCGCCTGGCATGCAAGTAATCCACTTTCTACTGCTGAAAGCAGCGCTGGCCGCATCCCAGAGACTTCCACTGGGAATAAAAACCATCAATTCTGTCAACATCATAGAGAGATATATTTTCCGAATACCATGGTGACCTAAATATGTTTGCTCTATGGCAGCTGCTTTTTGACGTTTCCCCCGCGAACAATGGACTCGAAACCGAATGGAATAAAAAGGACCCTTGCCTGGTCATCCCCATCTCACTGCTGTGTGGCCGCCTTGGTCCTTTGTGTGCCGACCGATGGTGCGCGAAAAGCCATTTCCATTTACAAGACAATAAACAAGCAGCTTTGTACAGTGAGCACTGGGAGAAATGGCTGATTTTTGGGAATAAGTAAGGTTAATAATGAGCTATAGGTATTTAAAAAAAGTTTACAAAGATATCTGTGAGTACTACTCAGAAATATTGACAAGAAAGTATACTTTAATACCAATTATGTCGAACTATAAAGTCCTCCTTTCGCCCAGTGTGCGCTGTCAGCATCATCGCCATCATTACTTTTATTTCTGGTCCCGAGGAGACTCAGTATCAGATCATCGTTGAGAGCTGTCAACTTGTTGCTGTTGGCCGAAAGACACTCGGGCTTAATTAATATCAATTGTTTGGAAAGTGTCAAAAGCCTTTTGCCAGCGTCAAGGACACTGACGGGTGAATTAATTTGGCAACATCACTTTAAACCCTCAAAGTTTTTGTCGCTTTCCCCGCAAGCTTTCCTCTTTTCCCGCAACACACAAGCATAGTTTTCCCCGCCGCAATAACGGCAAAAAGCAACAGCTTTTCTATTACTTTAAGTGGTGCTCAACTGCGCACGAACGTTCTTGCTCGTCAAGTTTTAATGTTTGCTTATTGTTATTTCGTTATTCGGTGGTAGGATGGTGGGTTGGTTGGGGATTTGAGAAAGGGGGACGAGATGCCACATTCGTCTGCAAGTGACAGCTTTACCTTAGCTGCGGTCTCCTTGGAAATCTGCATGCCGCAGGAGCGGTTTACATATCACTCGTGTCCTTGTTTGTCCTGTCATTATGTAATGTGTAATATATAATATTCCCGCCCTGGAGGGAAGTTTTAAAAAATTTATGCCACAAAATACTTAGTTAATTTAAAGGCAAAGGGAATTCATCAAGGCAATTCACTTAACTTGGCCAACTAATTTGTGCTTTTTTCCACTCCATCTTTCTTTTCAGCCCGAGCAGATCCAGGCCGAGTACAAGGTCCTGGCCCTTCAATACCATCCCGACAAGAACTCCGGCGACAAGGAGGCGGAGGCCAAGTTTCAGCAGCTAAAGGTAGGCAAAGAGCAAAGGAAAACACGCAAAAGATCCAAGCAAAAGCGCCTGAAATAAAGAAAAAGGCCAGCGTTTCGGCATTTTACATATTTAATGAAGTTTCCAGGGGTGTGGCTGTATTTTTTCTGTGGTGTGGGGGGATTGTAAATTTGACAGCCTGTGGGGCAATATGTTTGAGATGAAAGTTACCGGAGCGAGCTTAAAATTAAAAGATGTTTAAACCTGGTACTTACTCTGCTCAAACATTCTGCCACAAGGCGAGGCCTTCGGACATGTTTGGATACTTTTAGCCGAATTTACCTTTGTTATTATCTCTGACATGTGAGGACACAGGGGATCATTATAAGACCAAACAATTTGTTTTATTTTCTTTTAAGGGACTTAAATGGAAAACTGTAGAGCTCCTAAAAGCAAAGAATAACTTAAATTGTCTTATTCTGAACTTGGAATAATTAAATCCTCAAGAGACCCCTTGAATTTATAATTTTCCTCGACTTTTTCTGCTTAATATGCTTCTGAATAAACAACAGGAATACTTGTGTGCTTTAGAGAAGCAAAATTAAAGAGATTTTAAACAATCTAGATGACTTCTAAAAGTCAAATATGAATGGAAATGGAAGCAGAGAGCGCTGTGAGAAGTTGAGTTTGGCGGAAGTTGGCGGACTTTCAGAGCCGCACAAATGGCCCGAGTTCTGTTGGGAACTTTCTGTTTCGAATCTTGATAAGTTGCTTGAGTCTGTGAAAAGCGTTTTCCCAGAAAACCCCCCTTTCCCTTGATAGTTTCCGTAATTAGCTGGTGCCCCACTCAACCGAACGCATCTATTCAGAATCGTGTCTGTCAGTTGGGGAAAGTTTTAAGCTGCATTAAACAATGGCGCTGCCCTTTGCACAAACACACACTCTTGCACTTAACCCACTTACACAGACACACCATTCAGTGGCTCACACACACACGCACCCCGGCCTCAAATTGAATTTTCCAAGCGACAAAAGAAAAACAAGGCGGCAGCGATGAGATAAAATAAATTACCCATACGAAATATATTTTTTGAAAACGTTTATTGATTTTCCCCATCAAAGGGCGTTCGAGGGGCTGGAAAAAGGCGTGTCGCAACCTGACAACTCATTAATGTGTGGCTAAAAACAAAATCAAATTGATGTGGGGAAAAGTGCTGGATGCCTAAGGTGAAAACGTGCGCTTTTCCGGGGGTTGATTTGCTTCATGGGTGGGGAAATATAAAAATAAAATCAGAGTTTAAGGGAAAATGTAACTGTGTTAACGTAAGGGGGGAAAGGCTTTCATTAAGCCGAAAATATTTACTAAATTAAATTCTCAACTGATCCAGTAGCATTCTTCATTAATTCATTTTCACAGTGAATTTTAACAGGATTATTTCCAAGCTATTAATATCCTTGAAAGTAAGCCAGATCTACCAACCCAGAGCGAGAAGTCTCTCTTATCATCAGACTTGCCTAGAATTCAGATTATATTGATTAAAATCCGCAGCTGAGCATAATAAACTTGTTAAGTTAAAGTGAAACAAGCTACAGATTTCGCAAATTGGCATCAGGAAATTTGCTTTCCAGTTGGCTTTTCCGAGAATTGCATTTCAATGAGCCCTGAAAGGCTTTCATTAGTTAAGCCCGGCCATTCAGTTTGTTGTATTACGAGAATATTTTCGCTTTTCATACCATGAAATTTTAACACACTGAAATAACAAAGGGTCAAATTAAGGAGAAACGCGAGCCCCTCGACCTGGCCCCTTGCTCCTGGACTGAGGCAGTTTCCCTCCCGCGTCGTAATCATACTTATGGCTGTTCGGAAGCCCGTGCCAGTGTCCGGCGGAGAACGTACGAGTATGTGCCGTACAATTTACGGCTCGTAAAATGGGACGTGCATGTGTGCGGAGCTCGTAAATATGTCGGGATATGCAGGAGGACTTACCTTTATGCCCGGCCATAAAACAAGCCCATGAAGCGTTTAAAATGAAATGTTGAGATTTGAAAGGGCCGGGATTCCTAGGGAAATTCCACAGCGCTCCCCGAGGAGTATGCAAATGAGCCAGGACTTCATCATGGCATTCGACTAACAACTTACAACACAATTTGCAGCTGTCAAGCTGCCGCCCGTCAAAGCCCCCGGCCCGCCAAGGAGTCCGGGGATCCTATAATAATAACGATAGGATAAACAAGCTGGCAGGGATAAGCGGACGGGATCGGAATATGAAACTGCGATTTGATTCTTGTCAGGTGCAGATGAACCGCTTCCGAGCTGTTAATTGCCGCTCTCCCAGGGTCCCGAGTTATTTCCATAAAAAGCAACTAAACGATTGCCCTAATTGAAGACAAACAAACCGCCAGGCATTCGAGCCATCCCATTCGACAGGCTCCAGCCTTGTTTGCTGACCCACATAATCAGTGGCTAGTGAAATAATTGATTATCATGTAAACAGGACCCGAAAAGCAAGCGGAACAATAAAACAGCAGGCTGGCGATGAAATCTCATAGCGTCAATTGGGCATGTGTGTAAGTGGGTGTCTGTCTATCTGGGTATCTGCACTGAGAGAAAGTATTAGAGGGTAGTCCAAGGATATCAAACTAAGTAGGACCTCTGCTGATTGGCCAGAAATTTCTATATTTCGAAAATACTTTTAGATCAGAGACTTTAGCAATGACTATCAAGGCTTTTCTTTCAAAAATGAATTCCTTAAAAACTCATAACTTCAAGCTCTTTCTTACTTAACACTCTAAAGCCCCTAATCATTTTCCCCGTGTATCCTTGTGTGTGTATTGAACACCCCTGAAGCGTGTCGGTGTCTACCGTTGTGGTTATGTGTGTGTTGGGTCTGGCCGTAAAAGTAGTCAAGATATATATCAAGCCCCAGCCGAGGCTATCAAAATCACTTGAGCGTGCGAATATGTGAGAGCCTCTCTGCAGAGGAGTGTGTATGAGTGCGGGTATTCCCCTTACAAGGCTAAGTGTGTGTGTGTGTGTGGACGCCAATAAGTGTGCTATGGAAAGGCATATGAAATTGATTAACATGCAGGCCCAACTAAGGCGGAAAAAAGAGGACCTGGAATGGGTTGGCATCCGAAACCTGTGCAGCTGTTGATTTTGCACTTGAGCAAATCCGAATCCTGACTTTCATGGGCCTTTAAAAAGGGGGGGGGGGCCCTGTGAGCTCCCCTTTCATGTTCAGCTTCATTTCAGAGGAAAATAGATTAAAGCTTGTTTTTCCTTTCACATATTGTAAGGAAAAAGAAAATAAAGCAATCAGTATCTGCTGCAGATTAGTCATTTTTATTGCCGTTTTGAAACTCTTTGTTTAGTATTTACGTTTCCTTGAATAGTTTGTATAAGCGAATGAAATAAATACAAATTTAAAATGTAAAATGCACTACTTACGGACTTCTTAGATGATTTTTAGTCAGTTTAGAACGTGACTTCGTGTTACTTCTGCTCAATATATAAACGAACTATTAAGTAGATTGCACATCCCATGTAACTAAAAAGATTTCTTAAGAAACGGGTCCGTGGTTTTGAATGCGTTGTTAAGCAGAATAACAGCTTTCTAATACATCAAAAATTACAACAATTCATTGTTATATTTTCACAGGAGGCCAAGGAGACCCTCTGCGACCCCGAAAAGAGGGCCGTCTACGACAAGTGGCGCAACAGCGGCATCTCGATGAGCTACAAGCAGTGGCTGGGCATGAAGGAGCATGTCGGTCAGGTGAGAAGATACACGATTGCCGAGAAAGTGGATAAAGAGGTATGCGTTATGGGCCAGGAACTCAGCGATCCAGAGAAGTAGTTCCCCCGTCTCCTTCACTCTGTCTAACCCTCTCACTCACTCTGGCAATATGGAGTTCTGTTCCTTAATCGTTATCCTTTTGTCCCGCTGCACTGCGTCCACACTTTGTCCTGTTTTGTTTCTATATTTCCATTTGATTTGATTGGCCCGCTCCTAATGAAATTTGTAAGCCAAGCCGGAGTTCGTTTTTGCTGAGGCACAATTAACGCGATTATTCATTACCCACCCACTTTCCCGCCCGCCAAGCTCTATGGTAATTTCCGCTGCCGGGCGAAGCGGAAATTGTCGCCCATCCATCAGTGGCTGATGCATTTCTAATTTCTCGGACACCTAGCTGAAACTTCACGGTGAAAGGCTCCCTGGCGCGGGAGTGGTCTCTGGAAATCAATAAAACTCAAGGGGAAACAGCAAGCAATACAATTTCATTATGAAAAGGTTGTCCTCTTTGTTTAAACTTTTGTTTTGTAATTAAAATTAGTAATCAAGTCTGCCCTCTAATTTCTATTTGGAAAACTCCACTAGCAGAGTTGCGGGAGCTCCAAAGGGATGCGAGTTTACTTAGTTTAAATTCTCTATCATCCTTTTAAAGAACATAATAGTATCTTATTTATATTATATTCACAACTTTCTTTCTTGAATCCCCAATTTTAAAACCATAATTCATATTTCTCAATGTGTAGTTTAGAATTTTAAAAGAACCCCCAATCGAACCCCCTGCTCTTCCTATTTCTCTGTGCCCGCTCTATAAGCCCGCTCCTGAGCGCCCGATGAACTCCACCGAATGCAAACCTCTCTTGAATGTGCCTCTTCATCCAGCTCTATGTGTATCCGTGTGTTGTTGCATGCGAAGCGGAGGACCAATGCACCGGGGATGGTGAAACCGTGCCGCTTAATCAAAGTGCCTTGGTCCTCGACCTCAACCGCGCGAATTTTATCTAATTAAATACCTCTTAACCCACCCACTTTTTGCCGCACCAACCGAAGTCCATGCACTGGGTGACCCCCAAGACCAAGGATCGCATGCTGCCGGAGACTGGAGGAGCTGCTGCCCAAGGTCCCGGAACCGGAGCAGGCTGCAGCAGCGGTGGCCTGACCGCAGCCTCGCCCAATCCCGCCCACCGGCGGGCCTCGGAGGGCGGCGCGGCCTTGTACTACGGAAGTCGCAAGGGCGAATGGGGCGGCGAGAACACCGACGTGGCCAACAAGTTTCGCAACTACGAGATCTAAGATAAAAGTTGGCCAGAGATGAAAGTTTCAATTTTAAAAAACATTTACACAGCATATACCAAGTCGGACCGATGGAGGAGCAGTTGGGTGTCAATCCCGCAAGTTATGCAATTATATCAAAATATTCTGAAAGGGAAACAAAAATTTATTATCGATGTGTAACTTAAGCGTTGCGACTACAGAGCACAGATATAGATACTCGAATATAGATGTTTATAGGTGTACAAAAAGATATAGAAAATGGTAATTAACTAACGTATATTTAAGAAAGAGAAACTGTAATTTCAATAAACTCCCCCAAGAAGCGACGACTCCAAGGCGGAGCGGCAAGAATTTTAAGTTGAAGTAAGTCAAATTTTAAGGCAGTCATGCATTATGAATATACACACTATATACACATACTATATATATATATTTATGTAATCAGTGTATTTGTATATCGATGTTTCAAAGTACCATGAATGTACCCCCAAGACAATCCCTTGGCAGCAAACCAAACTAAGCTAAAGCTGTAACTGAAACTAAACTATAACTTAACTAGTGACGGTCTAGCAAATCACCCACCACGTACCACTAAAACGAACATATTTAAAGACATGTTAAAGCGAATTTAAACCTTTATACACACGACACATTTGCATAGTCAAAAAACTCTCACTCGGTGTCCTTTTTAAGTGCAACATTGCGAAAAATCCCCTGAAAATGAACTATTTTCCCTATCACAGAGAAACAATTTTCGCAGAAAAACTACAAAAAAATCGACAAAATATCAAAGAAAAATCAAAAAAAAAAAAAAAGAAAACAAGAAGAGAAATTTATATAAATGTTTTGATGGATAGAGCGGTGAACTTTTCAAACTTATACAGATAGCAGAGAATTATTGTCATTATTATTGTACTATTGCGTATGCGCAGAGCAGAAAAGTTAATTACTACATAAATGTTGTTGCTGGATTTAAATGCATTAACTATACAACTACATATGGATGTTTGTTTTAAGACATACTCTATTGAATTTATTCAAATACACACATATTGCGGATAGACCAGACCAGACCCAGATCAGATCGGAGCAGTAGGAACAGCTGCAAGCCAAAGGCGCGACCCCGTCACCCTCACCTCTTAGACGGGGCGAGGCGGGGCGGAGCTTCAGCTAGTACTAGCAAGTACGCAATTAATTAGTGTTGGTTTTAACTTAGCTGGCCAAATGTTACACGCGGCGAGAGAACAGATCACAAATAAATCAACTTTTTGAAAGGGGTTCCCACTCCTGGCGGAACCTCAGGTATTCAATCATGTCTGTTCATTGGGGGGGATGATGACAATATCACTTGAAAAAGTAAGTAAATCATATTTTTAATCACTTTCCTATAAACTAGAACTTGGTTCACTTAAAGCTTAACCTGGCTTATTACTAGCTTAACTAGAAGCTGCCTGCGCCTCATTCCTCTTATTCATTTCCAAAATCTGGGCGTAGGTGGCCAACGAATCATCCCAAAGCTCACAGGGTCGTCGATCAGATTGATCATTCTCACGGATCCAGCGGTTTTGAACTGTAAAACAAGATCGTAAGGATGAACTTTTCTCTTAAGTTAAACAGGGCTAGACACATACCCCATTTGGATCCTACGATGATGGGACAGGCACCATGCTGGGTACGAACATCGCCCACTCCAGAGGCATGTAGATTGTGCCAGAAGGCAGCTGGAAAGTTATAATGTATTAATTATTAATAGGAATTACAAATTAAAGACTAACTCATAGAATACCTGCATATTTCTTGGGCTTGAGAAGTTGTCTCAGCTGGGGGAAGGCAGTGCCTCCACCTTGGGCCACATCCGAGAGCTGTGAGTGGTGTAAAATCATTTTTATAATCAATATTTACTAAATTTGAGTAGTTATATTTCTAATTTACTCACATAGAAGAGAACTGTGGCAATGCGGTTGCCCATTTCGGGAGAGGAGACCAAGCCGGCGTCAAACTGTTGAGGAACAAAGATTAAGCCAAAAAGTTTATCCTCAGGCGAGTTGCCCCACTTACAGATGTCTGATAGAACCAGTCCGTGTGCTGGCCGTAGTGTCCTCCGATTCCGTAGTTGGCAAACTGGTGATCCTCCGCGTACTTCATGTTCAAGTTGGTCATATCGGCAACCCTTTGATCAATGGTGGCCAGAACCTTGTGCGCCGTGGCTGGGATGAAGGTGATCTGGCTGGTTCTCACATTGGACACCACGGACTCATTGTTGCCCGTTATGGTGGCACGAACAAGCCTGTTGTTGGTTAGTTTCCGGATGACATCGATTTCGCTTTGGTATATGACGTCGTGGTAGAGTACGAGCAGGGGATCCTGGAACAGTTCCTCCGCCTTGAGAGGTGCTATCCACAGGAAAGGATGTGTCTCGGTCACGTAGCCACAGCGAAGGTGGCGTTTTTCCTTGGGAGTGAGCTGCCAGTGACCGCTGCAGGTGAGGCTGTAGGCCTGGAACTCGCCCACGGGCTCATCCTCCCTAGGAATTGGCTGCAATATTAGAAATGAATAATATTTTCTAAGTACCATCAGAAATATAACTTACAGGATGCTCCAGGATGGTCTTCGATTCATTCAGAAGAGACTTTTCCCTGAGAGTCTCCATGAATGTCTCATAGTTCCGGACGTGCTCCTCACTGACTGGGTGAATGCTGATTAGCTCCTGGTAGGTATCGTTGAGACCGCGGAAGTCCTCCAACTCCTTCTTGGCCTGCACCAGGAGAGCCAGTATCTGTGGCTTCAGTTCCTTGGCCCTTTCTCCTCCGGACAAACGATCTTTGGCTTCGATCAACCAGGAGTGAGCCAATTGCGGATGCTGATCCCTTAAAGCCAACCTAGCTATATCCACACAGTGCTCGGAGTTCAATTGGGTGCTAAGTCAAATAAAAGATTATAGTCAAAGGTTTATGACAAAGACTTATGTCGAAGTACCCGTAATCCACGCCATCCAAGACTCCCCTGACCAGGTCCTTGGCCTTCAGCCTGTAAACATACTGAAGTCTAAGTAGCCCATCAATGGCTCCGTCTAGTTCCTTTTTATCTGGCATTGTCTCACGATTTCTGAGCTTCCTCAGGCGATTCAGCGGCTCTTGGGGTACAAAAGTATTAAAAGGGTTCTTAAATCAGCGGACTCTTAACCCACTCTCGCCTGTCGATGCCTCCATTAGGTTCTCCACTCGCTGCCAGTCTACGGTCAGCCTTTTGTTAAGCAAATATTGGTTTATGGGACTTTCCAAGTATGCTGAGCCCCATTCACGGGCCTCATCCCGCTCACTCTCGAACTCCCTCAGCCGGCTATCTTTCCAGATGATTCGGACTAGTCAAAGTATTTATAAGTCGATTCAGAGGTCAACTTACGCTTTTAGGAAATCCAATTTTCCCTGGTTCTCAGCAAGGAACCTTTGCATGTGCAGCAGCATTTTCTGTTCGTAGCCAAAGACTTTGGTCATTTCGTTTATGGAGGAGAAGAACTCCACTCCAGAAACGGAGCAGACTAGTTGGTGGAGCACCAAGAGGAGTACCGATCGCAACGGGAACACCATTCTGCCTGAGATCCGCTCTCGAGAGCTCTTCACTTCGAACTGATTCCGGCATTTGACCCCTCAGAATATTACATAAGTCCCAAGAAGTCAGAGGTTTTTGGTCGAGCAGAAACCTGTTCTCACACGCACCCAAAGAAAGTGCCGAGTTCGATGAGCCGGCAACTGGTTTTGCTTAGCTAATAACTAATGTGGTTCTTGTATATAAATGGCCAAGCAGGCAGTAGCTAAAAACTTAAGAATATGGCCAATTATAGAGAAATAGTACCTTTAATAGCATCTTCTTAATATTTAAAGGGGTTTAGGGGTTTCCTGTTACACCTGTTAAGCATGCCCAATTGCTAAAAAGGTGTAACTAATTCACCATAAGTGTTTTGGTAAAAGCGCCCTGTAAGTTCCATTCCTCCTAAAGTTTCATAGATACAAAATGCGAATTGGCAAACTGTTGCTGGTGATTGTTTCTTCACTAAGTCTAAGACTGGGTCGAACTAAGGACATCCAGCAGCGATATGCCAGATCTGTTGTCAATATGGACGAATTACTCAAAACGGAAGAGGATTTGGTCCACAATTTGGAAGAATACACAGCAAGGCTCTCTAAGAAAGGCTCAAATATTAGGTGGTAAGTCAAAGTTGCAAGCATTTTATAACAGAACGCATGTAATGGAAATGGTGGGACCTTTAAAGGTGGATTCGGCAGATGGAGGAATTGCATCAGAAAGGAAACCCTGTCAACTCTTTTTCCCTTATACGTCACATGCAAGCCGATTGGTTGATGTGGAAACAATATCTGGAAAAGCCTGTGGGTGTAGGTTTGTAGATCTCTCAATGGTACTTTCCCAGTTCTTGACAGTTTTCATTACCCAGAAAGTGTGGCTTTTATAAAGTCAAAGAACTCTGCTTTGCCGCAGGAGGATGACATGATGGACGCCGCTATTGCAATGAGAAGAATGCAAGCGACTTACAAGATGGAACCAAGTGATATAGCCAAGGGTTTGCTGGATGGAGTACAATACAAGTAGGTAAAGGAGTCCTTTCTAAAGAGAAAGATCCAAACCTGACTTTAACTTTAAGCTCTTCGTTGGCTTCGATTGATTGCCTTGCAATGGCTCGTCACTTGATGAACGAATGGCGCTGGACGACTGCCGAGCAATGGATTCTGACAGCCATTGAATCCCTGGATCGGGTGGGTTCTCCTAGTGAAATGCAGTCGCTGAGAGGTCCAACACAAGCTGAACTCTTTAGAGCACTGGGACAAGTTAGGGTCGAAAAGAGTGAGTCGAGAAAGCAGACTCATTGGAATCTGATACAGGATAACAGAAGTTCCTTGCAGGAAATACTGATGGAGCTTTAACGGCGTATCAGGCTGCCCTAAAACATTCTCCCCATGATTCGGAAATATTCGAGGAATATCAAAGCATAGAAGTCAGGGTTCTTACATCACCACCAGCCGAACCGATTAAAGAGGAGCCTGATGATGACATCGAGGAAATGGAGTTGCCCCCCTGTTGCAGTGGCCGCTGTGAGGTTCCCCAAAAACTTAGGAGACTATATTGCGTATATAACCATGTTACATCCCCATTCCTGAAACTTGCGCCCATCAAAACGGAGATTCTATCTGTGGATCCCTTTATGATTCTTTACCATGACATGGTCACTGCAAAGGAGGGCGTTTTCTTACGATCCTCTAGCAAAGGGCTACTGCTGCCATCCCAAACAATCAACTACGAGAAGAAACTCTATGAAATAGCCAAATTCCGCACCTCGAAGTCCACTTGGCTTGATAACGACGCCAACCAGGTGACTTTAAGGCTCACTGAGCGCTTGGCCGATGCAACTGGCTTGAATATTAACCACTCGGAGCCTTTCCATGTCATCAACTATGGAATAGGCGGCTTTTTCGAAAGCCATTACGATGTTTTGTTTTCCGACGAGAATCGTTTCCTTCACGGACAAATTGATCGGATGGCTACCACACTTTTCTATGTCAGTATTTATGATCTGCTTGATACTCGTAATCAATATGTTCTGCCCTACAGCTGAATGATGTACCCCAAGGCGGTGGCACCTATTTCCCAGGAGTAAACATCACTGTTTTTCCGAGGTTCGGAACGGTCCTCTTCTGGTACAATATAGACACGAAGGGCGATCAACAAATCCGAACGATGCACTCCGGATGTCCTGTCATTGTGGGTTCCAAATGGGGTTTGTGTGGTCACAGCTGAGATCCTTGAATGCCTTCTAAGTTTCTTTCTCTCTCTCTTCGTAGTTGTCAGCAAGTGGGTAAACGCAAATGGTCAGGAGTTCAGAAGGCCATGCCTCGATTTGAATTCACATTCCAAATACATGCCTTCTGTAGAAAAGCTTATTAAACTTAAATAACTTATCATTGCATACACATTTCAAGTTTAATTTAGAGCTATACCATGCCCTAGTTCCTATGCTGTTGCCCTAAGTAGCTGGAGTTAATCGGAGATTAAGGCGAAACTAATTTCCGGTAAAATTAAATTATGACACGTTAAGGGGTCTAAAAGTGGAATATTTTTTAGTTTTAGTCTAAAGTGTCTTCCGCAATGGTTAACGTGAAGTTGATGTTTTTGAGAATGCTTTTCCTGGCTCTGGTCTTGGGAGAGGTGAGCAGAGAGAGAATTCTCGAACAGCGCCATACGAGATCTGTGGTGAATATGGACCATATGCTTCTGCTAGATAGCCATCTTGCTGAAAATTTGGAAAATTTCGCTGCGGCTCTCTCACAGAAGGCCAATACGATTATATGGTAAGTCAACTTCCCTATACAACGAATCAAGGATTTTTGAAAGCATTGTAAGCTCTGAAGGGGCATCCACCAGATGGTGGAAAGGTACCAAAACTATGGAAAACATTGGCAGAATTCGGTTGGCCCATTCTACAGCTACTCCCTCATCCGCCACATGCAGGCGGACTGGTTGATGTGGAAGGAGTATCTGGAAAAGCCTGTTGGCCAAGGTGCGTTATCTCTATGTATTAGTTTTCAGGTAGCTTTGACTATCAAATTGCAGAATATTTGGCCTATATGGAGTCACAACGAACTAACTTGCCAAAGGACTGCGACTTGTTAGACGCAACTGAAGGGATGAGGAAAATACAAGTTACTTACCGGATGCTAGCCACTGATGTCGCCAAAGGTCTGCTGGATGGAGTACAATACAAGTAAGTGATGTTTGCCTTATCAAGAGGAAGGTTCTTCAATCGACTTCGATAAGCTCTTCCTTGGCACCAGTTGACTGCCTGGCAATGGGTGAGTATCTGATGAATGAATCGCGTTGGAAGGGAGCGGAGCAATGGATTCTTGCAGGAATTGCTGCTGAGGCTCATCAGACTGCCTTGCATTTGCTGAGGGGACCAAGTGACGCTGAACTGTACAGGAGACTGGGTCAAGTGCGGATGGAGCAGGGTGAGTTTGAACTAAAGATCACAGATACTTAGATTAAAGATCATTAATTGATTGTAGGAAATCATAAGGGTGCCCTGGAAGCTTATCAGGTAGCCCTAAAGCACTCACCGCATGACTCAAAAGTGTTCGAGGAGTACCGGACCTTGGAAGGCAGAATTCTTACATTAAAAGCTTTCAAGCCGATTGAAGAGGAAGAAGACGATTCTTACGAAGACAATATTCTGCCTCCTTGTTGCAGCGGCCGCTGTGAAGTTTCCCGAAAACTAAGGAGGTTATATTGTGTGTATAACCATGTGACTTCCCCCTTCCTGCTACTGGCCCCCATCAAAACGGAGATTCTCTCGATCGATCCGTTCGTGATGCTCCTCCATAACATGGTATCCCCACAGGATAGTGCTCAGCTAAGATCTTCGAGCAAGCAAGACTTGCAACCGTCCACCATAGCTAACATAATAGACAAAAATTTTACAATCGAAGTCGCTGACTACCGGACTTCAAAGTCAGTTTGGTATAGTAACAGCTTCAGCGAGGCCACCAAAAATACGGTTGAGCGTTTGGGAGATGCAACTGGTCTGGACATGAACTACACGGAGCACTTCCAGATCATTAACTATGGCCTTGGGGGCTTCTTCACGACACACTTTGACTTAGTGCTCAAGGACGAGGACCGATTCAACGGAAGCTCCGATCGCCTTGCTACCACGCTCTTCTACGTTAGTATTTTTTGATTTTCTAAAAGCCTCTTCTATACAACATTTCTTGATATCCAGCTTAACGATGTGCCCCAAGGCGGTGGCACCCATTTCCCGAAACTGAACATCACGGTCTTCCCAAAGTCGGGATCGGCTCTCTTCTGGTACAATTTGCGCAACAGTGGTAGTACTCACAATGGTACCCTCCACACTGGCTGCCCGGTCATCGTGGGTTCCAAATGGGGTTCGTTGATGAAAAAAGATGTTTGTTTATACATCTTAATTAATATTTTCCTTCGTAGTTGTCAGTAAGTGGATAACAGACGAAGGACAGGAGTTCCGAAGGCCCTGCATCGATTCGAAGTCAAAGAAGAAGTACTTTCCATCTGTTGAAAAAGTTATAATTTAGTTTGATCCTTCTTCAGTAAACACAAATTACTTTTAATAATAACATATTAGGTGAGGAAAACTAAAATCTCAAGGGATGACTGTTATTCGTGGTAGAGTACAGTCAAGGGATCATGAAGGAAAACTTCTGCCTTGATCGGAGAAAGCGGAGTGTAAGGGGATCCTTTCCTGTTGTGATAAAAGCAATAAAGGTTTGCATTGCTTTTGATCAGATATTGCTTATTTCCAAGCTTAAAGTTTGTAGATGAGGGCGGATCGAGAAGAATCTGAGAGCTCAAGTACTCATGCATCCTGAGCAACTTTGCATTTCGGGGCTGCGTCTTCAAGGCAGACTCAACGGTCTCAAGGGCTCTTAACCACTTGTCTGAAAAGATACTTCATATAATAGCCATAGACTTTTAGTGGAGATTGGATTAGTTACTCTGCTTTACGTAGATTTCTGCCAGTTTCAAGTGCAAGTCAGCTGAATTCAAGGGCGGATGTGTGGCAAGAGGGTACGGATTGGCTGGATCCTCTGGAAGGGATATAGCCAGTTGTACCCACTGCTGGGCCTTGTTGAAGTCATTGATGGCAAAACTGTAATCTGCCAATAGGAGACAGTCGCGTGGGGACAGCCTGAAACTGTTAAACATAATCCAAGTTAATCTTAATCTATAATTTTATGAAACTCAAAGACATACTTATAAGCCACGCCGAAGATCACACCTCTTGCACCATCTCGAGGAAGTAAATCATAGGCGTTTATGATTCTGGAAATGCCCTGGCAGACCTCTTTGACATCCTCCTTACTTGGTAGGTACTTCTTTTTGGATATAAGAGATTCAAATTCATCTGCAATACCATAGTAATAAGAGACTTGTCTTCTGCGGGTCTCTTAATACCTCTTCCTGGATCCACCTCCAGGTAGGCTTGCCAGTGATTCCAGTGCGTTGCCATATGATGGATTAGGGAGAAACTGCCCGCAGAACTAGACACAATACCCAATTTATTGTGTTCATTCTGGATATGAAAAGTAGCCAAGTCAACGAGGGCTCTGAAAAGAATTAGCCTGTACATCGGTGGCTTAAGTTAAATAATACCTTACTCGTTGATTATCTTTAGTTTCTCATCCAACGCCCTTATATAGTTATCCAAATGCTCCACCAAATCAGCGTTTAAATGCAGATAATTGATTAGTTTAGTAATCGATAAAGCAGATTTAGTCTCAGATTTGGACAGAGATATTACAGGGAGGACCAAGAAGCCTACTAAAAGGAAGGCGGTCTTCATATCTGCAATCTCCACTGAAGACTTTTGATTTTGTACTGCAAATCAGAGCTTCCACAAGCATTTGTCACCCTTTAAGCCATGACTGAAAAAGTTAGTTAAGCCAAATGGATTTATTTCTTTTGTCTAGACCTTCTAAGCTTCATTATTTTGCTTTCCTTTTTATTTCCTTTACTTTGTCATAGAGATCCTGCACCTGACTCTCACTTACAGGTGTAAGAACTCCATAAAGTTCCTTTTGTGGGTAATTAAGGTTTTGGTAGCCTTCTAGGGTTCTATTCAGCCAGTCTTCTGCCTGGTCGTAGTCCTCCTGGTCGAAAGCATACTGAGCGAGTTCCAGGGATTCCAAAGGACTATCGAAGAAGGAAAATAAGCAATAATTATTTCAGATTAGTTACTTACCTAAGTCTGGAATCATATTCGACTTCATCTTCCGTTTGTGTTTTTCGGTAATGTATAGCTTCTCCTATCGAGTCCTTGTATTCATACCTTGATGGAATCTGGTTCAGCAACTCCCGCATCTCAGCGACTTGCTCTGGTAATCGAAAGAAAGAAAATAGTTTTCATTAATGATCAGTCATTATTCTTTATTTATTACCTGAAGCCAAGGGCTGCTCCATTAATCTGCGCCAAATGGGCCAATCGAAGTGCATGTGATGCAACAAGGAGAAGCTGTTCAGGGGATTGCCCAAGTATTCCTCTGGATCTGTTCCCACTTTGGCTAGTTTCGATCTCCTTTCATCTACATATCTTTTAAGAAACAGATACGTGTACTGCCTAACCTTTAGATTATGAAAACACCGACCGATTCAGCACACTAATATGATCCTGAAGGTCCTCTGAATAGCTTTTCAACTGTGTCATTAGCCGCAAGTCCAGATCGAGGTGGTGTTCGATATTCGAAGCACAGATCAATTTGGGAAAAACTAAAGTCACAAAAGCAACCAACCACATGGTTAGAGGGGAAAAATAACATTGGTAAGAAACAACCATGAGACTTAAGATTTATTATTACAAAGTCTGTTCAAAATCGATTTTCTGTAGAAAAAAATTCAAATGTTCTTCAAGCATGGCCTCTTAAAAAGTTGCCGCCATTCCCTTATCCACTTGGTCATGACTATAAAAGTAGTTAAATCGAAACTCTTGGTAAATAAATATGCAACATCTTCTTACCCCATCTGGAACCCACTACGGTGGGGCAAGCTGAGTGCAAGGTCCTTACATCGCCATCACCCTTGTGGTCGAGATTGTACCACAAAAGTGCTGAGCCCTTCTTCGGGAAGACTGACAGTCTGAGACTGGGAAACACTGTGGCTCCTCCAAGAGTCACGTCGCTTAACTTTTGGTGATTGTTCCAAGAAATCAGAATTACTTTTATCATATAAGGAGTATTACTTACATAAAATAGGGCTGTCGAAATGCGATCAGAAAAGTCAGTCTGCAAAGAGTAGCTGTTGCAATAGTAATCACTTTCCGAAGACAACCTCACCTTTGAATACCCAAAGAAGTCGTAATGGATGGCGTAGTAACCGCCAATTCCATAGTTCATAACCTGGAAAATTTCCGAATCATGGAGGTCGAAATTGGTCATGTCCTGTGTAAGTTGGGTCATTCTCAGCATAACTCCGTCCGTCTGCTTTATCCATGCGCCATTGGTGGTGCGAGCGGGGCGTTCTTGCAAGGATATGTTTGAAGAAATTGTAAGGGCTGGGACCAGACTGCCCTGTGCCAGGTTCTTAATGCCAATGATGTCTCTTTCGGAAAGCACATCGTGGTAGAGCACCATGTAGGGATCGAGGGAAAGAAGTTCCATTTTAAGAGGCGCCAATCGGAGGAAAGGCGAGGCGGTGGTGTTGTACAAGCAAACGAGTTTTCCGATAGGTCGACACTCTACAGAGCAGCATTGCTCGTAGACACCTTGTGGTTGCTCTTCCTAGGTTGCATAAAGTTTTGAAAGTATTCCAAAAATGAAAGTTTCACCACTCACCTTTAGGGGCGGTTCCTTGCCGATTCTTATGTTCATTGCGAGGCGAGCATAGGTTCGTCTTAAGCTAACCTTCTCCGACCAAGTCCCAATGGCGGCTTCCAACTCAGCCAAGGCCGAAGTTCTCGAACCTTAAAGAGTCAACCATAATATCAGAACCCCTTTACTATAAAAACCTACCAAGTCCTTCTTTAATCTCCACTAGAAGTTCATGGAAACTGACCAAAGTTACTCCCAGTTGGGTATACAAATAGTTTTCCTCGTTTTGCTCATCCTCCATGTACTTCTCCACACCAACATTCAGCCACTCCATGGCACGGGTTAAATTCTTATACTTGACCATGTCCTTGGCTATGGTATAACACTCCATTGCATTAAGAGAAATGCTAAGGAACAGTAATCTGTAATGCGGGAATATAAATTAAATAAAGATTTCTTACTTGGAATGAACTTCCCGGAAAACTCCTTGAGCCATGTTACGAGTCGAAATGGAGTACACACTCTGTATGAGTTCCAAGCCTCTAGTGGCCTCCCCCATATCCTTGGTCGTTGGCATTTTTGCAGCAATAGCAGTTATATTCAGGACATAAGCTAATCGAATTGGATAGAGTAGGAACTCTTTTTAGGATTGAGGCAACTTACCCTCCCACGGCTGCTGTTCTAAGTACCACACCCAATTGGCGTAGTCCGAGTACAGGCGACGTACGACCCGAAAAGAATCTATGGGATGTGTTGGAAGCTGCCCGCTCTCTTCGTACTCCATCATTTGCAAATAGCTTCGATGATGAGAAGTTATGATTATAATCTTTGTTAATACTTTAAACTTACTGTTCTATTGTGTCCACTCTCTGCTGGAGTTTTTCAGAAAATTTCTCTAAAGTATTCAATAGGTACAGTTCGTAGGAGACTAGTTTTCCCATGTCGTATATCGATGTGGCATAGTTATTTTCGACCACATAGGTTTTGGCAAGACTCGCAGCTAAGACTAAGAGGCAGACTGGGAAAAATGTAGTGTTAAGTTTCGACATCTCAAAATAAACTGCTAAAGAAAAGCGGGAATAGAACTTTATGTGGGTTCGCGGATGGAAAAATGCATTTCTCATGCTTTGATTTCATTAAATTTTTCAAATCAGGCGCATAAAGCTGAGACTATCCGTCTTACCCATTCAAAACAGAAATGTAGTTCCATTATATTGATCGTCAAATAAGCGTGTACCTCTCTGTTTTTCAGCGGATCTTCAGAGCCACCTACTTTCTGTTAGCCACACTCAGCAATAGAAATGCCGAAAACCCCCAACTGTGTCAATGTTTGCGTAGCTGCACTCTTGAAAGGCAGACAGACAGTCTCCGAATTTGACTTTTCCAAACCCAGATCAGTAACCAATGGAGCTCCGAGCAGTGAGAATGTTCCGGCTAAGTATAGTTCTTTTGATATTCTGCCTTTTCTCAGTCAATGGGGACTATTACTCGGCCATAAGTGAGCTGGAGAGACTTCTTGACGTGGAGGCCTTTATAGTGGAAAAGTTCGATGATTATCTAGAAAGGGCTCAGCGAGAACATGATGAAATCAAAAGGTGTTAACTTAACTATTAAAACATAAAAATATATTTACAAAATATATATTTTTTATTGCAGATTTTTGGATCAAGTAGAGCATCTGCAAACTGATCGCAGTGATCTGGAGGAATACTTTGGCAACCCCTCAATGCATTCATTACCATCAGACGCCTCGTTCACGACTGGAAGTTCAATGTATTTGATCCTGTTTTCGCCACAACCAACATTGACACCTACAAGAGTTCTCTTACTGATTCCCTCGATAAAATCCAGTTCAAAGGACCCACTCAAGATGATCTGCAAGGGGCCACCCGGGCTCTTCTTCGTCTGCAGAATATCTACAATCTTCATACAGACCACTTGGCCAACGGAGTCCTCCTTCCAGGAGAGACCAACCAGCTGGGTACACCATTGAGTGCCAGTGACTGTTATGAGTTGGGAAAGAATCTCTGTCAGTCCAAGGAGTACACCTATGGCTCCGAGTGGCTACTGGAGGCTAGAAAACGATTGCATGGTCAACCCTCCAGCCTTATCTGGCCTACGTCCATGAAGTTCTCAGGGATAGTGAAATGGAAATGATCATGGAGAAGGGCAAGGGTCATATGGAGCGTTCGAAAGTGGGTCAGTCCGAGAACTCTACCACCACTGAGATCCGCACCAGCCAAAACACCTGGCTCTGGTACGAAACGAATCCTTGGCTTTCCAAAATCAAACAGCGACTGGAGGATGTCACCGGATTGAGCACTGAAAGTGCAGAGCCACTTCAGCTGGTCAACTACGGAATCGGTGGGCAGTATGAGCCGCACTTTGACTTCATGGATGTGAGTCCATCTACAAATTTAGTGTGCCTTTCTGTAATTTTCACTTATTCTGCAGGACGATGGGCATTCTGTCTTTGGCTGGAAGGGTAACCGTCTGCTGACCGCTCTTTTCTATGTAAGTTTTATTTCCCGTTACAAATTTTAAGGGTATTTAAGGATATTATTTTTTGCTAAAAGAGATTATGTTTTTCCTTTCTCAAAATGCAAAATTCGGTCTATCCCGTTTCTAAGTACAAGGTTATAGGTTGATGGTACCCCTTACCGAAAATTCCTGATTTGGTCCACAAAATGGCATTTTTATAACCATAACTAAGCTAATAATGGCCCAATATTGAATGGAATACCTCGATGGGTTTGTTTTCAAATTCCCAGTCAAACTGCATTCACAGTTTAAAATGTCAACAGTTTGGATTTTTTTCCAAAATTTGTATGATGTAAAATTTGGAAATTCGGTTTACCCTTTTCTTTCCCCACAATCCGAAAGTATTGTTCCCATAACTAAGCCACAAATGGCCAATGATTCCCAATTGCTTTGCATTCAAATCTGGGAAACTTAATTTGCGGCCATTTTTCGAGAATTGTGATGAGGGGTACCCCCTTATAAAAAATGCGAAATTTAGCCGAAAATTGATTTTCCCAAATTCGAAAATCGAGTGATAGGGGTGCTTAGTTTTGGTCGTTAGCAGCACAAAAAAGTTGTTCTTTCAGCTGTGCGTCTTGTTTTGGCCGAGCTAGAGCTAAAGAGCCTAACATAGTATTGCAAATTTATGTTAAAAATGGGTTTCCAGCTTTTTTTAGCCATTAAATCGGCACTCTCAGCCACAAATAAGAAGAATAACACAAAAAGCAAGTATAGGGGTTTAAGGTTTTGGTTGTTAGCAGCGTAAAACAGTCAATGTTTTAGCCGTACGTCTTGTTACAAAAAATTAAAAATGTTGTTAAAAAATCAAATTTTCAAAATCGTCAAACTAATGATGAGGGATGTAAGTTTCGGTCGTAATCTGATTTTGATTTGACTGAGCTATACGTATAAAACCGATCAAAAATGGTATCATTAAAGCTAATAATCCTGAATTTTCTCTAAAATAATCAAAATATTTCCCGTAACAAAGCCTATAATTGTCATAATTTAATCGCTCCTCACTTTTTATTTTCTCAGCTCAACGACGTCGCTCTGGGAGGTGCCACTGCCTTTCCCTTCCTCCGCTTGGCTGTTCCCCCGGTAAAAGGCAGTCTCCTAATCTGGTACAATCTGCAGAGTTCCATGCACAAGGACTTCCGAACAAAGCATGCTGGTTGCCCGGTGCTCAAGGGTTCCAAGTGGAGTAAGCTTACTTTAAAACTTGAAATAAAATATATAATATTTGAGAAACATTCTCTCTTTCAGTATGCAATGAGTGGTTCCACGTGGGTGCCCAGGAATTCAGGCGACCTTGCGGCCTTGTCAGCGATGAGGGAAAGTTCCTAGACTTGGAGCACAAATGATAGATATAAGGCATGAATTTCAAAATAAATCTCTTAAAATTATTTATGGAAAGGTTATTAATACTGAGAGGTACGAAATTCACCATGAAGATTAGCTAATACATAAGCAAAGTTCAATCGAATGACTGAAAAACTAAACTCACCACTTTCTTAAGACAAATGGGAAATGGGCCTTGGCCTCAGTTTAGCCACACGATTCAAGCCGGTCAGTCGAACGTTCTCCGTTCGGTTCGAACTTCGAACACATAATTAGAAGAAATCTCTAGTCATTGACCCGAGGGCCAAGAGCAAAGCCAAGCGTCGAGCGAAGAGACTGAAAGAAGACCGGAGACATCTAATTATGCAAATGCCGGTGGCTCTTAGTTTGCTGTGGCTGCTTCAGCTGTTTTTGCTGACGGATTCGGTGGTTGGAGCTGGTTTCGCCAGGGGGAGGAGCAGCTGGAGGCGCTGCTGGACACCGAAACTCAGCTCATCGATGAGCTGCGAGATTACATAGAAAGATTGGAACTTCAGCTGGAGGAAATCCAAAGAGAGACCTCAGCAATCGCGGAGATTCACGGTCAAGTGGACAATGTGGAGGAGTACATGGGAAATCCTCTAAATGTTCTCACCATTCTCAAGAGATTTGATAGTGTGTGGCCGAGATTGGAGCAGCAGGCAAATGCCACCCATCAGTTAGCTTTGGGAGAAGGTTTCCCTGGCAGGGATTTAACCCTGCCCAGCGAGGAGGACTACGAGGACAACCTGAACAACCTGCTACATCTTCAGTCGGTCTACGAACTGGACCCCAACAGCCTCTCCTTGGGCGTGGTCAATGGGTTGAAGTTGGGGTGAGGAATCTGAGTTCTGAAAGCACAAATTGGAAATTCACAAGGTGCTGGATGGGAAAGCAAAGCAATCAAAAATTGTTTGCATAATTTTAGCTCCGCCATGTCCTGGGGCGACTGCCTGGAAGTGGCTCGGAAGTCGGACTTCGCTGTGGCTAGATTTTGGTTAGAGTCAGCTTTGGACAAACTGCCCTCCGCTTCTGAGAACTCCACAGAATCGAAGAGGGAACGGGAAAGTGGGCGTGTGGACATCCTGGAGGCAACTCTGAACATTGAATACCGCGCTGGTAGGTTGGCCTAGGATTAAGTGCAATATCCCCTCCAGAGCTCCGAATTTTCCCTCTGTTTTTTTTTCAGGGGAACTTTCCCGAGCCCTGGCAACTGCAGAGGAGCTTCTGGTGCTGCTGCCAATGAACAAGAATGTTCAAAAGGCCAAGAAAAAGATAGAAAAAGCCATGGCCAAGAAGGAACTGCCGAAGGGCAGCAGCCAAAAGTCGAGGACGAAGAAGCAAGTAAGTGGCGGATCAAGTTTCAGGGTAAGCTTATGAGTCTCAGTTATGAAAAACATTCCAAGCCGGAGGAAGTGCCAGTTCAAGCAATAAGAAAATGTCATATGAGAAAAGAAAAATAATAAAATGTGAGGAAAAACACTTAAGTTATGACGATTGGTTAGCCAGCAAGAGGAATGAAGGTTTAACTCGGAAGCAGTGCTTTTATGTTTGCCAAACTTCTCTGAGAATGAGCATACCCTTTCTATACTGCAATAAACCTGTAATCATAATGAAAACAAAAACATTCTTGACATGCCCACCTGAAACTTTTTATTTTCTTTTCCAGAAAGTGAAATCCCCAGAGCAGCTTCTCATAGAGGAGCTCTGCCGCGGGGCAACACAGCAAAGCTCCATAGGAAGCCGCTTCCCGCATTGCCAGTTGGACGGAAGTACGTCCTGGTCCCTTCTGCAACCTTCTAAAACGGAGCCCCTGAGCTCGGACCCTTATATAGTACTGCATCACGATGTTCTGACCCCAAAGCAAATAGGTCAATTGCTGGAACTTGTAGACGAGGAAGAGGATTCTAAGGGAGTTACCTATCAGCCGATGAAGCTATCCAAAATGGCGCAGAAGAAGTTGAGGGGCATTAATCATCTCCTGGGCATCGAGGCTGGGGACCTGGATCCGTGGACAGGTCGTCGCCATAGTCACGAGCACACCACAAAGTTGGAAGATAATTCGGAAACCGAGCATGTGGCACGTGTCATGCTGAACGTACGTGGTTCGCCAACGATACCTAATTAATTGAGTAATGTGTCACTAATTAAATTCCAAACCATCACCGCGGTTCAGTTGCAGGCACCCGGAATGGGAGGGGCCGTGGTTTTTCCGCAGCTGGAGCTCGGCGTGAATGTCCCTAGTGGTTCGCTGCTCCACTGGCACACACGCTCCGCCGGAGGCTTGTCATCCGAGTGGGACTACCGCAGTGGTCAGGCAGTCTGTCCAGTGCTCCTCGGCGTCCAATTGTGTAAGTTGTGGAAGGAATGAAGCGTGCCGGGGCGCGCACCTTCCACATCCCAAAAGAAGTTACGAGATACCTTGTATTAGTTTTCAAGAACCTTCAAATTCTTCCAATGGTGTTGTATGTGGATATTTACCCTTTAGGCCTGAGTAGTTTAAGGAGTACGGGGTATCTCGCAGTCGAATATTACTTCCCTAGAGCTAATTTCCATTTTTATTCATCTCGATTTCGCATGCAGCCGCGTGGACAGGACACAATTGACGTGGGCAGCGAGGCTTGATGTGTTTCCATGGTTTCCCGATCCGAGCTACATGTGCTTTAATTGCCAGCGGGGGAATCGAATAAAGTTGACCTTGGCATTTGATTAAAAAGCAGCCTTTTATTGCGTTATTTCCCGTTGGGAGTGGCCAGCGGTCGGTGCGAATGGGCTGGGCAAACAATGACTGGAAATGGGAGGCATCAGTGGGATCCATAATTGTTTGTTTGTTTGTTGTTAAGAGGAAACCCGCGAGTCAAACACTGGGCCATAAAACAAGTGTGTTGACCATCTCTGAAGTCGATAAATCAGCGGAGATTGCAGATCAAAACAGTGTGAGTTATAGTGGCCGGCTCATTAACAAATCATTGCTCCAAATTGGCAGGCCGCGGGGGGGAACCTTAAACAATGGCCAATAGACCATAAACCAATATGAAGTGTCGTATTGGTCGGATGCTAAATGTTAATCGGCCCTAGCCAAAACTGCTAAATAGCTGAAACTGCAGTCTAAATATCAAACAGCTAACGGCCAATTAGCCCGTATTAATATGCCGGGCTGGTCTATTCTCTATTCTCTATTCCATAAAACACGCCGGGCCGCAGACCAAACCCGTACGCTCTTCCCCAACTTCTCGGCTGCGGAACATGCACAGAACTGGCTCATAAAACAGTTTTCTTCAAATCATAGGCCACCGCAACTAGTTTTCGACGGCGACAGCGACATCAACATCGCACACGCGAAATCAATTCTCGCCGCCGGTTTTCTCTCCGCTTATTGGGGATGTCTCGAAGTTGCGATCTCTCAAAGATCCCCCACAGATCAGTTCGCCACGAGACGCGAACGGCGGCGGACTTGAAGAACTTCAAGGAATTACCGAACTTAGCAAGGATTTTCCTTCAAACTATACAATGCGGGGATATATATTTCTGGTGGGGCTGATGTCCTTACTGGTCCAAGGAGCTCTGGCCTCGGATTTCTTCTCATCCATAACGGGCTTAGAGGAACTTCTGCATACGGAGGAGTATCTCACGCGGGAACTGAGATCCAAGGTTGATGGCATTAGGATTTCACTGCAACACTTGGAGGGGTAAGTATGGTTAAGTGCTGAAGGATGTAAGGAAGGACTTATTCATCGACTCTTCAGCCTAGGAAGATGATCATAGATAAGTTTTTTTGTAGAACAAACTTCATAAATAATATTTCTCTAAGATTTAGGATAGCAACAGCTTAGACCGCTATTAAAGTTAACCGGATTTAATATTTCGTCATGTATTTATATGAACTGAATCAACGTTTTAAAGTAATAGCTGGACGACGATCGCCTTTTTATAGGCATTTAAAAAGATAGTAGTACTAGAGTGTCCTATACTTATCCATTATTGTATAACAAAAAAGAGAAAACAGCTAGAATCAGAGGATATTCACCGGTCGAACCTTAAAACATACAAGCCAAAAATAGTTTCAGCTAGATCACGACATTTAAGACAAAGCAAATTAAATTACAGCCTATTGTCGTTAGCAAATCCATAAAAGTTTTATTGCTCCTGTCGAGAACTAGTTTACAGAGTCGCCGACACCTCGGTTGTCTGTCAGACTTGATGTCTGCTTTATGTCTGTCAAGATTGCCGTTTCAGCGATCTTAAATTAGTGTTATCGTTAAGATGCACCTGTCACTAATCTAGAGTAGTTAGTCTAATCTAGAGTATTAGCCACTGATTTTGGATCATCGTTGACAGTTGGCCAGATCAGCGAATATTGGTTATCAGGTTTCGGATTCGATTTTGGCATTTCGCTTTCGTTTTATTGGATTTCGCAGTGTTGTTTCTTATCGCAGCGATCGTAAAAACTATTATGAATATAGAATCACACATAAATTAGAATTAATTAAGCCGAAAGACGAGTATGAGCTTGCAAAATCAGCTCCTATGACGACACAAGCCTCATAAATCGGCTAAACTGGTAGGCAACGCTAATCTGAAACTTGTTCATCCGCAGCGAGCTGTCCTCCATCGAAATGGAGCATACCCTAGCTGCGGCGGGCTCGGAGAACTATCTGACCAATCCGGTGAATGTGTACCGTCTGATGAAGCGACTCCACACGGACTGGCCCCTCATGGAGGGCCGAGTCCAGCTGATGGCTGAGGAAATGAGTGAGTTGGAGGTTGCCCTTGAAAAGAAAGAATCTAAAGATCTCTCCTTGACAGATTTCAATGCAACCAGAGAGTACGGCCTGAGTTTCCCCAGCCAGGAGGACGTCGAAGGGGCTGCCCTGGCCCTCGTTCGTCTCCAGAGCACCTACAAGCTGGACGTGGCCCAGGTGGCCGCTGGCATCCTGAATGGCGTCAAATACGGGTGAGACCACAGAGTGGGTTGGATGGCGGAAGCGAATAAGCAATAACCAGCCAGGCTTAAAATACAGAGCTATCCCACCTAATCCAAGTCCAATCGAGTAGCTCCCCTTCTTACTTAACCCCAATGGAAATCACTTTAATCTATTTCTTGATAAGTATATTGACTTCTTGGCAGAATGTGTTACATATTAGTAGGTTCCGTATCAGTTTGGTTCCGTTATCTCCGCGTAATATAAAGTAGACATGTCTAGTCAGCTGTTTAAAGTTTAAGCTGTATAAAGTTGAGCTTATAAATCTGTAAACCCCCAAGTTTCTTAAAAAATGAAGAGACATGAAACAACAGATCCTAATTAAATACTATACTCATATGAAGGGGATATGGTAGTCGAAAGAATCTATTATAACATTTGCAGTGTTTATTTTTAGCTCGGACATGAGCTGGCAGGATTGCTTCGAGCTGGGTCAACAACTCTTTGAAATGGAGGACTACAACAACACGAAGGTCTGGTTGCGGGAGTCGATGGAACGCTTGCGACGTCACAGCAGCTCCGCCCACACCCACACCCATTCCCCGGTTCCCAGCGGACCGGATACCGTCACCCTCAACAAAATGGAGGCGACGGCCAAGAGTTTGTTCCAATTGGGTGAGCATAAAGAGCAGTGGGTGGAATTGGCCAGCTTTTTAAGGTTACTTATTCAAACGATTTTTAGGCGACTTCGATACGGCTTACGAGCTGAGCCAACGGGTGCTCCAATTCGATCCCAAACGCATAAGGAACTGGCATCTCGGCGACAAAGGAGCAGCACTTCCCGAAGACGTCGACGACGTCTACCTGCCAAAGCACTCGGATACCTATAGCGTAAGTAAAACTTAAAAACCAATATTCTTTAGAGTCGCAAAATTCATCGAAGAACATTGTTTCGGTATACCTTTACGATTAATTTGTGTTGACTTTTTATAAAATAGATTTTCTATTAAGTTTCATGACTCATTCAACAACTTAAAAATAGGACATCAAAATGACTTATCAGCGGCGGCAGTAGTTTTTTTTTCATAATTTCGTCGCCGTGGTACTACGCGTAATTCTTCCATTCATCTTCTTAGGACCCCCAGACGTATATTTTTCAAGCAATAGCTGCCATAAACCAATCCTAATCCGAAATATAAATTCAGACAAGGCCATGCAAAATATTTACAAAGCAAAGCCCTTTCCGTCTTTCTACACACATACCACTTTCTAGAAAAACATCCGAAAATAATCCGATGACCTAGTGACCTTTTAGGCCGATAGGCAGTAGCAAAAAAACTGGGTATAAAGTTAAGGTATTTGAGGCATATTATAGGCTGAATCCTTTAAAATAAACTTATCACTAAAGAAAACGAAAGATAGATGTCAATCATAGGTAAATGCGTCATTCGCTATATTGGCTCTTATTATTATAATCTTAAAAAAGTAAATGGTATCTTATGGTCGAATCACTCAAGGTGCTGCTTATCAGCCACAGTTTTAGGCTCTTCTCGTTTTTTCAGAAATCCGCTCAGATTCAGTATATAAGGAAGGTTCGCGAAGGAAAGTTTAAATTAGTCGAAATGCTTAAGTCAGCTAACGTTATTCTGTGCTCTTTGGTTCTATTGGCTTCGCAAGGATCTTGGGCAGCTCCTCAGGATAATGGCCAATCAGTGTGTCTCCTGAAGGACCCTTCGAATCAATGCAGCAAATTCTGCCTTGGTGTATTGACTCCGATGGTAGGAAAGCTGGCGAGCATTGAAGGCAAACAAAGTACCATTGCGACATCGCTTCTGGCGTTAAAATCCGGGCTGGAAGCCGACAAGATATCACATTCGCGGAAGCAAGATGATCAACTTGTGACTGCTCAGACCAATTTACAAGACCTCAATGCCAAGCTGAATGTAATGGAAGTGAGATTAGTGGAATCAGAATCCAAACTAGAAGCTATGCAGACGGCAATACAAACTCAACTTTTGGAGATGCAATCAAAAATACTTGGAAGTATAGTGGAATCAGAATCCAAACTGGAAGCTATGCTGACGGCAGTACAAACTCAACTTTTGGAGATGCAATCAAAAATGGTGAAAAATAGTACAGTTCAGATGCTTCAAAATAAGCTGGACAACCAAACAACTTTTCTTCAGGAGTCCTTGAAGAATATCATAACCCGAGAAGACTTCGAGGCGAGGTTAGTCGAAACGAAGGATGCTGTAAGGTCCGTTCTACCGGCTTTACAGAGCGAAATCGAACAAAAGCTACTTGCATTTCAAAACCGAACAGAAAGTCAACAAACAAACCTTATGGAAAACCTTTCTAAACTAAAATTAAGTACCATACCGCAAGAATTTGAGCGGGTGGGCTCGAGATACTTTTATTTCGAGCATAAGCTTAAACTAAGTTGGACAGAGGCTGAAGATACTTGTCGCCGTATGGGAGGCCATCTTGCTGAGATCCGAAACGAAAATGAATTCAATGCTATCTACAAAAAACTCACTAATTATTGGTATTTTATTGGCTTAAACGATCTGGACAACGAAGGCACATTCGTTTCTATAGCCACCGGAGCCCCCGCACCATATGTCAATTTGTCCTCGAAGCAACTAGAGTACAATAGCGACATCAGGAACTGTGTTGATATTATAGGAGGGAAAATGTATATTGCTAGTTGTTCGGATAAAGAATATTTCATTTGTCAATGGCCAGATGAAGATTAGTCGACATCCCAAACTGAAAAGATTTTATTATATTTATGTATTATATTGAAATATAAAACTAAATTGTAAAAAACGATTTGGCAGTCTATCCATCCAATAAAAATGATTGATCAGAGATTAATCAAGTTATCTTATTCCCATAGCTGTCGCAGGAGTTCGCCCAGTACGAGAGGGTGTGTCGAGGAGAGCTCCACCCCACACCTCGAGGGGAATTGCGCTGTCGTTATAGCCAAGGACACCATCCATATCGGTTTCTGGTACCACTGAAGCTGGAGGAGCACAGCCTGGATCCTTATGTGGTAACCTTTCACGACATGCTGAGTCCCCAAAAGATTTCACAACTCCGGGAAATGGCCGTTCCACGCATGCGTCGCTCTACAGTGAATCCCCTACCCGGTGGACAGACCAAAAAATCCTCTTTTCGTGTCAGCAAGAATGCCTGGCTGGAGTATGAATCACATCCCACCATGAAGGGCATGCTGCAGGACCTGAAAGATGCCACTGGACTGGACACCACATTCTGCGAACAGCTCCAAGTGGCCAACTACGGCGTGGGTGGGCACTACGAGCCGCATTGGGACTTTTTCCGGGACCCCGATCATTATCCGGCGGAGGAGGGCAACCGCATTGCCACTGCCATATTTTATGTGAGTTGACGTTGCCGTAATCCCTTATATGATTTAGTAAAAGCAATTATTTCCCCTCCACACAGCTTTCCGATGTGGAACAGGGCGGGGCTACCGCCTTTCCCTTCCTGGACATCGCCGTTAAGCCCCAGCTGGGCAATGTCCTTTTTTGGTACAATCTACACCGCTCCCTGGACATGGACTACCGCACCAAGCATGCCGGTTGTCCGGTGCTCAAGGGCAGCAAGTGGAGTAAGTTGTTCTGTTAGTTAACCAGGAGAGGTCTTAGCTCAGATAATTATTTTCGTTCTTTCGTTAAACTGTGGTTTATGCTAACTAAATAAGTATTTATCTAAAATCGTTTGTAAGCTTCAGTTTCCCTAGCAACTGTCATTTTAAGTTAAGGATAAATACCAGGCCATTGGTATTGCTCTTTCTGAGCTCAACAGGCTGACCAAAATGACGGTTAATTTAAGTTAACACTCGAAACTTAAGCCCCCATCTGCTCTCGAGTTGAGCTCCGCAATTAATGTAATTATTTTCGACCTGATCTTTGCAGTTGGCAATGTTTGGATACACGAGGTGACGCAGACCTTTGCCCGGCCCTGCGACGTTTTCCGGGATCACGAGGTCTCGCTGGGGTACGAGATAATCAAATAAAGATAAATGTGATAGCCAAGTCGGCCTTACCGTGTCTCATTTCTGGCCTGAACAAGCTCAGTGGGTTAAGAGGCTTGAGTGCTTTGCCGAGTCACTCAAAACAAACGAGGCGGGTCGGCCTTAGTTTGAGCCAAAAGCCAGTTGCGTATTCATTTGCCGGCTTCATTTGCATAAACAAGTTCACGGGCAAAGTTTCTTTGGGAGATTTGAATGTTTTTCGGGCTTGTGAAGTGACAACTGCTGGGAGCAGAAAAGTGAAAGTAATTAGCAAGGGAAATTCAGTCTGGCTGGGAAAGTCACTGAGCTTTAATGTTGAGTTCTGGTTCCTTTAACAAAAGCCACAACTTCTGGCTGGCCTATGTAAATACACCAGACTGATTCAGTTTATTGAACCTTTCTGAGTACCCACTTCACTTCATGGGGACCTATTCATGCAGAACTCGTCCCCCGCGGGCAGTTCTTTGACCAGAGATTCCGTTCCATTCGATTCGAAAGCTGGAACTGCTCGATCGACACCCGCAGCCCCAAAACGCTTCATCACAGACGCCCCGAGCTTTTTCTCATCAGATCTTTCAAAGATCGTCGCTTTTGCCGCCGACCGAAATCAGTTTCTAACGAGTCGCGGCTGGGACAGCAAGCCAAAACCGCGATCCGAAATCTTAAAGCCAGTGGCATTTAATTGGTTAATTGAAATGTTTCTCGGGAAGTGCTTCCTTTTTTTGGTGCTGCAGGTCCTGTCCTGCCACTGTGAGTTTTTCAGCTCCACCTCGGGTCTGGAGAAGTTATTCGAAACGGAGGTTGTCCTCTTGGCTGAGCTGCAGAGTTATGTGAATGAAATTAACCAACATGCCGAGGCGCTGCAGAGGTAAAAGTGATTGAAATTAAAGCTAAATTTAAATAATATTTTTGGTTCAGACAGGGGGAAACCTCTGTCAAGTTAAATCCATTTCAAAGCCAATGACATTATTTACTGAATTTTCATGAATTGCACATTCCTTTACTGAAATCCTAAAGACTAAAGTGCTGAAGTAAAATCGACACTTTTATTAAACATACTACTATTAAACAAAGCTATCAATCAAAATTCTTATTAGTTTGAGCAAGCGATTGGTATGCAAAACATAAGATCAGAACTATAATGCCATAAGGGGAATGCTTTTTTAGAGGAATTTACAGATTGGTTTCTATTCTTCTTCTACTGAGATGCTATTAAGAACCCAGATTAAATGAGAAGACATTTCAGGTTCCAGCCGAGCCTACTCTTCCAGGCAGCCTAAAGCCAGATGGTCAGTTTTTGGTTTTAATTAGATGCAAATGAGATATTCATTTCGCGCAGAAGCCAATTGTATTTGATAGAGTCCATCAGTTTCCCAGTCATGTATTTTCCACAGTTCGCAAAACAATAACATGAAAAACAATTGACAGATGTCAGCGGGCATACGATTATGAATTTTTCATCTCACATGCGTGGACGACCGCCCACGTAGGTTGAAAATTAATATCGGACTCGGGTGGGCAGATTTTCAGCTGCTGCTGTTGTTATTTTTGGCTAATTAAAGTCGGGTGTGGGATAGCTGGCACACCGAGATTTTAAATTCTAGTTAGCTTCAGTTAGTTTTATTACAATTATGCAGATTTGTGCACTCCGGGCCGACGACGACCGGTTGCCATAAAAGTGAATGGCAATCCAGCGATTTGTCGCCGATTGGAGATGGAGATGTGATGGTGCCCTAACCGAGCTATTTGTTTAGATGCGCTGGGTGATATTTATTTTATGGACTGCTAATTTCTCCTATTTCTTGGCTTGATTTATTTGCGCCGGTTATTATACTAATTAATGGCTCATATAAAGCACAAATCGCCGGCCAACCACTTTCAATAGCATTTCGAAACCTTGCATTTCATTATCTCGATCTGGAGAATCGATTGCTACCATCCCAGATATCGATCGCCAGATCTGAGAAACAATTGCCGCTAGTTTATTTTGTTGTTCAGAAATAAGTGTCATCGACTTGGCAGATTGGGGATCTTAAAATATGGTGCACTCATCGCCTCAGATATGCATAATATCCAGCATTATTTTGTTTATCATGCGCATTTCGCAAACCGAAACCGGATTCCCGGCTGTCTAATACAAAAACCGTTAGAAAATTGTAAAGTATATTATTTATACCCCCTGAGTCAGCCGTCAGAACAAACAGGTCTTTGATTTTCGAACCCTGTAAGCCACAATTGAACGTTAGTCACTGGACATGGCGTCCCCTTTCCGAATCAAGAAATAAAATAGATTTATTGGGAACAAGTGCTGCCACTTAATCATCAGCACAATGAAGTTTCCAACAAAAGACCTCGGCTCAAATTAGTTGTGTCTCGCCTCTGGATTCAGATTATGGCTACGCTCCCAGCTTAATGACTTCTAAACGAGCCCCAGTGCTGGCGACAGGCGTGAAAATAAATGCGTTAATTATACTAAACAGGTAACCCTCTACCCGAATACATTCCTGGCCAGTGCTGAATATTCTTAAACACTTTTTTGTTCCTTAATTCTGAAAAATGTTTGCAATCAGCAGGTGTTTAGATGGATAAACCGAGTGTTAGCTGGTGTGTTAATCAGTTACCTAAGAATCGAAGATAAATATAAGTAACAAAGCATAATTACTTCGAAATCCTGATCAAAGTTTATTCTACCTTAATGACAAAACAACTAATTATTTGTATCAGCAAAGAATGGTTTCATATCTGGTTTCCGATCTAATTAATTACTTGAATTCGTGTTCGAAAAACGTTTCTGTACCTCCCCCTTAAACCATAATGTTGCCAAGAACTTCAGTTTGAATTTGTATCTTTAAAATAACCAATCAATTCCGAATTCAAGTTCAGGTTCCGTTTTGCCAGTGTAGGAGCCGCAGAGAACTTTTGGTTTTAGTTTGTCCATCCCAAATAACTTAATTTATGCAAATTCCTTTAGTTATGAGTCTGATTAATGATTACTTTGTTTATGATCTCAGTGAAATAGACGCCATCCGCGTGGAGCACCTGAACGCCGCCGATGGAATCGATGACTACCTCAACAATCCGGTGAACGCATTCCGACTGATTAAGCGCCTTCACAGCGATTGGGAGACCTTCGAGGGCAGTGTTACGGCTGATTCGAGTCGCTCAAGTGGGTCACCATTGTGAAGGTGATGTAATATATGCCATCTGACCCTATATCGTTGCAGACTACCTAGAGTCCATGGCCAGGCTTAAGGAGAATCTCAGCTTCCCTTCGCAGGACGACTTCGTGGGCTCGGCCATTGCTCTTACGCGACTTCAGCAGACTTACCAGTTGGATGTGGCCGAGCTGGCCAGTGGAATCTTAAATGGTGTTAAGTATGGGTAAGGAATTACCGTCTTTGAATTAGTATTAAAGATAGTACATAAGTCATCTGAGAATACTAGATGAAGTGCTTAAGCACTGATAGTTTATAGCAAGCTTAGTGCTTAGCTTACTTGGCTTACCCAACAAGATCTTGAAGTTAATGGCCAGTTGACTTGGCATCACCTCATAACAAAGCAGCAATTAAGTTTTCCTATTCCGAGTGCCATTTCATGATGTGAGCTTAAGACTGCCCAATGTTTTCAAAGCCCAAAAGTGGGAAAGGAAGTGACCCAAAAAAATGTAAAGTTTCAGCGACTATGTTTAGCAGATTGCTGAAGTCTGGCTATTGTAGCTACTACTAAGATGTTATAAACTATCTTTCAGTACGGCCATGTCTTGGCAGGACTGCTTCGTCCTGGGCCAGCACCTGTACGCATTGAGGGATTACAACCACACTGTTCCGTGGCTGCAGCAGTCGATGCAGCTGCTCGGGGAACAGTCTTACGGATCGGAGTCCGCCTCTCTGGACTTTATGGAGGCAGTGGTGGAATATCACAGGGAAATGGGTGCCCACGAGAGTGCCTTGAATCTGGTCAATCATGTGCTATCCATTGAACCAGAGCAAAGGAATCACCTGCTGGAGACTCGTCAGCATCTGGAGGAGTTGATCACAGATGGCGACAAGAACGGCCTGCTTCATATGACAGCACGGAGACCTGGAGACTACCATGAGTCCCGCGAGTTCCGCATGTACGAGCAGGTGTGCCGTGGGGAGTTGGCCCCACTGCCCTCTCAGCAGAGAAAACTCAGGTGTCGCCTTAGGAGAAGCCGATTGGGTTACGTTCCATTTAGATTGGAGGAGCTGCACCTGGATCCTCTGGTAGTGCAAATGCATCAGGTGGTTAGCTCCAAAGACTCGGAGTTCCTTCAAAAAACTGCCCGACCGAGGATTAAGAGATCCACTGTATACTCCCTGGGCGGCAATGGGGGATCCATGGCGGCCGCCTTTCGCACTAGTCAAGGTGCCTCCTTCAACTACTCGAGGAACGCGGCCACCAAGCTTCTTAGTCAGCATGTGGGTGATTTTTCTGGCCTGGACATGGACTATGCCGAGGATCTGCAGGTGGCAAACTATGGCATTGGTGGGCACTACGAGCCCCACTGGGATAGTTTTCCCGACAATCACATATACCAGGAGGGGGATCTCCACGGGAATCGTATTGCCACGGGAATATATTACGTGAGTTTTTCATTATCTTGAAGATTTCCTTGAAGTTACTAATAAGATGTAATTGGCTTTCCAGCTTTCCGATGTAGAAGCTGGAGGCGGGACAGCTTTTCCCTTCTTGCCCCTGCTGGTGACCCCTGAACGAGGTAGTCTGCTCTTCTGGTACAACCTTCATCCTTCCGGTGACCAGGACTTCCGAACCAAGCACGCTGCATGTCCCGTTCTCCAGGGCAGCAAGTGGAGTAAGTCAAGCCTCTTGTTAAAAAGTAACCCATTAAGTTTAATATTGGTTTTCCAGTTGCCAATGTCTGGGTCAGAGAACGCCATCAGGACAAAGTAAGACCCTGTGATCTGCAAAGGAACCGAGAGATCTCTCTGCACTACAGGGACTTCGACTGATGCACTTAGAACTAAGAAATATTCTCAACACTCATTAAAGTAAGAAATTAATTTATTAAATGTATAAAGAGCACTCAGTCCCGATAGGCTTCGGACTTATAGCTATCTGAGGTGAGGTTGCAAGGTCGACGGAACTCCTGGTAGCCCGAGTGCATCCAGATGTTTCCAACTGTAAGAAGGATTCAAAGTGATAAATAATATTAAATGATAAACCAGAAAACGTGTGTCTTACTCCGCTTGGAGCCCACTATAACTGGACAGCCGGCATGCAAAGTGCGCACATCCACATCCAGGGAGCGATGTAGATTATGCCACATGACCAGAGCTCCTTTGACAGGTGGCAGGAAGACATTCAGCTTGGTGAAGACGGTGTAACCCCCTTGCTCAACATCAGAGAGCTACAGTATAGAATATTTCAAAATCACTTTAGAGGGAAAGAACCAGGTCTGGACTCACGTAAAACATGCTGGTGGAGATGCGATCTCCTCGAACTTGCTTTGGCAGATTGACCTCAAAGTAATCCGGATGCGGCTCGTACTGACCACCGACTCCGTAGTTGGCCACCTGCATATACTCGGCTCCGGCTATATCGAATCCGGAAACAAACTGAATCATCCGGCTCACATACATCATCACTGGAGCCTTGTAGTCCAGCCAGGTTTGCTGACTGACCCGGAGATCCCTAACGGTACGTTTACCGCCTTCTCCGGCAACAGCAGAGCGAACCATCTCCTCCTTGTCTGCCTCCACGAAGATGGAAAGGATCTGCTGAGAGCTTAGCATCCCGTGATAGACATTGATATCGGGATCCAGGTGCACTGGCTCCACTTGGAGTGGCGCCAAGGTGAAGTAGGCATGTCGCTTTCCATCCAGATAGCATTTTAAGGGCTTGCCACTGCTCTCCTCTGGCAATCTTCTGCCCTGGCACAGCCTCGTATAATTTGCAAACCAAGGGGGGTTATCCTCCTGGAAGTTCTTTCCTGGCTCTCTGCTCTCCAGATACTTTCGCGTTTGCTGAGCGGAATGAGTGGGATCAGGTTTGAGGATCTGATTTAGGAGTGTTCCAGCTCTCTTGGGATTACCCAACTCGAAGTTGGCCATTGCTGCATATTCCCGGATATCTGATATGTACCTTTTTTCGTCCTTTTCCTCCCGTGGACTATTTCGAAGGAGGACTAAGGCCGCTTGAAGCCATTCCAGTGATCTGTGATATTCCCCGAGGTCGAAGAGTTGGACTCCAATTTCATAGCACTCACGCCAATGCAGATCCGTGTCAAAGGTGTATCCATTGATAATGCCATCAGCCAAATCCGTGGTCGTGAGATTGTAGACTTTCTGCAGCCTTGCCAAGCCCTTGATTGCTCCTTGAAGCTCAGATTGATCAGGGTAGCCTAAATCTCTGGTTAAGGTCTCTACGAATTCTCGGAAGTCTGTCAGAAAAGAGAAACTTATGAAGTGTTTTCTATGAATGAGTATTACACCCACCTTCCCTGGGTTTATTGGCAAGAATGGGTTCGAAGACAATCGCATCCCAATCCTGAACCAATCGTTTGATCAATCGGAATGCATGAAGAGGGTGACCTAGATACTCATCAAGTCTTACTTGCGCCATGGCCCACTCATGTTCCCTTTTAATTTGCTCCACATATCTATTAATTATTACAGTTACACTCTTCCTGGAACTCTTTCATATCATATTGCCTTACCTGCGATAAAAGTTAAGCTGCTGCTGCTGCGTCTCCAAGTACGACCGCGTGGCATTCAGGAGCTCCTGTTCCACTTGGGCCAGATCCTGCATACTGTCCACTGACGAGTAGAACTCCCCCTTGGCTACTCCACTCCAAATCACATGCAGGAAAATACCAGCAACCAGGCACCAACTTCGATGCGACATTTTGACTAGTGCACTGAGAGACCCAGACCGACTGATGGTGACTGCCTCAGCCAGAGGTATCTATGTATCTAAGTGCGGATTGGGCCAAATAGAACGATATTCCATTTGTAGACTGTCACGTATCCAGACAAAAACGCTGTGCAAACAAAGATGTCAGGTACAGACACCCACACAAGCGATGCTAAACAAACAACTTGTTCGTTCTCCAAATCTCTCACTCTCTTTCCCTAAAACATCACAATTGGGGAGATGGACATTTCCATAGCTAGTGCTAGTACCTACTTTAACAGCTAAGTTATTAAAATCAGAAATATATATGCCTTGCTAAAGCAAACAAGATCTACAAATTCCCGAACTTTATTGAAGAGGAGCTAAGATGTTGTCCAACTTTTAACGTGATATCAATTAGTTTAGTTAATATTTTTTACTAATATCCCCTTAGAAGCCATGTACTTTCCTCAAACATTCCCTATTTAAGAGACTGCAGACATATAATGCTTCAAAATTTTATTAACAACGGAAATTATTTAAAGGCTTAGTAAGAAATTCCGGTGTTGTCGCGGATCCAGTCCAAGTATCCGGTGACACGGGTGAAGACAGCGGGGTGACCGGCCTGGCAGCCAGATCCAGAGACGAAGGAAGTCACACCGACCAGGCGGTTGCCGTCGTGTGTGACCAAGGGACCACCGGAGTCACCACCGCAGGTGGACTTTCCTCCGTCGGTGTTGATGCAGATCATGTAGTCGTGAAGAGACCAGAAGCGGCTGCAGTCGCTCTGGGAGATGATCTGGACATCGACGGACTGGAGCCAGTCGGGCAGTGGGCTTCCATCGTAGGTACCGCCCCATCCGGAGGCAACAGCCCACCATCCGGCGTAGTCCTGGTAGCGATCGTTGCCAGTGGGGAGCTCAACCTTGTTCACCAAGCTCCAGAAGTCAACGTGGGGAGTGCGGATCAGGGAGATGTCGTTGTGCAGGTTGCCGCTGTTGTAGTGGTGGTGCTGGATGATGTCGCCGCTGCCAACCCAGTGGGTGTACTGGGGCTGGGTGCGGATGCTGGCTCCGTAGTTGATGGTCACTCCGCTGGCACCGTTGGTGCAGTGAGCAGCAGTCAGGACCCAGGTGTTTCCGATGATGGAGCCACCGCACCACCAGTTTCCGTTGCCGCTGAACAGCAGACCAACGATGTAGGGCACCTTGCCCTCGTAGGCTGGGTAGCCGTTGGTGATCCGACCCTGGATGTCCTTGACGGGGACGGGGGTCAGCTTCTGCTCGGGAGCAGGGAGGGCAGAGGCTGCGGCAACAGCCAGAGCCAGGAATACGAACAGTTTCATCTTGGACAGGTCTTACAACTCATGTTTTCTTCAGTGCTTGACCGCCCTTTTATACGGAATCCACGACCTTATCAGTCCTAAGAAGTTCTGTTGGAAGTCTGAAACTATTGAGGGCTGTATATTATGGCCAAGTCTTGGCATGTCAAGTTGTGCCACCTGATAAGTGGGAACAGATTAGTCTTTGGTGAAAATATGACAAGTACTTGGCGGTTGTCAGTTTGTTGTAAATAGCTAAGAACTTAACCGTTTCGCGCTTAAGATCGCCAATATTTTCTATAATTTTGAATGGTATTATAATCATAGATCCTCATTAATAATATTTTAATAACTTAATTAATTTTAGGTAATTGAGTAAATAAATATTTTTGCCTACAGTTGATTTTTATTAGCCATGACTATTAAATCTCTTATCAAATTTTATTAAAGAAAAAATCCCCACCTACACATTATAATCGATTAAGAACTGCCTTAAATTAACTCAAATCTGTGCTGATAACGATTTTTTGCCATCGAATCACTGATGGGGCTGGACACCTTGCGTTGTTAAGAAGTCATTCAACTTTTTCGGAAAGTTCTTACTATAATACACTGCCATAAAATGTTGAGCATTTTCTATATATTTCCATTGTCCAAAAGAATCACCCCCTTTTTTTTTATACTCACCTTAATTTTTTAGTCATTATAGCTGTGCTTGATGAGATATTTCTTGTTGTTGTTGTTGTTCATGACATAAATACTAATATTTAGAACTTGGAATAGTTCAAATATGAAATATTGGTATTGTTTTGATTGCTTTTTAAAAATATATATTGTTAAAATCGTCATTCGTTTTACCAAGTTTGTAACTTAATACTAAGGTGTACACTTTTGGAAAAAGTTATAAATTTACTAATGTTAACCACAATTTTCCTGTTACTTAATTCAAACGAAATCATAAGCAGCTTCCATATCAACAGCAAGGTTGGCTTTAGTATATTTTACAGAGTAAAGAGAGAGAGAGTAAACCCAATTATAAAATCTATTCTATTAAAGATTACCCCATGTATTACCATGACTGTTTTACGCTGCTAACAACCAAAACTTTAAACCCCTATACTTGCTTTTTGTGTTATTCTTCTTATTTGTGGCTGCGAGTGCCGATTTAATGGCTAAAAAAGCTGGAAACCCATTTTTAACAGAAATTTGCAATACTATGTTAGGCACTTTAGCTCTAACTCGGCCAAAACAAGACGCACAGTTAAAAGAACAACTTTTTTGTGCTGCTAACGACCAAAACTAAGCACCCCTATCACTCGATTTTCGAATTTGGGAAAATCAATTTTGGCCCAAATTTCGCATTTTTGATAAGGGGTACCATCATCAAAATTCTCGAAAAATCGCCGAAAATTAAGTTTTCCAGATTTGAGTGCAAACCGATTGGGAATCAAAGCAATCAAATTACAAGCCCTACGAGGTATTACATTCCTGATTTGGACCATTTTTGGCTGTGCTATGGCCAAGAAACTGATTTTTTGGGGCTCAAAGTCAAATATACGTCTTTTAGAGCCCAGATTCTTGCCGGTTTTTAGCTCTAACTTTGTCAAAACAAGACATACGGCTAAAACATTGACTGTTTTACGCTGCTAACAACCAAAACTTTAAACCCCTTTACTTGCTTTTTGTGTTATTCTTCTTATTTGTGGCTGCGAGTGCCGATTTAATGGCTAAAAAAGCTGGAAACCCATTTTTAACAGAAATTTGCAATACTATGTTAGGCACTTTAGCTCTAACTCGGCCAAAACAAGACGCACAGCTGAAAGAACAACTTTTTTGTGCTGCTAACGACCAAAACTAAGCACCCCTATCACTCGATTTTCGAATTTGGGAAAATCAATTTTGGCCCAAATTTCGCATTTTTGATAAGGGGTACCATCATCAAAATTCTCGAAAAATCGCCGAAAATTAAGTTTTCCAGATTTGAGTGCAAACCGATTGGGAATCAAAGCAATCAAATTACAAGCCCTACGAGGTATTACATTCCTGATTTGGACCATTTTTGGCTGTGCTATGGCCAAGAAACTGATTTTTTGGGGCTCAAAGTCAAATATACGTCTTTTAGAGCCCAGATTCTTGCCGGTTTTTAGCTCTAACTTTGTCAAAACAAGACATACGGCTAAAACATTGACTGTTTTACGCTGCTAACAACCAAAACTTTAAACCCCTTTACTTGCTTTTTGTGTTATTCTTCTTATTTGTGGCTGCGAGTGCCGATTTAATGGCTAAAAAAGCTGGAAACCCATTTTTAACAGAAATTTGCAATACTATGTTAGGCACTTTAGCTCTAGCTCGGCCAAAACAAGACGCACAGCTGAAAGAACAACTTTTTTGTGCTGCTAACGACCAAAACTAAGCACCCCTATCACTCGATTTTCGAATTTGGGAAAATCAATTTTGGCCCAAATTTCGCATTTTTGATAAGGGGTACATCATCAAAATTTGCAAAAATGCCCAAAAATTGAGTTCTCCAGATTTTAATGCAAACCTATTGGGAATCATTGCAATCAAATTACGAGCCCTACGACGTATTACATTCCTCATATGGGCCATTTTGGCTGTGCTATGGCCAAAAAACTGATTTTTTTGAGCTCAAGATTATGCTACATCTTTTGACAGCAGAGAGCACGGTTTTGTTGCCGTTTCTTAACTCTAACTTTGTCAATATAAGACGAACGGCTAAAACAGATAGCTTATAATGGTAGGCAATAAGCAAATCCCACTGCTGTTATAAGGTGGCGCCATCTTTCAATGAAGATCTAAAACTATAGCAGTCAGCCTTTGTCAGCCTGCGCGCGATTTTTATGAACCAAAGTGCTCTCTTGAATATGCACTTTATTTAATACTCGGAGTGCATGTAATGTCTTCAACTCTGTTACCGTTCCTATATTATAGCCCGTTTCTTAATTATATCAGTAAAATGTTTACTTTTTAAACGTTTATTGAACAAACCCAAAAAACGGGGAAAAACATAAAGCTCTTAGTAGGAGATGCCGGTGTTGTCGCGGATCCAGTCCAAGTATCCGGTGACACGGCTGAAGACAGCTGGGTGACCAGACTGGCAGCCAGCGGCGGAGCCATAGGAGGTCACTCCGACCAGGCGGTTGCCCTCGTGTGTGACCAGGGGACCACCGGAGTCACCTCCGCAGGTGGACTTTCCTCCCTCAGTGTTGATGCAGATCATGTTGTCGTGGAGAGACCAGGTGCGGCTGCAGTCGCTCTGGGACATGATCTGGACATCGACGGCCTGGAGCCAGTCGGGCAGTGGGCTTCCATCGTAGGTACCGCCCCATCCGGAGGCAACAGCCCACCATCCGGCGTAGTCCTGGTAGCGATCGTTGTAGCTGGGGAGCTCAACCTTGTTCACCAAGCTCCAGAAGTCAACGTGGGGAGTGCGGATCAAGGAGATGTCGTTGTGCAGGTTGCCGCTGTTGTAGTGGTGGTGCTGGATGATGTCTCCGCTGCCGACCCAGTGGGTGTACTGAGGCTGGGTGCGGATGCTGGCTCCGTAGTTGATGGTCACTCCGTTGGCATTGTTGGTGCAGTGAGCGGCGGTCAGAACCCAGGTGTTTCCGATGATGGAGCCACCGCACCACCAGTTTCCGTTGCCGCTGAACAACAGACCTACGATGTAGGGCACCTTGCCCTCGTAGGCTGGGTAGCCATTGGTAATGCGACCCTGAATGTCCTTAACAGGGACAGGGGTCAGCTTCTGCTCGGGAGCAGGGAGGGCAGAGGCCGCGGCAACAGCCAGAGCCAGGAATACGAACAGTTTCATCTTGGACAGGTCTTTCAACTTATGGTTTTTCCAGAAACTGGCAGCCCTTTTATACCGAAGCTGAAACCTTATCATTCTTAAGAGCCACTTTTAAATATCTGTAAGAATTGACGGTTGTATATTATGTCCAGTGTTTGGCATGCTAAGTTCTGCCGACTGATAAGTCTTTGGTGAAATTATGACTCGTACCTGACTGTGGTCTTCTCCCTTTCCTTCTATCACTTTGTTAATCTTTATTCGACTCTTCTGAAATTTGCTAAAAAAAACATTTGTTACAGCCATGACTGTTAGGTCTCTAATCAATTGCACTTCAAAATATACTCCTACGCTGTATAATGATGTACCTAACCAGTTGGCTATGAAGTACTATAAATTAATTCGTATCTCCTGATTTTGTACTATCAAATCAGTGTAGTGGTTGAACATCTCGAACTGATAAGAGTTCATTCAATATTTTCGAGTGTCGTTCAGCGTTACTTTGAAAATTTCTTACTTTTATAAACAGTCATAAAACATAGTTTTACTTCACCCATTTCCTGTATTATAAATATATATGTTATGCCATATTAGCAAGTCACTTATTTCTTTGAACTGATATCTATTTTTGATGATTTGCAATTTTGCAAGTCCCTTTTAACCATAATATTTTACACCTTAAAGTAAAACACTTGGGCTTAGCATAGATGCCCCCGGTTTCTGCTTTAATTCTTCGCCGAATGCAATGGGACTAGCCATTATTCACTTCGCTTGCACTTTTAACATTTCACGGAATATACGATTGAATTTACCAGAACGCCGCAAAGTGTGCAACGCAGTGCGGTAGATGCTGCCAGGATAAGCCGATTTGTTCCTCTCCCATTCGAACCCATTCGAAACACACCCACGTATCGACTAACAGCTGATGCAGCCGTAGCTCCACTTACCGCACTTGATGGATGAGCCCTCCGGCTGATGAATCGCCACCCACTAATCGAACATCACCCCCGGATCGGAGAACCTCTCTGCTGTCCTTTAAATGTTGTGCCTTTCCTGACACCCCATCGCTGTTGAAAATTGGTAGGTATTGCTTATAAAGGTATACGGTTTTTCATATTGATTTTATTACAATTTTTTCTACTACTTAACCTAGGCAAATATACAAAAGTAGATAAATTCCATACGAGTCTAAGATACATCTAGGTAGAAGTGGTTCCACATGTAGAAACCGTAAGTAGAACAGATGCGACCTTCTCCGGGCTGAATGCTTTATTTACAATAGGAAGTCGATGGCCGATGGCGAAGGATTTAAGATTTCGCATTTAAGATTCTTTGCATTCACTAACTAGACTCCGGCTTAAATGGCGAACTCGCCGTGATCCTCGTCCAAGGAGCAGGGTCTGCGGAACTCCTGACCTCGTTCATGGATCCACTTGTTGGACACTGTTTTGTGAGTGATTAAAACTAATAAATAAAAAAGGTACTTAGAAATGACAAAGAACTTACCCCACTTGGTGCCCGTGAGTACGGGACAGGCTGCGTGGCGAGTCCTCACATCGCCCTCTCCGTCTTTGTGCAGGTTCATCCAAAAGGCAGCCGTCCCCTTCTTGGGGAATAGAGCAGTGTGGAGGGATGTGAAAACAGTGGCTCCGCCCTGCTCCACATCGCTCATCTAGAATAAAAGGTTTCAAAAATTATAAACTTATGTAATGTATAAAAAGTTTCGTAAAAGCAATTAATTAGTTGTGAGCCATTCAGATGTATCAGTTTAGCAATTTCAAAGCATACTATTGGGCGCTGACTAAAAACAACTTTGTGTGCAAAAAGTATTCCATTGAAATGGGAAACCACATTTGCAAGGCAGCTTCGGTTTTTGTATCTATTTTACTGCCATTGTGCGTTCCTTTGCATTCCCAGCTATGGAATTCCATTCATGGGCATTGCAACCTACGCATCTCTATTTATAAATAAGCCTTACTAATGATTCTGGTGCTTGTGCAAATAAAGCAAAAATTCAGAAAATTTTATAAACTGTGTAGGATGTGCTCTTGCACAAGCATACGTATCGGATTATTTTATTAAAAAGAGGCAAAATGCGGAAAACTTACGTAGAAGAGTACGGTGGCAATCCGGTTGCCCAGATTAAGACCCTCAAAGGCGCGCTGCTCTTCTTTCTGAAGTTGGTTGGGAAATAATGATTTGGTTTTCATCTGAATTGCTAAGCCAACTCACCCTGGCGAAGTCAAAGTGCGGCTCGTAGTGTCCTCCAATGCCGTAGTTAACCACCTGCAGCTCCTCGGCGGAGTCCATGTCCAAGCCGGTCATATCCGCTGTACGCTGCACCACTGTCTCAACCACCCGATCCTCGTTGGTTTTTAGCCAGGCGGACTTGCTGATCCTGTAGTTCGCCGTCTCCAAGGCTCCAGTCACGGAATTTTGGACCGTAGCTCTGCGGAAACGAGGGCGAGCCATCCGCTTGATTACATCGATCTCGCTGTCGTACATGGCGTCGTGGTAGATCACGATGTAGGGGTCCATGTTGGCCTCCTCCAGCTTCAGAGGACCCAATCGCAGGAAGGGCACATTGTTGGTGACATAGCGACATCTCAAGGGTCTCAGCTCCGATGGCGATGGCTTTAGTTCACCCCGACATAGCATCTCGTAGGCTCTGCGCTCAGTCAAATCGAAGATGGCGGGATCACTTTTGGCCACGGGCTGTGGAGTGGACTATCTTGAACTGAGAGATCTTTGATTTCATTCCAAATGGGTCTTACCAAATCGGACTTTGGCATCTCATCGGTGCCATCGTCGCCCTTCATCTTCTTCAACTGCAACTGGTTGGCAATCTCCTTTTCGTAGAAGCGTTTGTTTCCATTGGCCCTCTCGTGGTGAGGAAGCAGTTGTAGTAGCTCGTTGGTCATGGTTAGGGCACTCTCAATGTTGCCTAAAAGGAAGGTTAAGGAAGAACTTTCACACACAATCCATTTCATACTAAACTAGTTCTTGTTATGGGCTTGAACACTCAGAATACCTTTTAAATATCTCCTCATTATTAGTAAAAGCTACAACTTTTAAAGAGAAAACATCAAAGTAACTCGGCCATTAAACGAGCTACTACTACTATAATGTCATGAATAAACAAGCAGCACTTTAGTGAAATACTTATTTAAAGTCAAGAGTTTCGCACTTGACCGACCCGCACAATTAATTCATCAGGGTCTAAAGGGGTCTTAAGTGCGATACCGTACTAAGTAAACAAGGCTCGGCCCGAAAGTATGCCACTGTTTCTTTGAAAGTTTTACCTCGAACCTGACCTCGAACTTCCTGTTCGTGAGACTGCTTGTCTGTCAAGTCGATTGGATTGTTACCAAAGTTTGCAAGCTGCGCACTTATTTATTCATTTGCGTCCAGGTCCAGGCAGTCATTTATCCGTGGTCCCGACTAATAAGTTTGCCTGCCAGTTCCCGTAGAAGAATCCGGCTTTAACCTCCGACCCAACCTCCACTTCTGAGGCCCTGTCGGCGACAGGAATTTAAATTTGCATCTCCCGACACATGTGTGCCACCAGGCGTAGGGGGAGGGGGAAACGGGAGCGGGATCTGAGTGGTTGGGTGACAGAAAGCCTGTCACTTGCCTCGAGGGCGGACCCATTTGTGTTGTTTTCTCGTGTCGTTCCTCAACACAATATGGCGGCACTTCCTCTCCGCCCCTGGCCACGCCCATAAGTTGTGTGTCGAGCCAAACTCTCTACATGGCAAGAAAACAACAACAACTTGATGGAAAACAGATACTCGCAGGTGAAACTACGTTGCTCATATCGTTTAGGAAGGTGACTAACATCAGGTATACTCCAATATACGTGGATGCCACAATATTATATTTCCATTTACTATTAATCAAAATCATTCAAATTTTTAAGTTATTCTATATTTAATAGGAAACACTAAGATATTCTTATTAATCGTTAAACCTAAGCCCCGCCAACCTTTCTCCCTGTGTAAAGCCATCTAGAAAGCAAGGAGCACCCACTGAAGAAACAGATACGTGTGCCAGGTCATTGGCGAACGGATGGGGCTGCTAACCGGGGTAATAAGACGTTAATAAAGCACACAGCTCCCTGGCGAAAGGACGTGCCGATCCTGGCCTGAACTACGTGATGGTGCCTCTTGGCCGCAACAATGTCGCACTGGCTGCAGATGGCCAACACTTTAACGCACTTAATGGAGGGCCCTAAGAGCGGCTCCAGGTGAAAAGTATGGAAAGTGTGGAAAGAGGCGAGGGGCACGCGGTGGTGGGAGAGGAGGCAAGTGGCCGGGGACAGAGTGCAATTTCCTGCAACCAAATGGACCTCGAAAGAGCCATGCAAACGAGCTAGGACAACAACGAGCTGGGACAGCCAACACACTCTGAGAATTTAATTACCGAAATTTCATTTAAGGACCATTTCTAGTTTTAGGGGAGAATGAAAGTGGTGTCAGGTTTAAAACTCTTTAACCAACCAAAGTAAATATTATCTTTTACTTGGAGTTAAGCTTATAGATCGAGGCAGAAGTACAACATTTCTGCCACATTTTAAGTACTTGTTTTTCCAAGTGCATCCAAGCACTTTGGACAGACAAAAAGGAGCCGAACTGGACTTGAACTCACCCTCCTTGTAGGTGGAGAAGGCCAGGTACTCGAGGATGTCGGCCTTGGTGAAACTCTGGGTGTGGTTGCTCGGCTCCTCCAGCATGCGGGCCATCGCCTCGTTCATCCAGAGCACCGTGTGGTAGTAGTCGTGGTTCACGTACGATTGTCTTCCCAGCTCGAAACAGTCGTCCGAGGACATTTCCGTGCTGCGGGACAATAAACTTGGTCACTGAATATCCCAGGGACGTTGGCCAAATATATGGCAAGTTTCCAATTTCCAAGTTGTTTATTTTTTTGGCCAAACTCACCTGTACTGAATGCCGTTGAGCTTCCCCCTGGCCACACTCGAGGTGTCCAGTTGGTAGGTGTCCTGCAGGCGGAGCAAGGCCACCGCTGCCCCATTGAGATCCTCGTCGGAGGGGAACTTCAAGACACTTCGATACTGGGTGATGTTTTGCACGAAGTCGGTGCCCACGTCATGCTCCATGAGGTTCTCCACCTGGCGCCAGTCGGTGGTAAGACGCTTGGTCAGCAAATAAGCATTAATTGGGTTGGATACGTAGCCGGTAATATCGCTGGAGGCATCTGCGTGCTCCCTCTGGTACTCGTCCATCTTACTGCAATTTAAGGAGAGAGCAAAAACTTAGCAGACAGTTCACTAAGTGCTTTTCGCGAGCAGGCAAATTGCATTACAACTAGTGGAAGGCAAAGCCAAAGTTTGAACTTGGCCAAGTCCTGCGGCAAAAATAAGCTACAGCTCAAACAAAATGGCGTAACTTCCTTGTTTACCAATAAGAAAATGCAGAAACAATAAGCTTAAGTAGGGAAAATAGCAATGTTTTACCCAGTTTCCCATTTAAAAATGCATTGGCTCTTAATGGGTTGCTTATCTAGCAAACTTATTGTCTTAAAGTTGCTCGGAGCTCTCTTACTTATTCATCAAGCTGAGCAGCATTTTTGCTGAATCAACTTTTTGACCTGCATTTAGTTTAAGCTCAGTCCATAAAAGCTATCTTCTATAAATAAAAACCAAAGTTATTGGTAATCAGGTGCCTTTATTTTATTCTTACAGCGAAACATTCTTAGCCTACACAAAGGTGAACAATAAGTTAAACAAACTATGATCTAGCAGTAAGTACAACCCACTTGTTATTTACAGTCGTTTCGGGGGATGATGATCTTCCTCTGGTTATTAATCTAATGCTTTGTTTTTGGTCTTTTAGCCGTTTGGTGTGTCGATTTTTGAAGTCCAAGTGGATGGTGTACAACTAATTAGAGACTAAGAACTAACTCCGTGGGATTACACCACGTTGACGCGGTTGTCTGGCGGTGGTCGGTGGCACCACAAGCTGCCCAGCACACCCAGTCCGATGAAGAACATGGTGAAGGTGGAAAGTCCCAGGATGACTCCAGTGGTCACATCGTGGACAGGAAAGCCGGGGAAGGGGTCCACCACGAGAATCACTAGCAGGCCACAGGACTTGAAGAGGCAAAACACGGTCACCAGGATGTAGCCGGAACTATAGCTCCTGTTCGGCAGCCAGTCGCAGTGGCGCGACTTGAAGCCCAGGAAGCCAAGCCCCATTCCAGAAATGGAGGCCACCAGGCCAAACTGCAGGTAGAAGGATTTCCCAAACTGCCGAAAGGAAAATGAAGTTATTCAAATGTTTTTCTTGACAAAACCAAAAATGTTTCTAACTACTTACGTGTGCGATCATGTAGACGATGAGAGCCGCATTCATGGTGCTGCCCAACACGAGCATCAGGGACACCACGGCCAAGGTAATCGTGGCATTGGCCATCTTCTGGGGATAGGAATTGTTGTTCTTTCCCTTTCCCTGAATGCTGCTCATGTCCTGTTCCCTGTCCGGATCCTGCTCCTGAACCCTGGGGCTGATGACGGCCATGGAACGATCAGCCATCTGCATGGGAAGCGGCTTCACGGTCTCGTAGTGGAGTCTCTGGGGGGAAAGCCGGTTCTGTCGTTGGGGTAAGGCTGGTGGAGCCCCAATCACTGCAGCAACCTGCTGACTCTGGTAGATCTGCTGGCTCTTGTAGATCTCCAGCCTGCGTTCCATCTGCAACTGCTCGTGGTGGGCGGCATTCCTGGGCGTGGAGTGGGCCAACCTCGGTGGCGGCTGCATTTTCCTGGGCGTGGTCAGGAGTTCGTGCAAGGCTCTGGTGGCAGCTACTGCATTCCTTTGCTGCGGCGTTGAAGTCCTGGCAGCATATTGCTGACTCAGCTCCATATTACTGAGGCAGGTTTCCTGCTGCTCCTGCTCCTCGGCCAAGTCATCATCATCTGCATCGGTGGGCACCACGGCATACCGATGGGCCCGGCCGTTGTGCATCTGTATGATCTCCTGGTTCTCGTCCACCAGCTCCTCATCCTCGGCGGTGGGAACCATCTGGTACCTCTGGTTGCTGTTTTTATCCACAATCAAAAAGGTCTTGCTGCCGAAATCACTGCTGAAGGCAGGCTTAATCTGCGTTTGATTGGGATTGGCGGAGTTATTATTGTTATTTCTGGGCTTGGGCGGTAGATTTAGTATAGGTGGCAAGCTGGCGAACTGTGTCTCCTGGTGGGGCTCTTCGTGAAAGGAGTGCGGCTCCTCCTCCTCATGCAGGCCATGACGGGAGCTATACCGATCTAGGTTATCCTGCGATCTGGCCAGTCTCTGGGCTGCTTGGCCGGGAACTATGGCATATCTGCTGGCCCTACTGCTGTTCAGTTCCTCCAGGGGAACCAAGGCATAGCGGCCACTAGATGATTGCTGCTGATACTGCTGCTGCTTGGCCTGATGTTGCAGCTGTTGCTGCTGCTGTTGCTGCTGCTGCTGGTGTTGTTTCCGCGTCACCGATCGCGTGGACATGCTACGTTGCATTCGCAGGGGACCCTCGCGGGGATCTCGTGTGGGCGTGGCATGGCCAGAACGCGGAGCCGCTGCCCCAAAACTCATCTGGAGACTCCTGTTGTAGATGGAGTCCACTCCACGCGAGGAGGAGTTGCTGCTGGGCACCGGGTAAAACTCGCTGTTCTGGCAGAATGCCGGGTTCGTATAATTATGCTGCGACATGTTGGCACTGTACTGGTTACTGGTGGTTACTCCGCAACCTTTAAGGGGTGTTCTTGCTCGATTTCTTTTCGGGTTCCTAGCACTTTTCACTCTCCGTTTGTAAGATCTACGATCCGTTCACCTCGGCAACTGCGACTCGACTGATCTAAAGAGCCGTTCCAGCCGGCAACTCCTCAACTACAGCAACTTCCTCCACTTCCTGCGCCGGCGCGCAGTCGAGTGGATCGTGCTCCGAGTCGTACCCCACCCCACACAAACACCATTTACTTGTACATAAGACACCCGTACAATGACCGACTGTGTTTGGCGCGTTCCATTAGGCCAGAACGGAGAAACGCAGAAACATCTGCTCCTGCGCGGCGAACGAGGGTTGAAACCCATTTCACTTCCAACTGAGACATTTCAGCTCTGCCCAAACCCAAACTAAAGCCTAAAAACCCCTGGCGAATTGCAGGAGCAGCCGGCGTTCCATTCGGCTCGCTTTATCAGCGTTTTTAATTCTTATTTACCAACTCATATGCGCTCCCTCGCGGCTTCAATTCTGTTTTGATACCGCTTAGAATTTATGTTATGGGGTATGATGGATGTCTTTTACAGCTGAAGGGGATTATATGTACATATAACCAGATCATATCAGCACTGTGTCACCACCAAAGATATGACACTATATACCTAATTTGAATGTTTTTATTCTGGAATTTTGTCATAAGAACTAGTTGCTTTGATTTGTGCATACTAAGTTTACTCCTGCTCTATCTGTTTTTAGAAATATCTTAAAAAGTTTATTAGTAGCTGAAAACATATCAAGTTTTGGTTCTAAAATACCTAACATATAGCCGTCAACTGACAAAATAAACTTTAACTGCTGGCTTTCATAAAACAGTTTAGCTTAATATGCACATATTGCTGCCATAAATGCGGCAAGTCATAAACTAGAGCTCTCAGTCCCATATCAAGTTTTATTATTTCTGTTCTATAAACAAATTAAAAACAAACAAGCTTTAAAAACTAAGAACTAGTTAAATTAGAATACGATTTGTGTTTATTCTTTTATCGTTAATATAAAGTAATCAAACATCATTTATGATTAATAAAATCAAGGGGTAGTTCCCCGTCGATCTCTTTCCTTAAAAGCAAATACTTGTTCAGCGCAGAGCGAAAACCTTCCCTAAAGGCAGCCCCTCCCCTGATTTCTGGTGCCCAAGCGACCGTTACATTCGGTTGCCACTGGAAAAGCCGCGGAATACGTTATGTTCGTGGGCCAACTTTATCCGGATCCGGATCTCACCTCCCACATGCACGTACGCCTAGGCCTTTGGGCCCCGCAGATTGGATGCACGCGTGCTGTCCTTTTGTCCCGCTGCGGTGGCCAATTTAATTGCCTTTCGGCCAAAAGCAAATCAGCGCAGCCATAGGGCGGCTGTCAAGCGGATTAGCCAGGAATTGGAGGCACCAACAGCTGGCCAGTGAGAGAGAGTTTAGGAGGCATTAAAACTTAAACGCCGGCAGACGGCACGCGACATCAGTGCGGGGGGGATTCTGCATCCGAAGGATACTCAGATGCTCAAAGGCAGGGCAATGACAGCGCACAAGGATAACGCATTCGGAGGCAGAAGAGGAACAGAGACAGCAGGCTCACAGCTGTCAGCTGTTTGCTGTCTGCTGCTCGCTGCGAGGATCCTGTCTTGTCCTTTGTTGTGACAAAGCCAAGGTACAAATGCAGAAACAGAGCAGCAACAGAACAGGAACAGCCGCATAAGACAGATCCTGAGTCCTGCGTTTTCAGTGCTGAGTTCTGAGTGCGACTGGCATTATTTGATTAGGGGAGTTGCCTCACCGCATCCTGCACCCTGTTCCCTGCTTTCTCCCCCATATTATTTCCGCTGCCAGTTGTCATATAAGTCCTATATATGTTGTGCCATATAGATCCTGTTCTTGTGTAGGCAAAAGATACGTATCTGCCATTATGTGTGTGAGTGTGTGTGGGGCGCCTTCTCAGCTACAGATACAGATGCAGTTATATAAGTCTATATATAGTGGTGTCTAGGTGCGTGCAACAGCTGCCCCTCGCACGTGGCAAAGTAATTACCAGAATGCAGGCGGCTACCTGAACCTCATTCAAGTCCCCCATTCACGGACTAGCAACATCTTGCCAGCATTACCATAAGAAGTATTTATGCTAAGTAGCATACGGGTTCGCTGGAGCTGGTCTTATAAGGTTGGGTCTTCAGAACACACCTACTAACTAGGTCTGGCTCTTAAAACTAACTTGAACATGGCTTCTTCCCTTGAACTCTGTTACAAATAATGAAGTATCTTTACCTTGAATTTATTAAGCAGCAATTTGTAAATATAAAAATGCTTTCTGCACATTGTTAAAGAATAATTAAAATGAAACTCGAAACTAAAAGTATCAAGGACTGTAAAAACATGAAACTATCTGGAGCAACTCTTTGACTACCAATGCTGCCTTAAAAATATTAAATTACAAAAAAATATACAAACTCTGGATTGAGAAAGCCCTTCCATTTACCCTGAATTTAAAACATATTTAAATGGCAAAACCATTTCTGCTCTGACTATATTTAATAACAACTATCAAAGTCACTCACTAGTCAAGCAAAGCGGCAAAAATGGGCTACAAATCGAAAGGCCAAATTCGTTTGGGTTAATTAAATAGAAAGGGAACGTTTTTCTGCCCGTTGGTAAACAAAGCAACTAATTAGTAATTGCATTTGTTTTTTCGTTATGGGCAAATGAAAATGCCTGCTAACCGCTCTCAATGGGTCAATTACGAAAACTGTGAGCTCGAACAACACGATTGTACATTTCCAAATTTAATTAAGTTTTAGAATGTGGGATTTCCCAAACAATAACCAAGCAGAGTTTATTAAAAAGTATAAACCTGCATTTTGCAAGCAGGGAAATGCAATTTAAAGCCATTAAAATCAAGGCTTCCCAATTAATTACTTAAATGTTATTTAAGCCCAATTAAGTTCAGTGAATTCGGGAAATCAATACTCACTTTTTGAGGAAGTTCAGCTTGTTCTCCTGCACGCGTATGTAGCCCTCCAGGTTGGTAATCAGTACGGATTCAGTCTCAAGTAGTTCCTCCATCTCGGCCAGGGCCGTAAAGACCTCCCCGCTTACAGGCGCGCCCACCAGGAGCAGGACTCCCAGGAGGCACATCAATCGCCAGTCCGCTGCCATTTTAAAGTCTGCAAGAAGAGGGAAAACTCGTGAATTTAAGTTATAAGAAAAACATGGTTCGGCCATCGATTTTGGCCTTAAGTCTCCGGCCATGTGTGAAGTAGAAGCTCCAAGCTCACTGAACTCGAAATCGACTGTTGTATCGATTAATTCCACTACCGATTCTAGCTGCCATATAGAATTTCTGAGTCGCGGGGCAGCCGCTGCTTGGGTTTGGGCATTCGCCAATTTATTTTAATGAGCGTTTTTTAATTTGACCTGCCATCGAGCGATTGTTTTATGGCGTTTACTTTACGGCGCTCACAACGCGCCGACGACAGTAAAACGGGTCCAAGACCATTCGATGGCACTCCACTGAACGGAGAAATGCTCTTTAAGTGCCAGTATTTCCTTTGCCAGAAACAATTTGCAATTTATATGGTTCCCTTACTGCCCCTAGAAGGCTTCCATTGACTGATGTGCTATTCGCCAATTTGTCACAGCCAGAAGTGGAACGAGCAAAATTTTCAATTTCAGATACCTACCCAGCATTACTTTGCATCTCAAACGGAGGCTTTGCTACTTTAAGGGGTTTTATCAAGAAGATAATTTGGGAGTACAACTCAGAATTCGGCAACAACTGAATGGCCTTTGAAAGGACCATTTGCGAGTTCATCTAACTGGTACTGACGCAGTAAAGAAACCCTACCAAGTAAGTGAAACATCAAACAGATATTTATCAAACACATAACAGTAAAGGCCCTATTAACCAACCCGTTCATTCAGTTAGTCACTTGTAAAAGTCTCCTTGCAAACGGCTTTGCATCTTATGAGGTATCAAGTTTCATATATATGGCTATAAACCGCAGTTTGTTTAAGCCAATGCTAAGCCATCCGTCTCGCCTGACAGGAACACCGAATTCAAGTTTGTTTCCAGTTCCGTTTTTCGGGGCGGGCCACATAGATTGCGGCTTAGTTAACGTGCCAATAAATTTTAATTGATATTAATTAGCCGCGCGCTGTTAACTCGCATCTTTAAGATAAGCGATGTTTTGTGGCACTCAATTTGGATATTGAAGACGTTCGTCGAGAGGTAGAGCGGGTGGTGGTGGTGGTGGCCCAAAAAGTCCTCCAAAAACCACAAGGACGATGCTGATGTATGCTCTCCAAGGCAGTGGGCGTTGAATAATTAATCAGCAGTAATTAATTCTGGCAAGTCAAGAAAGTCAAACAGACAGACAGACAGTCTCGTACTTGGGCAGGTAATTGCTCACATTAATCAGTCACTCGGGAGATAAGATCTGATATTAATATGCGGCATTTTGGCCAACACTTCTGGCCACTTCTGCCCGGAATTATGGATGCTCCGAGGCGAAGGCAACTACGATTTATGTCAGCTAACATGTGTTAAAAGCCAACCCGGCTGTCAGCAAATATTGAATAATCTCGCCCAGACCGGTTAGCCCCTTACTAAGTCTATTTGGATTTCCATTTCTAGTTGGGAATTTCGAGACTCTGATCAGAACGAGGGCAACAGCTATTAAGTTTTACGACCTGGTCATTCTATTTCATTCCATTTGGCTTTCCAGTTTGAGACTGATGTTCCTGATGCCAGATAGTAGACTAGATAGATAGATAGTTTCTGGCTAGGTTGGCCCTGCATCTCTCTCTGTATGGGAAATTAATTGGGGTTCAAAGAACTCCGTTACTTATGCAAATGTATCTCACAGATACGCGTCGCTGCAGCGGGGAATAAAGCCGCACAGAAACCTTTCATTGTGAGTGATGATGACCAAACCCTTAACGGTTCTCCCAAACCGCGTTACACAATCAAACTTATTGAAATGCAAATATTATTTCATCTGCAGTCCGAGAGGAATGGGGACTCCAGCAAGTTCACCGAACTCCCCAGCGGCCGCCCCACGCTCTCCATTAAGTGTGGTCCAAATAATTTGCTTTCATTGCAAGAATTCCAGTGCCACAGAGGCGAATGTTTGTTGCCACGAGTTGCAACATTTCAGCCAAAGAATTTTAAACAGCCGGAAGAGCGACCACCCATGCAATGCTGAAATAAGGTGCGTTTGGTGGCTGTAAGGTGCAGTTCGTAAGTTGTTAATGGGGGTAGCTCTTTATGTAAAGAAGTTTCTTAACAAGTTGTATCTTTTTCAGATGTTTATTTATCTAAAAACATTCCATGTTACATTATTTATACCTTCATATAGCTGACTTTGGCTATAATCATCTTAAAGCTGCCTTTAAGTATACCTAACAGTCTCCACATACTTCTATAATAAACCTACAACATAAAGAAGTTACAGATACATCAAATAAAACTACGCTAAGCACCAGCTTATATACTTAAGTATAATGAAAACATGAAGATAATCGGGACTAAGACGGCTCTCGAAACGTTCTCAACTATAAATGTCAGCGTATTAGCGATAATTTGGCCGTATTGTATAAAACGTCTTTATGGCAATATTTAAAAATCAAATCAAAGTGGGGCCGTTAAAATCAATTCCATTCAATAAAAGACACAATTTACGAGTTGCGATCGGGCTTATGTACTGCAGTTAACACATTACCCTTGTTATCGAGCCAAACAGAAAAAAAGGTAATAAAGATAAGTGAATAAATATACATATATACATGAGTATTTGCAATGCAGAATCACCTGCCAAGTTGTCTGAACGTTCAGCAGGGGATTACTCACATTTCTGGTCGATCAAAATGATGGGGGCCCATAAAGTCAGAGTGGCATACAAACGAACCGCATATTCAAAACGTGCAAAATGTGAAATTATCAATATTTAACAGGGAGCTGGCAGCAGGAATAAATGTCAGGCAGCTCTAATTACGATGGACTGCGGTTAAAGCGGCCAAAGGACGAGGACTTTCCCAGGACAAAGCTGAAATTGGATTTCACGTTAAACTAATTGGCAGCAAATTACAAACTTCAACCGAGTGGAAGAGAGCAGAAAGTTGATATGGTTACGGAAATTAATGCATGACCGAGGAAAATTCGATTTCCAGCCCAGTCAAGACGATGATTTTCCTTCACTTTCATCACACCTCCTCTTCTGGTTAGTTGGGCAAACTAATCTCTCAATCAACTTCGATTCACGCCTCATCATCACCACTTTTTGCACTTCTTGCGGTGCGCATTGTGCTGCAATGAAATGGACTTTCGTCATCGGATTGCATTCGCCACACTGCCAACTGGCACGCCTCTTCTTCACAGTCCGCCCCCAGAAATAAAAAACCAACAGAAAAGCTGGCTCGGCATTTTTTGGCTTGCGTGTATTCTGTGCCTTATGCAATCCAGCAATCTGGCAGCCAGCAATCCAGCAACCAGCAACAATGTTCGATGCCTCTTCTTCTTCGTGATTTTACTGCACTTTTCCGAGGAAAAGCGGGGAGAAATGAAAATGAATTTGCTGCCGGCTTTTGTTCGACAAAATTGTGTTATCTTGCGCCCGGCTGCAATTAAGTTATGAAATATTTTGTGTGCAAAACGCTGACTAAGCTCAATGTTCGACCCACTGACTGACTGCGAAAAGTGGCGATGGAAAAATGAAAATGGAGATGGTTGACTGCCCCACGGATACAGATACGCAGATACTCTTGTGCCAGGTGACAGGGAACTAGCATTACTCGCATCGCACCTGGCCAGTCAGCAAATGTTTCCTACCTGGCAAAAAGGCGTCCTTGTTGCCACAGCAAAAAAGTTGCTAACTGTGACCTGGTTGTCTATACTATATGGTATTGGCTGGCAACAGTGGAGTTTCTTTAAGGTTATAGGGTTATGTTCTATACGATAAATTTTAAGATATAGCTGACTAGCCAACATAGCAAGACAGCAATTAAAGGTGTGCCTAAATTGTAGTGCTATTTTTTGGTAGCATAGCATCCTTGTCATCCCTAAGTGTCTCTCCATTGCCACAGCACTTGTCCACTTCGGGGACCTTTCACTGTGCCACCTGTCCCACACAATGGCACCTCGCTTATCGAGAGCAGCATATTCACCTGCTTCCTGGGAAACTCCTTCCCCTTTGCCCGCAGATCTGCCACACTTTCCCTCAAATGAAACTGTCAGCAAACGGCACCAATTCTATAAAATGCAACGGGACAATTTGAGCAGACACGACATCATTATTCAGGTGCAAATGCTGTGGGTGGCTTATCACACCCCCCTCCCTGGGAGTGGGTGTCTAGGTGTGAAGCGTTGGCAACATTTGCAAGGCCGACTGGCAGGTGAATAGTAGGTTTGCTGGTCTGTTCATCTATGGTTATCGTGGCCCCCACAATGTCGTCCATCAATTTTATGACCGGCGAAGTCGAGGAAGCTGCTCAAGCGACTCCGAGATGGACGGGGTTAAGACCATAACTCAACCAACAGTGGCCCAGCAGCAGCACTGACATTTATGAGCTACCTAGAGCGGACTCATAACCGTTCCTCAGCAGCAAATTTGGAACTCCAACCGCTACACTGAGAGAAACTAACACCTTTGCTTAATTTAACACCTTAAATTCGCATTTCTAAGTAAATATTTAAATAAGACGTTATCATAAAACACGTTTTCCTAATGACGCTCGACTCTATCTGAGTAAAAGCGTTTTAAAATCTATAAATATTTATCTCTTTGCGGGGGAAGCAGAACTGACCAAATATTATGAATGCTATCTGTTCCACATCTTCTGTTTGGGGGACATTAATTAATCTCAGCTTAGCAGTGCAAGAAACTAACGTTTAACGTTTCAAAATCAAGTATAAATTTGTCTAATATAAAAATATTTAATCATAACATTTATCAGAAACTGGCATTGTCTTCGGGCATTTCTAGCTCCTCTTTGAATGCCTTCTAGAAACAAGTTTCTAAGAATTAATGACGCCAAATAAAACTTGAATCGGTTTCTGGGTGGAGCCTTTTCAATTTTGTATTGATTGTGTCTTCATTATTGATGCGATATTATTAAAAGCCTAATTAAAATAGAATTAATTGCATGATTTGTTTGCTTAGCCAATAATGAAGAGATGTTGCCAAATAATTAAGAGTTTTAGAAATTCGGAATATTAATCTGAGACCATCTGAGATAACTTTTTACTAGTTAAAAATATAAACTTCCAGTTAGTGATTCTCCCTCTGTACCTGATCTTTGAGCCCTGGCATTTGTGAGCTGTCGGCAAGCTCGTGGAAATCGCTGAGCTCTTTTCGCCACATTGTCTCTTTGGGCCAGTTGCTGTTAATGTGGCACGAAGTCGCCAAACTGCTGCCACCGCAGTCTGCCATCTGCTAAATGTCAGGCCCCCAGCCCCCGAACTGACCTTCCCCACATGGACTCCATCTGTATTTCCCATGCCTGCTGTGACATTTGCCCATTCGGAATCCGCCGAGGGTACGGCTTCCTCCCCACCTGCCAGCCCACCAACCCTGCAGCCCCTCTCCCATCAAATTTGGCCAATTTGCGTGGCTCTGCTCGTCGATCGAATGCATAATTAAAATCGCATCGAATCGACCCGTCGATTTCTTCTTCGCCGGCACTGTAATTTGATTCCGAGTTTTTCTTTAATTAACTGACTTAATGGAGCTCGTTAGACGCGCCTCGGCATAACCACTTCATCATCATCATGGCTTTAATACCCTCATCGTTGGCACAAACTTTGCCCTAACCACCGAAAGAGGTATCTCCACTTTGCTGATACGCAGAAAAGAGTTCTGAGTGGGAAAATCATGGTCTCGGGCTGCCTAGTTTGTGCAAATTATGCAAACAATTTGGTTAAGTGTAATTGAGTTGGCCAGGCCAAGAGCGCGTGGCATTTTCCAGGCCACATATTGCAGTTGCCCCGAGAACTGGGAGTCGTCGGGGGTAATATGATTTGTCTGCTAGCAAAAGTTCTGCTCGCAGGGCACAAACTTTTCAATTCCATAAGCGTTAATTTGATTGCCACAACTTTGTCTAACCCCACGAACCCAAAGAAAAGACCCAACACTGGCGGAAAAATTGAAAGTAGGAGAGGAAACATGTGTCTTTGAGATTTCTGCTGCATACTATCATAAATCTCTTCTAGAAACTTGAAACTAGAAGATTCTAAGGCTTCTCTGATAACCTACTGACAGAAGATGTCGCTTGAAATATTTCAAATATGATTCTGATCAGAAATTTATTCTCTCTGTACTGGGGAAAACGGCATTCGCGTTAAATATTCAGTAGGCAGGAAGGAAGGACTCGGCGGAAGTGATTCAAGTGCATTCAGCGAGTTTGCTAATTAGTAATGAATGACAAATGTTCGCAGCTCTTCCCCCTACCAGCCAACCCCCTTTAACACCCTGATGGCCCCCGATGCTAACCCATGAATGTCAGACAGATGCCGTCATGGAGCGTGTGCACACATAAATTTTACAATTCACCTTGAAAAGTAAGCATAAACGACGTCCCCCGATGGAAATCGCAATATCAAACCGGTTCAAAGTCGATGGCGAACATCATTGGAGCGAAAGATGAGCTGGGAAAAAAGTGGGAAAATGCTCGCATGCCAGACAAGGAAGTGGGCCAAACGGCAGCCTCCTTGTCATCACTTTCCTCGCATTCCCCACCTGAAGTTCGATTCGGATTTGGTTTTCATTTTGGCCAGGCAGCAGCCACTTTTGCTTTCGCATCCATCTCTATTATGACCAACCGGTTGTCATTGCCGCACTAATTAGCAAGCAAATACTGATCAAATGGGCTTAAAGCCGAGAGGCCGAATAACGCGAGCGGGGAGCATCGAACGAGAAGAACCTGGCTAAATTATAAAGTTCATAAATTAGCACACCTAACTCGTAAGTTAATTGAAGCTATTGGAGTCGTTTGTGTTTTTAAAAATACTCATACCCATTAATCATCCAAACCAGACTCTAATTGGTGAAGTGTCTCCAATCGGATAAGCCATATAAGCTGATTCGAATTGCTAAATAAGGTTTGTGTCTGGGATAAGTTGTGGTAATAGAACTTGGATATATCCTTTGACCTTAACAGGGGAAATTATGAGACCTTGGGGGAATAATATATCTTACTTATAATAAAGTAACAGATTGATACGATAAAAAGCTCAGCTTATCACCTTTTTAAATTAGTTGGCTTAGTAACGAGTAAATATTTCTGTAATAATAATTCTTAAGTAGTTCCACAAACAATCGTTTCCAATAATTGTGATTATACTGAAAGAAATCTCCTTATTCCTGATATCTCTTAAATAATCTTTAATTATAGAAAAAAGTGTTTAAAAAGTTTTTTTAGGAACATCCTTTTTCCCCATGGTTGGCAACACATCGCGAGAACTAGTTCAAGGACTAGTTCCACTCCCACTCAAGGGTGGATTGGAAGCCTTTTCCAGGAAAAGAGCCGCACAGAAGAGAGCAGAGAGATCAAACTGAAGATGAAGTGCACAAGAAACGCAACCAAAACAAATGCCGACAATTGACTACGTGACTGCGGCACTTCCTCCTTTGCGCCCCCAGTCCCCATTATATAAACACACCCAGACGGACATAGAAACACACACACATACATATGCCTATGACCGCACACACTTTTTCGAGTCCAGATATTTAGAGGCTTATCGCCAGCGGCAAGGAGAGGGAAGGGAAGACAGAGCATCTGTAGGAAGTGGGGAATATGTGGGGGCAGAAGCGGTCAATTGGATCGCCATGTGGTGACAACAAGTGCATATAATATATAGGCACGGGCACAGAAAGCAGCTGAATGGGAAATCAGTTCAGCGTTCGTCACCAGAGCAGCATTTCTCTCTAATCAAAATCGAATATTCAATTTAGCTGGCCCACATTCCGCATTTGTCGTAAAGTCCCCATTATTGTTATCAGTGCACGACGGAAGCCGACAGGAGAAACACGTCAGAAGTTCTAGAAATTATATCTGAGGGATTCTTTGGCTTACCTAGTGGCTTGCTGGGAACTTGTTGCTGGATCTCGATGGATGTCAATGAATCTCGCCGCCTTCTTTGTTTACAATTCTTTGAGAACACCTCGATTGCATCGCCCGCCCGCACTCTGTATCTTATAGATACATTTCCACTTTCAACCCGTAGCACACAGTACACGTATCTTTTGGGTATTTTCGTTTAGAACCGATTTCAGGAGTGTTTTCTCTTGTCTCGAGGAGCAGGTCCCTCTTTTCTTTAGTTTATTCTGTAATTTTAAAGGGTTTCTCTTCAATTCGCGTCCGCGCGTTGAGAAATACCGAATGGAACTGAGTTTGTTTTGTTGCCGCCTCGAACGTAGATAAATACAGACTTCCAGCAAGAGCAAGTTTCTGGTTTCATGAACTGGAAAACTCAGAGAGCAAGAGAGCACTTCACACCTACACTCCGAAACGGAGAGCGAAACTACACATACATTCCACTGCGCTCTCTATACCTCTCCTCTTTGTGGATTTCATGCGGTCAGCTGACTGTGGATTGTAAGTTGTGGCGGGATATTTGATTTACCATCTTTGACATTTCTTACCCTTATTAAATACCCATCTAAATAAAAACAAACTAAAAACCACAAAACTTAGTTTCAACATAATTTGGCATCTTTTTTATTCGCGTTAGCAAAAATAAAGCTTTCCTTCGTCACTTACAAATGGTAAATAAATACATGGATTCAGTGTAGGTTTTTGATTTTGATGGGCTCGACAAGTGTCTGGCCAGGAATATTTATAGGATCACTCCACTTGGATGTCCGGGACCTAATCCTCCTTAACGGTGAAGGAGTGCGTGAGGCCCTCGTAGGGATACTTTCCGCCCAGGATGTACTTGTACTCTCCAGAGTGCCGGATGCGATATTCCCCGGGAAGGGTCTGTGGACTGATGTTCCAGTAGATGTCCAACTCGCTGAAGCCCAGGATCGTGTTGGTGCGGTGCCAGATCATTCTGAAAGAATATAGATCAAGTTAATAACTCTTTATGGACATAATCCAGACTTGACTCACTTCGTCTCCCAACTGGCGTCCGTGTAGGCCACCTTCCAGCGGTCCTCGTTGATCTTTCGCTCCACAGTGAAGTAGGTTTTCTCGGTGAAAAGGTTGTTGCGCGGATTTCCGGATATGTAGGTTACCTTCACCGTCTCATTGATGCCGTACTCCTTGTTGGGCTGGGATTTCACGTAGCCAAAGTCCGTGTTGATGGGGTGTCCGTCGAAGAGAACTCCGGTGTTTAGCGACAGCATTACGTCGTTCATGTATGGCGGACTTGGACCCGCATCTACTGTCTCATTCCGCATCATAGCCTTGGTCAAACGCTCGAACACGTCCATGTAAATGGAGTGGGTGTGGGGACCGAAGATCGTTGAGGCTGCCTCGTAACGCTGCGCCTGGTACTCCTCCGGGGTCACCGTGTAACTGGTGTATATATTGGTCAGTCCGGCGATGATCACCTCGGTGTCTATACCTCCGGCAGCCGAGGCAGCTGCCCGAATCTGGTTACGCAGACGACGTCCCGCCATCGTGGTAAACTCACAGGGCACGGCTGCTATGATCACATCGCCAATCTTCAGGATCTGATCCGACACAATCTTTGGCTGCCACTCGTACGGGAAGGTGGCCTAAAATGGGAATAAATTTCCAGTTGAATGGTTATTTTATGCACAAAATAAAAACATTTTCAGCAAACATTATTTAATGACTAACATAATGAATGATCTTATAACCTAGAGAAAAACTACTTTACCTTAATGTTTATTAGCTAAAAAGTGCTTTGCGTTTCGTTTTTAATTACCTGCACTTCAGAGCAATAAAAATGATAATGACAATAATTGACTTAGACTATATTTAATTTAAAAGTAAATGGAAAATGGTTGAAATCTATTTTGAGCTGTGCTCTCAATCGATCCTACAAGTTTAGTAAGCAATGGCACACCATCTTAAGTGTTGCATACTTTCAGGCATTACTAAATTTATGAGGCATCTCTTAAGCATTACTATATATGGGTAGATAATCTATAAGTACTCACCCTTCCAGTAGCCAAAAGAATCGGTTTCGGTTCGTGGCACTTGATGTCCTCCTGTGTGGGAGCAGCAATGAAGTCGCGTACGAAGTTCCACATGGCGTTGTCCGTGGTGGTTCCCTGCTCGAAACTGAAGGCTCCAGGCCCATCGGTGGTGCCAGCGGCAAAACTGTAACCCATGGCAGGCTGACAGCCCCGCACCTTGTCGATCTTCCTGCTCAGCGGGTTGTAGGTACTGCCATTGTAATTGGGCATGTCTACAAACTGGTGGATAAACCTCACATCTCCAGTGACTTCCCGGGCAGTGGACTCCTGGCTCTGCTCATTGAGTAGACCCAGAGCAGCATCCGCCAACCTCTGTCCCAAAATCTGGGTGCTCTCAAACATATCCTTACCGGGACCAGAGGCGAAGCAATCTCCCTCGCCAGCAGGACAACGGGAAGTTAAGAGATCGCATTCATTGCCGGAAATCGAGCACTTGGGACCCATTATGTTAGGGGAAACATCTCCGAGATTGGACGAACAGAAGGCACCCACGAATTTGCCCTTGCCGGGCATCTTGTTCGGATTGTATTCCTTTTCCAGGAGCAGAGCAGCATAGCCCACGTTATCGCTGGTCACCAGTTTGTTGGTGTTGTTCATTGAGGTGGCATGGACTGCGTACCAGTTGAAGGCGCCCAGCAGGTTGTTTTCCAGATCCACAAATCTCAGCTGAGTCAAGGTCTTATCCGTGTCGTGTTCATACTGGGCACGCTCCTCGGCAGGATTTCTCAGGTAGGAGGAAGGAGAACGATTGATGTTGACATTGAGGACTGTGGTCTTGGACAGGAAGATACGACCATCTACCAGATTGTCCGTGGCCCTTTTTATGCACTAAAACAAAGCAAACATAATCATTCCGTTTAGGATTTTCCTTAAATGTAATACCTACCAAATAGATACCCTGAGCCATCACCTCGAAGGTCTGAGGCACAAAGCCCAGAATGGAGATATCGTAGAGCAGGTGCATCAGGAATCCTCCGGGTGCTCCGTGGGTGTGGGTGCCACTTATAGCCACGTTGTCCGTGTGGTAGAGGTTTCCGTAGCGAGCCTGCAACCGCTTAATCACCTCCCTCTTCAATCCATAACCCATCATTCCGGCATCGGCACTCACGAAGGCCACTCGGTTGCCCTTCTCGTCCTCCACCACAAAAGCACGGGCAAAGACTCGGGTGTGGATGCCACGCCCCACTTGCTTGATGTTGGCATAGCCCATCTATCATAGGAGACTCATATATAGATCAAAACATAAAGATGTTATTTTAATACTCACAAAATTGATCTCGACTGGAGGACCTGTGATGTCCGCTCTACCTACGCCCACTTTGTAGGTGGCGCTGGCCAAACCGCATAGGGAACTTAGGGCCAAAAGAGCCAGAAAGGCTATATTGCTGATGGCCATGTTTTGTTTTGGGAACTTAACTTTTAACTGCAATGTAATTATATTTAAAAAATAATTAAATAACTAGTTAATTAAATAATAATTTTAAAGAATTTACTTCTCATGTCAAAATTTACGTAATCACTAAAACCAAAGTTAGCCTTTCATGTTTTAAATAACTCCTTATCTGTGACATAAATACAAGCCAATTAGCCATGTTAAAAATAAACTACATTTTTTAATCATCATGATGAATAGCAGTTAACTTTTAATTACTGCCTTAAATCGCACACGAGATATAATTTAAAATAAATGCTCAATTTTTACCAACATTTTTCAGAAGTTATTAACTGACTCAAAAGTGCCTTATAATATTAACAGCCAATAATCAAATTAATAAAGCCGTTTTGAAGGAAATTAATAGGCTGTTAATTAAGATAGTTTAGCTAATTTGATTCATTTTAATATTTGTTTTTATAACAAGCTAACAGGCTGCTCTAACTTAACATAATATCAATCTTCTCCCTACCACTTTGTTCTACTTCTGATAAGTGGAAGTTGCGACTGATTATCATAAAACTGTATCTTTCTTTACAACCCTAACATAACCAATTCAAAAACGCAGAAATCAAGAGACAACCGTTGCTATTTGGCAATCATTTTGTATATTGCAAATATCTGCAACAAAACGCGATGGTGACGAAAGACATAATCGATTGACAGTCGGACAGCTGAGCTTGAACCATTCCGGCGATCCAGCGATCCACCGGCCCTCATCTATCAATCGGTTATAGATTAAATGGACAAATGCGAATTGGCAATCGCACTTCGAATGGGGCTGAGATTGGGGCGACGGTGACCTCCAGCAGACTTATAACAATAACAATAACAACCCGATGGACAATAACAATAACAATAATAATAACAAATAACAAAGCAAACAACCGACCCGCAGTTGCATGATGACGGACGGGGGATCTCTTATCAGTATCTGAAGACTCTCTTCGGAACCGGTTTTTATCAGTTGCGAAAGCCAAGCGGCTTCTTCGGTGGCTCAGCAGTTACTTTACAGCAGCGGTCAATATGACAGAACTGTGACCATAAATTATAGGAATTTTTGAGATAAAAAATATTAAAATATTTTAATTTTTACTTAAAATTTCTTCTTTGACATTTTACATATTTATTATTATAATCTATATAAATATATTCCTAGGTATCTTGGTTTTAATTTTTGGCTCTGTAGCATATCTTCCATTTCTATCGCTCATAAAATGATAACCATATGGAACACATGTGGTATACTTGATACTTCTATGCTGACCGCTGTTGTCTGTCTTGAAACCAAAAGTAGTTGGGTTTTTCACTACCACGCATTAGCACCGCCCCCTTCATCACTCATTTCCCCTCATTTGTGTTTCCAATTTTTCCGCTTGCTTTTGTTTCGAATTTAACGATGAATCGACTTCTTTTGTATGCGCAGTCGGTTCCCTTCCGTCCACATAGAACTCTCTGTTCTCATTGGGATCCCGCAAAAGGCGTTAAGTAGGAAATCGAGTGGGTAATTGCCGCGCATCTAAAGCAGTGCCTCATTCACCTGACCACCACGCCGATTCGACTATCCGCCGATCCCCATTATTTGTCGTACACTTTGCATAATTTACACACCACGGGCCTGACATTGAAAACGAAAATTAAATAAATATGCTCGGCTATAAGGCGCGACTATCAGCTGCAGGGCCATCGCACAAGATACAATACAAACTACAGATACAGATACAAATGGCCCGGCAAACACGTATCTTTTGTGCGGATTTCGATTTCGGATTCAGATACTTTTGCAACCGCCTGGAGGCTCGAAAATGTAACGCCGCTCGCCAAGAAAAGAGAGCACTCACAATATATGGAGATACGGCAAAGTACCTCTTGGATACGGACCGCCAAACGCTGATCGCCGGACAAACGCGCCAATTGAGTAAATTACAGAAGATTTCGTTTGATGAGTCTTTTATAAGATGAGTAGGTGTATTATATACCATACATGTGTATCTGAGGTTACTTGCACTGATTTAGGGATGCTCGGACTTGTTTTTGAGGGTTATGCAATGTGAACTCCTTTTTTTAGTGGAAAACCAGGCTCTGGCTTTTGGGCTTCAACACTCACATTCAAGGTTTGCAATCAATTATTTCGGATAATTATTGCTCTGGCGCTTATCACACGCTCTTTATCTGGCCAATTAACGGATAATGTGCAGCATTTGCATTTGCAGTTTGGGGCTTGTCGGGGCGATGCCAAAACCGATTTCAAAACACGCTGGGCCCCACTTTTTTCGATTTATTTATCTCTCCACGAACGCGACAGTTGATTTTTGGGTTTTCTGTGTTTTGTCCTCTCCCCCCAAAACGAAACTATCTCAAAACCGAACCGAAACGAGAGATCCGTGGGATTTTATCGCCGCCCGTTGTGCGCCCAAGCTGGCACTCGACTGATCTGATCGAGCCAAGACACCGATGTATTCCACACTGGGCTCAGCTCTCTCAGTTGTGGATCGCATTCAAAAAGCTGGCTTTGGACTGCAAGCGGTGGCGGGAAATTTGAATTATGTTTTGTTATATCTTAAGTTTGAAGTAGTTTACTATTTATTATGTGTTTAATCACTGAATATCAATCAAGTTGATCTAAATATGATAAAAAGTGTTTATAAAACTTTATTATTTTATGAAATAAAGAGAGCTACCTTTACTATTTCTTGCAACCTGATATATAATTTATTTTTGAGTTTGAGCATTACTTCTTGAACCTTTCTAAATTTAAATGCACGTATTATTTATCTTATGAAAGCATCTTTTATAAGCCCGTCCAATATTTCCACCTGCACTGTAGGTTTTGCCCGATCTGCATGCTTTAAATAATCCACCGATAGCTTATCATATCGCCTCGTTAGTTTCCGCAGATCAGGAATTAGATTGGACTTATATAGCTGTTATTCCTAGGTAAACAACTGCGCACTTTGACTCCTGCGAACAAGATATTCTCACACTCTAAGAACCCGATACCCGGTTGGCATATGGTATTTAAAATTTCGACTATATTGACTTACCCCAGAAATAAGTTTCCTGCAGACTTCTTTCGGGATCGATCCACGCGCTACTACTGAATGGGCGCTCAATCGATCCAGCTAAGGGGTCTTTGAAATAACCAGCCGATAAGGTCCAACTATCGACTAACTTCGAGTGTATTACCAAGATTAGCCGTGTTTTATTTGCAGCGATACGGATTAAGTACGTGCAATAGGAGGGGGAATATACGGCGTGCTCTCTAGAAATACAAATTTGCAACGTACTATTAGCATGCTTTTAAAAAGTATATATTTGGTTATTGTTCTGGTTATCTGACCTCTAAACCAGGAAGTACTTAAATTACTCAAAATATAACTAATTCAAAATTAAATTTACAATATTTTTAATCTAAATATGTAATGTATAATAATTATAACAGTTTTATTGGCTATAGGGGTTAGCGATAAACAATAAATCGTATTTAAATAGCTAAAGCTCGTGTACTTAATTTCGCACGCGTAGTAATATTGACTAAATTTAAACAAAACAGCTGAAAACTTGAAAAACTTAAAATAAACTTAGGAATTAAAAATTAAACATTGCAATTTAATTCAAAATATATATTAAAGTGAATTGAAATACTTCACTTCGAATTATGACAGTAACACACAAATCAAAATAACTCGACTATCAGTTTTTTTTTTTTTTTTTGTATCTTATTTGTTCAAAAAGTAACGTTCGACTTGCTTACAAAATTTCTGTTAACTATAATAACTCCGATTACTATCGATAAGCCATAAACGATTATCTTAGTGCCATCGCAATCAGCTGACTGCGTGGGAAAACAGCTGTTTCCAGCTTTTTCAGAGGACGCCACCTGCGTAATTATGAGTAATTCTCCACGCAAAAAGATTGCGGAACAGCATTAAATCGCCAGCCAAGTGCGCGTCCGATTCGTGGGAGCAAGAGCCCAAGACAATAGCCAAAGGATTACCGGCAAACGAGGCATCGGAAGCCTGGACAAAGAGCTGACACTTCAGTAGGAGCAAGTGAAACCATGTCAAAGGCTGTGAATAATATGAGCATGGGCGTCGTAGAGCCGCAGGAGAGGATGAAGCACCTGTCGCACTGCGGTAACCTAATCGACGTGGACAAGAACATGCCAGTCACACGGTGAGTCCTTCGTTTTCAAGCGATTCCATTGCCATTTGCCCCAAGGCTATGACCTTGGTCGCGAAGGACTTCTGGGCTCTAGGTTTCTCATACCCAATGTCCTTGTAGGTACTATCGCTCAGGCACCGAGATGCTGCGCATGGCCAACGTATACCTGCGGGAGGGCAACCACGAGAACGCTTTCATCCTGTACTTGCGCTACATGACCCTCTTCATTGAGAAGATCCGCCAGCACCCGGATTACGGTAGTGTTAAGGCCGATGTGCGGGATATCAACAAGAAGATCAAAGACGAGATAATGCCCACGACAGAGAAGCTGCGCGCCAAACTATTAACCCATTACCAAAGGGAATACGAGCAATTCCTGGCCAACAAGGAGGCTGAACGGGCCAGGGAATTGGAGAAGGAGCGAGAAAAGGAACGTCAGCGGCAGAAGGAAAGGGAAAAGGCGGGATCGAGTAGCATTCCATCCCTCATCCCGGCCAACCTGCACGTGCTGATCGACGAGGGCAACCAGCCATCGGCACCGGACTTGTCCCTGCTCGACCAGGTGGTCTACCCCAATGACTTTCCCACGGGTGCAAATCGAAGCCTGCCGGGATCGGGACTCCTGTTGCCTGCTGCTGGTGAAGCAGCCGCCGATAAGACAACCAAGTAAGATTCAAAGAAGGGTTTTAAAGCTTAAAAGAGATATTCCCAGGAACTGCCTGGGATTCAGTCTAGACATTCCTAATCAAGGGGTACCCAAAACCTATGTTTATTCTATGATGAAATGGAGAAACATGAAGAATTTCTGTTCCAACCTCGGTGCAGATGAAATTCTATAGTTGAAATCAGCATAACTTTTCCTAACCCCTACGTACTGTAAACATCAATGCGCCTATTTGTGGTTTAAAATGGGACACCTCAAGCAAATAAGTAGCCTACGCTAGCTTATCGAGCGATCGTCAGCTATAAACAGATATTTATTTGATTGAACTTGATAAGGGAACTGATAGTTTCTTGAAGCAGTTAGACTATCTATAGCCAATAACATTTTCTTAATAGCAATGCATATCTATAAATTCCTACTTACTCTAAGAATTAGATATATATTAACAAATATATTCATTCATTCAGCTCTAAGCCTAGCTTCGATCGCAACCAGAAGCCATCTTACAACCGTACGGATTCATTGCTGGCGGGATCTTTACGCCTAGTGTATGTTCCCGGAGACACGATGGAGGTGTTCCTAAAGCTGGCTCTTGCCAACACCTCGAAAAACATAGAGACTTGCGGAGTTCTAGCTGGTCATCTGTCCCAGAACCAGCTGTACATTACGCACATCATCACGCCGCAACAGCAAGGAACCCCGGATAGCTGCAACACGATGCATGAGGAGCAGATTTTCGATGTTCAGGACCAGATGCAGCTGATTACACTGGGATGGATTCATGTGGGCTATATAAGCTATATATATCTTAACTCTTACATATAAATTATACAATTTACTTCCTTTTTGCAGACCCATCCCACACAGACTGCGTTTCTGTCCTCCGTTGACCTGCATACGCATTGCTCCTATCAGATTATGATGCCCGAAGCCTTGGCCATTGTGTGTGCCCCAAAGTACAATACGTGAGTCACCCATGAGTCATTTTGGATAACAACTGCTTATCTGGTACTCATATCTTGGTCTTGCAGCACTGGTTTCTTTATACTCACGCCACACTATGGACTTGACTACATTGCCCAGTGTCGTCAGTCGGGCTTTCATCCGCACCCAAATGACCCGCCGCTCTTCATGGAGGCGCAGCACATCCGGATTGATAACCAGGCTAAGATCAAGGTCATAGATCTGCGTAGATAGTCACTCAAAGCAAACGAACTCAGCAGATCTAGCAATAGCTCCAGTTTCGGGTGTCAAACAGTGATTAACCATGGAAATTACAGAGATTTAGGCAGATAGAGAGAGAGTAACTATTTTCGGCAAAGAAAGAAAGATATGTATTTTTGCAAGCTGTTGATCCCGAGGATCGTCTATACATCACTTTAAGCACTCGGCGGCATTTGTTGTTGTTTATTGCGTTCCGGCCTTTCCGTTCGTTGCATACTTTCACTTAAGAATCCCCAATGTGATTTTAAATTGTGGCTTACCCTTGCGTTCGTTACTACCACATATTTAATATGTTAGGCAGTTGGAGGGGAACCCCCGTCACTCTCACACACAGGCACACACACACACCCATGCAGCTTACAATGCATACTATTCGGGGCATCCAAACAAGGAGTCCCTCCTTCTACGGCTTACTACTTGCGATAACCTGTTGTTCAAAGACGAATCATCATTAAATGCTATTATTAAACTGTGCATGCTTACCTATTGTACTAAACTGAATAAATATTTATGACTACTGGCTTATGGACGCCCATATGTTTCAATTTTAATGGGTATCGTTAACTTAGTTTTAGATTTTCAGTATGGCATGGTAGTAAAGTTAGAGAAATAAAATCTTGATTTTGTGCGTAATTAATTGATTTCATAATAGTAGAATTTTGTAATTTCTCTAAGATTAAAAACTTACAATTCCATCTCTTGTATAGGAATCTAGGAAGGAAATGCAATTTTTTGAATATAAAAACTTTTTCCGAAAGAGGGCGCTCCGCTCAGCTGAAAAATTTCCCTCATCACAATTTAACATTACTCGCTGCAGTTGAGCAGCTGCAACTCATTAAAGATTACTTTAAATTACATAGTATACTACTTTAGGATATATTTAACTGTTTTTCTTAATAATTTCTTTTAATTTAGAAGTCACTTTTACCATATCGTATTTTCACTGACTATAGGGGTGGGAAAGTTAACATTTCCCTTGTATCTTAACATTTCCCACCGCAACCACCTTTTGGAGCCCTGTTATCCAATGTTTTCCATGTTGTCATCCAGTTTAGCGCGTTTTCTCCTCTGGCACGGTCCTGTTTTCCGAGGTGTTCCCAGTGCAGCAGCTATCGCCTCCAACCATCTGGGTGCATTTAAGGAACAGGAACCTATATAGAGTTGTATTCAAGTGCTGATCCGCGGGGCAGTGAATCGAGTGTCCCGCAAAATAAGCGGAATTAAGTGCGTAAAAATCGATAAGGGAGAGCAGCTCCTTGTAAACCACCCACCTGAGGCCAGGTGGAAAATCGTCATTTAATTCCTGCTGGTTTTGCTGAAGCTGAAGCGCCAAAAGTCAGAGTAGTTCCACCCACCCGAAGTGCCGCTGATAATGGCAATGAACATCCCGTTTCCGTTTAATTGGATACCCACTCTGCCAGTCGCTCGATGCCAAGAAGTAAGTGCACTCGGTGGAGCTTAGCCTTTGTCATCCGTGGAATCCCTACCCTCTGCATCAAGTGGGCGCCAGTTTGCGCTTTAATTACCAGAGCCACCCCCACGCCTACTTTGCCACACAAGAGGCGGCGGATTAGGTGCTCGGATCTAAAAATAAATGTGGCTGGAAAAGGAATGAAAAGAGCAAAAGTGCCGACGGGCGGAAACGTATAAACAAGCTGAATTACAAAATTATAAAATACCCTTTTAGAAATATTGAAACGCATTATATTAAAGAACCAAAGATAGAGAAAGATTTTTAAGGATTATGTTTGAACTATCACCAAGTTAGAACCAAACTAAATTTCTCATTTAATGACATATGGTTCCCCATTTGATTCCTTCCTTATTTAAGTGATATAATAAGTTATATTATAAGTTATTATACACAGTGGTTTTCTCTGTATCCACCAATACAGATATAAAGATATAGTAACCGTGACAAGCACGTGCCACTCGCTGCAGGCAGCTGAGGGGCATGGAAAGTGGGGGAAATAAGGGGGAAGCGACCTGTGAATGCAGGAGCCTTTGACTGGCGAAAGACAGGAGCTACGACCATGGCCAAGAAGAACTCATTATGCAAATGCAACAAAGCAGAAGTCAAGGTGCGGGGTAGACAAACACGGGGAGAGACACTAAATCCGAGCAAACAAACAAACAAATCGCTGCAGTCTGCCGTCACACAGGTCGTATGTGTATCATTTTCCGCTTGTTGGCCCTGTCAGAGTAAAAAAACAGAGAGAATCTCTTTCTACTGGGCATGAATGCATAAAATAACACACAAGTACATTTCGGGGGTTTACAAGTTCACTGAGCAGTGGCAACAAATTGAATCGGGGCTAAAGCGGAACTTCCTTTGCTCGTTTTCGGATTGGATTATTTCACGCCCACTGAATCTACAGAAAGTTGTTGTTTGCAAAGTAAAAATGTGGGAAATATGAAAAGAAATGAGACAATATACAAATAAATCACACTGAAGAGTTCCATAATTACGAATTTTCAATCGTAGAGGACGTTTACATGCCATCAAAATCAATAAGTAAACAATGCACATTAATTAAAAGTCCGATTACAAACATGGCAATTTAATTACTTTCTGTTGAAGCGAAAGTCCATATCCAGGTCCCAGCATCGATATGAATTATATATCCTCATCGAGTGAACAATTCAATATTCGTATTTTCGCTGCTCTCAATGAATACTTGATGGCATCGCAAATTGTGCAGCAAATTGCCGGCGAACGAGTTCATTTATTGCCCCTGCCAATCGATTGGGAAAGGTCAATGCGACACTTTGACGGATCCGACAGACAGTGGGTTACCACCCACGACCAATAAATCCAATTTCAGCTATATCTAACCGCAAAACTAGGGAAGGAAAAAGAGGTCACTTGACTGAAGGTAGTAAGGATTCAGTATTTTATCATGGAATGAACTTATAACCTATAAATACATTTTTATCAGTATTTGAATGAATGAGAGACAAGTCATTGGGGATTCCAACCTACTTTCATTTCGCATTACAATTAATTTTAATCAGAAGCCATCTGAAATTGATAACACATCAATCATGTTTGCGTTTTCCCTGGGGCTTTTATCTTCCATCGAATAGCCAGTCCTGATTTTGACTTCATTGTATTTCGAGGACTTTATGGCTGGGATGTCCATCAATGTTTTCGTGTTTTCGCTGATTTCATTATGAAATCCGCTGTTGTTTTTCGCAATTTTGTGCCGCAAACAAACAACTCAGAGAATGTGAGGGACCCCCAGCAGAAAAAGAGAGAGAACCGCGGCCGGGGAAATTACAAATTTCATCGCGTGCTAATCGCATTACGTCAATGAGGCAATTGATAAATGCTGGGGAATCGAATCGGAATCTGACTTATTGTCATCGAAGTTGAACTTGTTGACGGAGCTGCTGACCTTTGGGTGTTTATTCAGGCGTAATTGTGCGTCGAACTGGCGGAGAGAGCGAGTAAACAACTTGCTGAGATATGATATAGGGTATTAGATACTCGACTTTAGGTTACCTGGTACTCAAAATCACTTGCGGGAGTGTTTGCTAATGATTAAAATTACAATTTAATGCACTACAACCTTATCAGCTCTATTAAGGTGTTTACAAATATTACTCAAAATGAGTACTTAAAGTTTATAAGCTTTGTAATCAAAGGTTTGATGTATTACACTCTGATTGCTTTGGGTAATAAAATGTAGATGATCAGTCCTTATATATGTCAAGCCTTTCTTCATGTGTAATTAATCAATAAAATTGTTGTCATTTACTACACTTAGCAAAAAACATGATAACTTTGATTACAAACTAAAGATCTTTATTAACGTAATACAAACTGCTAGCTAAAAATCATTATATAAATATTTTCTTTAAAATATTCTATACAGCAAAATCAATATTTTTTTACAATAACAAAAGTCTGGATTCAATTTGATTTTGTTTATTATCCATTGTTATTATTTAATTTATTCTCCCTAAAAGAAATAATATTCATACCCAATCTAAAAATACCGATTCTAAAGAGAGTCCGTGTAAGAGAGCTTATTGACATTGATAATGAGCACAAGAATCAAAGAGAGTGGCGGCCAAGGTAAAAGTTCTACTCTCGAGCTCTCTTCGGAGGCTTCTCCCACACCAGATACTCTCCCAGTAGCTGTGGTGGTTCTTTGCTCGCCCGTCCGCTCCACTCGCAGTTAATCGCGGAACGGAGACGCAGTGGTTTCGACTCGAGCAGTTTGGATTAGATCGGTTTGCATTGATGAGCTAATTAGATGCAGCAATTGTTCGCGGAAACAACATTGAACCAGAAGTAGTCACAGCTAAAAAACAGGAATGCCACTGACCAATTTGCCAAATGTAAGTTCTAGCTGCGCTTCTTCGGCGGCTGACACGTGTTGATTTTGCAATTGGGCTTAAGCGTTTGAGCGGAAGAGCAAAAAGAGAGTGAGCCAGAGGCGGCTTAATGGGGGTGGTTTTGGATACAACCCATAAAGATGATAAATATATACATACTTGGATGAGAAATAACTAAAAGTCTCTCTGAGTTACAGCGAAGAAATCCCCCTTAACCCCTAATGAACCCACCTTTGGAGAAAGAGTTCCCAACTTATTGTTCTCTCTGTATTCTTTTCTTCTTGCAGTCTCCGTCGCTTTTGAAGCGCGCCGGCACGGAAAAGTTGCGAGAGGTGTTCCAAAAGTACGCCTCCATCCAAAAGAATGGCGAGCACTATATGACCAGCGAGGACTTCGTGCGCAAGTTCCTAGGACTCTTTTCGGAAGCTGCATTTAATGACGTAAGTAGTGGGCGTTTGCTGCACCCGCGGGTCATTGCAAGGTTATTTTGCATAGTCTGGCCGATAAGACCGGCAGCCATATCTTATCGGCAGATAACTCCCTCGTGAGGGGCGGCACATAGTAACTTATAAACATAAATCAGTGGCATAACTCCCGTTCTGATTCACCGGTTGACCTTGACCCACCCGCAAACAAATATCAAACTAAATAACCCGGCAGTCACTTGGCTGCCTCGTGTCTAACCGCCAACGTCACAGATTCTATTTTAATGGGTCCGCTTATCAGCTTTATGGTCTGAGAACCGAACTGAACCTGATTGTAGATCGTAGGTGCCCCCGCAAATTGGAACTGATTCAATCAGGTGCCGAAGTCTGTGGGGCAGTTTCTTTACGGCCCTCGTTTAGAGAGTAACTACCGGTCTAATGTTCAATTAATAGAGATTAACTTGTCAGTGGCAAAAGTATCACAAGTAATAACTTTCAAACAAATTCTAAAGGTTTTTACTTTCTCATATATAGTATTTTGTTATCTTATCACTACTTTCATATTGTTTGTTGAAAATAAATGTCATCATTCATCTGGAAATGATCATTACATCTACCTTTGTTAAACCGAGTATAAAACCAACTTTTATTTAAATTCGATTTTCTGATTAGGAATCGGTGCGCCTGCTGGCAAACATTGCGGACACGAGCAAGGATGGGCTCATCTCGTTCTCGGAGTTCCAGGCCTTCGAGGGTCTGCTCTGCACTCCAGATGCCCTCTACAGGACTGCTTTCCAGCTGTTCGACCGTAAGGGCAACGGCACTGTTTCCTATGGTAAGCAAAACCTTAAGGAATAAACCTCTTAAACGTTAAAACTAAACAAGACTCATCTATCTTCCAGCTGACTTTGCTGATGTCGTACAAAAAACTGAACTGCACTCAAAGATACCTTTTAGCTTAGATGGCCCCTTTATCAAGCGCTACTTTGGTGATGTAAGTGGAATGCAGTCTCATAAATACATTTAATACATTTTCTATAATCTAATCATTATTTTTTCCAACTTTCAGAAGAAGCAACGCCTTATCAACTATGCTGAGTTCACGCAGCTGCTGCACGACTTCCACGAGGAGCACGCGATGGAGGCTTTCCGCAGCAAGGATCCAGCTGGCACTGGATTCATCTCCCCCTTGGACTTCCAAGACATAATCGTTAATGTTAAGCGGCATTTACTGACCCCTGGTGTCAAGGACAACCTTGTCTCGGTAGCTATCTTCGGTCCTCCTGATATGATTATGCTTCTAAAGATCGCTTTTAATGCATTCAGGTCACTGAGGGTCACAAGGTGAGCTTCCCGTATTTCATCGCATTTACCTCGCTGCTGAACAACATGGAACTGATCAAACAAGTCTACCTGCATGCCACCGAAGGCAGTCGCACGGATATGATCACCAAGGACCAGATCCTGTACGCCGCCCAGACGATGAGCCAAATCACTCCGCTGGAGATCGATATCCTTTTCCATCTGGCGGGAGCTGTCCATCAAGCTGGGTGAGTTTTCACATAGAGAAGTCATTGGGTTCAGTGTTGCCAACTTTGGATTTAAATTAGCAAAACTTATACATTTATTTATTTTAAATAGCCTTTGAAAATGAGGTATTCATTTGCTAATTATTTGTATTTTTAGTAGATTTATTATAGTTCAAGATTTAAGGAGTTTGCACAGCGTTTTTCTGCTCATGGTACTGATTTGTGCTTCATTTCGTAGAAGTAGACGTTACGGTAGTCAAAGAACCATTTCTCAATATTTTTCATAGACTTCTGGATTAAAAGCTCAGGGCAGTACTTTGTAGAAGCAGAAATATAATCTTTAAGAGCTCAAAAGCTTCTGAAGCATGTAAATATATATATTGAATGGTTATTTTTCACATAGTAATAGTGATGAGAACAAAATATAATCAGTTGTAGTTAGACTGCTATTACATATCTATGTTTTACTGAGAATAATAGCTTGTAAATATATAGCTTAAACTTAGTTTACAGCTCTTATGAGTCAGTCCGATAGTTTTTTAGCAACTTAGAGTTATCGCTGAAAGTGCATGCGTATCCCAGGGGAATCCCCAAGAAGAGTGTCAAGTGTTTTGTGCTAATTTTTGCTTGTTTGTATCTTTTCTCTCTCTGTGTTTCTCTTTATTTCTCCATTTCTCTGCGCTGCACTCGCAATTCTCATTCAAAGCTGGTGGAAGCGCAGGAGAAAGATAACTCCGAGTAGGCAAGTGATCTCGTCCTTCCCTGGGCTGATTTGAGCTTTTTTTATTCGTTTCTGATTCCAATCCACGAGTTCCCGAACCCCGAACCTAACCCAGTTGGTGTCTCTTAGTTCCCCTTTTGTTAAACATATAAAAAGGATTTAGCAGCTAATATTATCCTTGCACTGCGATTCCTCAGCCGCATCGACTACAGTGACCTGAGCAACATTGCCCCCGAGCATTATACCAAGCATATGACTCATCGCCTGGCGGAGATCAAGGCGGTTGAGAGTCCCGCTGACCGATCTGCCTTCATCATGGTTCTGGAGAGCTCTTATCGTTTCACCCTCGGATCCTTTGCAGGCGGTAAGTTAAGATCTGAAACTAATCAGATACGATACTTACAAACCATATCATATATCCTCAGCTGTGGGCGCCACTGTGGTCTACCCCATCGATCTAGTCAAGACTCGGATGCAGAACCAGCGAGCGGGCTCGTATATCGGTGAAGTTGCCTACCGGAACTCATGGGATTGTTTCAAGAAGGTAACCTATGCTCACAAATATTCCGAGAGTAGAGTATAATCCTTCTCTTTTAACATCCAAGGTTGTTCGTCACGAGGGTTTCATGGGTCTCTACAGAGGTCTGCTTCCCCAACTGATGGGAGTGGCTCCTGAGAAAGCCATCAAGTTGACGGTCAACGATTTGGTGAGGGACAAACTCACCGACAAGAAGGGCAACATTCCCACCTGGGCGGAGGTTCTGGCTGGAGGTTGTGCAGGTGCCTCACAGGTGGTCTTCACCAATCCCCTGGAGATTGTAAAGATCCGACTGCAGGTGGCAGGAGAAATCGCCAGTGGGAGCAAGATCCGTGCCTGGTCGGTGGTGCGGGAACTGGGACTCTTTGGCCTCTATAAGGGAGCCAGGGCCTGTCTTCTTCGCGATGTGCCCTTCTCGGCCATCTATTTCCCAACATACGCCCACACCAAGGCCATGATGGCCGACAAGGACGGCTACAACCACCCACTTACTTTGTTGGCCGCTGGTGCGATTGCCGGTGTTCCGGCCGCCTCGCTCGTCACGCCCGCCGACGTTATCAAGACCCGCCTCCAAGTGGTGGCCCGATCTGGACAGACCACCTACAATGGAGTCTGGGATGCCACCAAGAAGATCATGGCCGAGGAGGGACCAAGGGCCTTCTGGAAGGGCACAGCAGGTTAGTTAGATTTTTCTCCCTTATAAATATTTTATAATATCTTTGACTATTCTTCTCAGCACGTGTGTTCCGGTCATCGCCACAGTTTGGTGTGACCCTGGTGACGTACGAACTGCTGCAGCGACTCTTCTACGTCGACTTTGGAGGCACTCAACCTAAGGGATCAGAGGCGCACAAGATCACCACTCCGCTGGAAAAGGCAGCGGCGTCGGTGAGCACCGAGAACTTGGACCACATCGGTGGCTACCGAGCGGCTGTTCCTCTTCTGGCCGGAGTGGAGTCCAAGTTCGGATTGTACCTGCCTCGATTTGCACGCGGAGTAGCCGCTGCCACGCCCTCGACGGCCACGGGCTCCTGATTGTACTGGCGCCACCGCCTGCCAAGCGCCACGTAGTCAGAGAGATGCGATGTGATGGCAGGATTGGGGGCTCCGGATCAACTGAGATGAGATATATTTTTTGCTAGGACGCGTTTACACAAAATACACACAGAAGCACTGAAGATATTTCTAACGAGGATCAGGGAGGAGCAGCGCCGTATCTATAGTACTATTGTATCTGAACAGCAGGGTTCGAACCCTGAGCACCTGGCTCTGAGCAACTGTTTTTACCACACTCCCAAAAACGAAACCAACTAAAAAACAAAAAGTGTAGGAACCCATTAAAAAAGATAAAGATAAAGTTTAGAATCGATTTTGGCGATGGTGCATATATATTTAGGCAAGTGTAGAACTGTTTTTTGTAAACTTTGTTAACTAGTTTAAAGTCTAGAGCAACAACCAATCACTGAACGTCAACTTTTGCACTCAATGTAACTATTAAAGCGAAACCTTTTAATCTTAGTACGAATTTGTTCAAAACAATTATCAAGCAAAGGAAATGCAATGAATGACCTCTTAGCTAATAAAGAATAAATAAATAAAACTCAATGTTAAAAACAATTAATCTGACAGGAAATTATTACTTTGCATTGGGGGTTAAAATGGTTTTCCACAATATTTCTTCAACCTTTTCAAATCTCTTACAAAATGATTTAGAAAACGAAGTCATACCCAAAGTAATTTTACCTACTCCCATTCGAACTGACCCACAGATGACGGGGTCCGCCCCTTGAAAGCTGCTTGCCAACTCAATCGAGCGTCTAATTCATGGCCAATTGCCACTGAACATTGAACAGGGTCGAAACGCATCTGATTAGAATTGTGCGTTCGTGGCCATTTGCAAATCGATGTTGACAAGTTAATTTTAGGCACTGCCCATTTGGTTTTCTGGGTTGCCCAGACTCGGTTTCGAAGTCAGCAACTGTCTGCCGACCATGACCGCTAAGGGAAACCGTTAGGGATCCGAGAAGAAGGTCTTCACATCTGCCCCAATGACCGGGTGCACTGGACGAGATCGGTCGCCGATCACTGATCAGCAATGGGTTATAAAAACTGCATCGATAGAAGCTTATTTGATGCAGTTTCATTTTGGTTTTCGAAGGGTGAACAATGCGAGTTGAGTCGTGTCTGGTTGTATTGCTACTTGGAGTGATCCTCAGTGATCGTTTTGCTGCTGGAGAGGATCAGGCTGATAAATCATGGATAACCCAGCTGAGGAAGCTACGAACAGATCTTCGAGACTGCTATCAATCGGGAGCATCACAAAGTCTCTGGTCTTGCTTCCGCTCAAGGAGTTTGCACATCTTCGAGGGCATCATGTCCTCTCCGGAGATTTCAATCTACGATGGAGTACGCCTGGTAGCTGCTTCTAATGTTACGGGGAACTCTTCAAGCCCTCAGGATGAGCGGAAAGACTTAAAGCACTTAACCTGGTTTGATCAGTTGGCAGTGAGTCTGGCCAAGGGCTTAACCACCCACACTTTGCAAGTGAACTTGGGAAAACTAACCGAACGGTATTTGAGTAGCGGTGGGTTCCGCCTAAATTTCACCCTTTTCTTTAATAATTAAAGATCTTTTTTCGTAGAGACTTCTTCTAACGACCCTGTGGGAAGTGCCCGACTGAGAAGACATCGTTATAACATGATTATAACCATGATGTTTGGTGTGACTGCTTTGGGAGCTATCTTGGTACCAATGGGCTTCCAAATGCTGTCCATAGTAAGCGGCAAAGCTCTATTATTAGCCAAGATGGCCCTGCTCTTAGCCTCTATTAATGGATTAAAGAGGGTAAGAGAATGTCAGAGTTTAAGGATAACTTAACCCTCACACCTTTCCCCCAATTACTCACAGGTAGCCAACAATGGACTGCATTATGGACTCTACCATGTACCAGGAGAGCATTTAGGTGGTTACTATGACCGAGGAGATGTAAGCCATCCTAGAAATGTGCCCATTCCAGTAGCTGTAGCTCCGACCTTGGATGTAGGATTGAAATGAGAATATTTTAAAGTTAGAAGTTAGAATTCTTTCCATTACAGCTGACCACATAACAACCAAATTATTTAAAAACTAATAAATGTTGAATAAAAGTCCTTAGAATAAACGAATATTTTTTAATTTAAGAAAAATGTATTTATATTTTAGACGCAAAAGAGCACATTTAAAGTTCCACGTTTACTTAACATTAAGATACATTTTGTAAGATTCGTTTTCAAAGTAAATAAAATCCGGTTTCCACTTGAATAAACTTTTCACCTCAGCTTTTTTAGCCTGGCAATGCCCAAGAAAACTCACCACAAAAGCTGATTGTGGTGAATAACCAAACAGCGGCAAGTATTTCAAAAAGTAAAACCGAAATTGAAGTGAAATAATATAAAGTCGCAAATAAAATGAGATAATAGTTTTCAAGAAGAAGAACCCAAAGAAAAGTCTAAAGAAAATTGACAGCAACTCACAGTCAATAAGCTGCTCAAGACCTCAAGGGAAAAACACGAAAAAAAGTGTCAGGAAAACCAAGAACTAAACGGGTCGCCTGGCTATAAAAGGAAATGCGGCGCTGATAAGGACCAACACTCGGTCGACGAGCGGCAGCGTTGACGCATCGTCCTTGTTTTCGCCCTGCAACGGTTTCTTGATTTATTTTTCCTTGTAAAAAAAAATAAACGGTTTCCCGGCGCAATTTCAAACCCGCATCAAGTATACGCAACGTGTGCCTAGTAAGCATCGCGTGCCTCCGTCGCTAATTCCACGCTCTAATGAAGTTATAGGGTGCGTGATTCCTGCTCTAATCTCTGGTCAGGCCAAAGGATCAAAAGAAGGCGCTCCGGAACTCGACGGTTAATTGAAAACTCGCCTCGCACTTCAAAAACTTAATCTCAATCTCCCCGCGGGGATTGGTCCTTTTACGCCTAGGTTTCGGGTATCGAAAGTCGCTATGAAATTGGTCGTGTATCTTTATTTGTCCATGATTGTGCTGGGCGTGCAGGTGAGTGTTGAGTTAGGAGTTAATACACAAGGGTACAATTTTATTAAATTATCATTTAAAAGGTTTAAAAACTATATAGTAAAAAGGTTAAGTTTAAAATATCAAAGACTTCTAGAGTCTAGAGTATAATAAAGAGCTTTGGCAAATGGTTAACTGCTATATATAGAAGTTAATGTATGAAGGCAAAGTTCTTACATAAAAATCATTTGAAAAGAAACAATCAGAAATCAGCCTTTATTTTCGAAATGTAAGAAAATATGTGAATAATCATTATCTGTGTTAGATATAGTCAACTGAGGAAATGAACTATTTTTCCCTGTGCATCAATAGGTGACAAAGTCACGCGTGTAATTCCTTGTAATTCGATCAACAAGTTGGGCCAACTTTTGTTTCCATGCTGTTCTAATGACTTGATCTAATTTCTTTCGGCCGAGATTTCTGGCCTGATTGATTGGTTGAAGCTTTCGGCGTTATTGGCGAACTTTTTGGCAGCCTTTCAGTTTCGGCTTATGCTAGAACAGATTACCTTCATTAGGCTCACGTTGCAAACTTCGCTGGTAATCAATTTATGGAAGTCCAAGCAGGTCAGCGGGTCAGAGTTGCCGCCCCGTCGCAAATGAATATTTAATTCGATTTGGTAATGCCCCAATCGGGTGAAAGTTTCCCGTGACATTTGGTTGCAGCCGAAACAAAAATAGAACTCGTGCTGACAAATCAGCTAATTATGATTGAGACTCCTGCAAGATAGATGGATAAAATAGCAGTCGCCAAAAATACCCAATCGAATCCATCTTTCCCGGTAGCGAGTAGAGTCGAATTGGCATGGCTGATGGCACGGGAAAGTAATCATTGATGTACTACTCAGATACGCAGCTCCTTCATTTAAAAATATTTACCTTTCTTTGACAAAAAAAATATATTAAAACAGTTCAAGAAAGCAGCATATGTCATGTACGCCTGCCAAAGACAGAAGCCATTTGGATATGAAAATATTCGAAAGTGTTGGCCGATTAGGGTTCTATTTTTCATTCCTGGTCCCTGCCATCCATCACTTGCAGAACCTGCGATCTGTTTGCTTAATGGCAACATTGTGGGCCAAGCTAGGAAGCCATGATGTTGGGAATCCACTTCAATGGCCAAGGATGAATGTAAATTTCGCACCTGCCATTGAGCCGTGGGCGGTGGCAAAAACCAAACAGTCACAGGCAGTGCAAGCCTGACCGGAAAACCCCACGATTTGAAGGCAAGGCAATTGCAATGGAACTGAAACTGAAACTGCAACTGACTCATTCCTTGTATGGTCACTCACATTAGACATGGACGAGATTTTCCTATGCTCTCCTGCGCTTCCCCCACCCCCTGCCCCCTTTTCAACCCCCACAAATCCACTTCCTGCTCGATTGCCAGAGAGTCCTGCACTTGATGTGCGCTTTATGTTGACACCGACGCTTTGGCACTTTACAGCCATTTAAGCCAGGACATGACAGCCACACCCCTGCTGTCCCATTTCCGTCCGCATTTTCCTGTTTTTCCTCGATTTTCCCGCCGCGAAGCTTCGCCTTTCACTCGGGCAACATGTGAGAACGACAACAATTAAACCATGAATGTCAACGGGTGCAACAGAGGGAAAACGAGTTGCGGTGCGGCAAAGACATAAAATATAAGCTTCAACATTCAGAGGTGACCTCTAATTGCAGCAGCCACAAATGGGCTACTCAGGTGAATCTGGCAGGGACTTAGCTCTTTATTCGTTCTAATTTCCCTACGTTTTCTATGGGCAACCTAGAATATAAACACTGAAAAGTGGAGTCTTTAAAAGTCCCACGCATATTGTTATCTTTTCTTTGCTTGGTGTAATTGAGTCTGCTATAGAGGGAAAGCCAACCTCATCTCTTATGCTTCAATATCTATCCAAATATGGTTCTGGGATCCCTCTAATTTCCATAAATTTCCCTCATCATGTAGCAGCAGCCGCGCGAAATTTATGCCATCTATTCAATTCCGTTCTGCCAGAACTCTTGCATAAATCTCGAATGCAATATGTTCGATAAAAATCGAGGAGCAGAGGAAGCCCAAGCATTTAGGGCAGAACTAATTTCCGTTTTGGGAACATACGCGCATCTTTTCATCCTTAAACTCAGCTGCAGTTTAGATACAAACTGAAAAGCCAAGACTGACGTCAAATTGAGGGGACAAAAATAACTTTTTGGCCAAATTGCATTTAACGGTTCATTTGCGGTTGCGCGAAATTAATTAAATGATTTAAGCCAATGACACCTCTCACTGCTCGTTCAACAGTGCGTATGCGTAATCGAATTCATTTGCGGCTTTCGCTGATAATCCTTGGATTTTCGCTTGATGGCTATGAGCTCTGACAAATGCCGAGCTTAACTTTTAATCGCAAAGTTGAATGAGTTGCTGACGCAAATTAAGCGATTGTTTGGATGGGCAAAAAAAAATTGGAAATAAATAAGAGAGAAGGCTCATAATTTAGCCACCGGAGTTTGGCCTGGTTTCCTGGGGACCCAAGGGACTTCTTTTTCTTAATAAGTCCTTCCGTTCGCTGCTCATTTCGTGGCCATTCATTTGACTTAATTCCGACTTGAGCAATGCTTAGTTGGCAGTATTCCTTTAGCATCCGGCATTATGCGCATATTAGAGCCATCATCACTCAGTGAGACGAATCCTTTCAGGACGATTCCTCGAGTGAGTTTTTCGCTGCCCTTAAAGGCGTCTAAATATTTGATGGTCGAGTGGCAGCCTGTTGCTTTGCCGGACTTGGGCAAGTGCATCACTTATTCATGGCCAGGAATCCGCCATTCTTCTCTTAAAGCCATATCCTTTGAAGCTGTCTCATAACTTAGTCATTCCGCCACCCAAGATTCCCCATCCAGCTGCAAGTGTTTGCTTTCGCTGAAGGATTACCACCGGATCTCCTGCCGCGATCCCAAAAGTCAATATTTACCTGACCCCCGAAAGGATTCGAATTTCCCCAGGTGCTTCCTTCCGCCGCCAAAAGTTCAGCTTAGGTGTCGCCGTCATCTGCCAAGCGAACTTTTAATCAAGTCACAAATATTGCTGGCATCTTAATTCCTGGCAGTGGCATGTGAGGACCTGATTCGCATATCCCTGGCTAATTAGCGGCTTCTGGAGCGCCGGGAACAAAGGAATCTCCCGCCTACATCGACCTTGAGGCTGGATTCTCCCACCTCCCGTTATCTGAACATCCTGAATAGCTGTGAAAAGTACTGGAATTGAGTTACTCACCGAACAACAGGCTCATTAATCAATTCACGCGACCACGGAGCTGCCAAAATATGAATGAACATTTTAAAATAGAACAGGCCAAAGTAAAAACAACTAATTGAATATTCTGGCTTTTTAATGACAGCATTCTATAAGTTATTCCATTAAGAATTCGAGCCAGGCCTTCGAAAATAGAAAGGAATTCCTAATGGATTCGGGATTCAAGAAACATTTATATGGCCACTTAAGTCTTTAAACATATAATCTTATATAATGACAGTAAAAATACATCGTTTCATAGCCAATAAAAGCAGGAATGCAAGTTCATTGGAAGTGAAAGAGTGCAAATGTGCTGGCTTGTGGGATTTCTTTGAAGGATTGTCACAATGCCCATAGAAGTTTTCTCTTTCTGACGTCCCCTTGTCGCCCGCCCACAAAGTTCGAGCTACTTTCATTGAATCCTCGGATCTCCGTGGCAACTTTCGGATAGCAATCCAGGTCCCAATGGAACCTTTTGATGGAGCAGCTGGCGCATCCTGCGACTCGCTTAGTTTGACAAAAGGCGTCCAGCGTGATTCTCGCCCACATTTCACCCTCTTAGAAGTCCAAAATCCGATGGCAGCATTGTGATTATGCAAATCAGGCCGCTGCCAAGTGTGTTCAAAGGGATCATGTTTATTATTTATTTACTGCCTCTGCCTGTTGACAGTTTATCCAGACTCTCTGGAATCCTTCGATTCCCGACCAAAGATTTGTGACGCAAGGGTGGCAATCATTTTTTTAGGCATATCCTTTTGGTGAGACCAGGGATTAAAGTTGCTTTGGCATGAACCGCCACTAATTGACAGTTCCATAACGCCCGGACGACTCGTTAAAGCCAAAGCTCGAGTGTTGCGCAAACAAATGCCGAATAACGAAAGCCAAAACTTTTTGGCCTTAACTCAATTATTTGGGCCCGCGGCCAATGCGTCACCATTTATCAATTTCCCAGCGGGCTTGGTGCGATTTCAATTAACAGGAAAATCTGAAAAAAGTTACCACTAATCAATCATAAAATGAGAAAGAGGAGAGCACAAAAAAATTTGGGACGAAGGTTGAGTTTGCTTTTCTTGATAAAAAGTTTTAACTTTGCCCCCGATTTGTCATGCTTAAAATTTCCCTGACCCCTTGGAGGAATATATATACAAAGTCTTTAGCTGGGCACGTTCGGAGCGTCATCTGCTCGATTCTTGTTTATTGGAGAATCGTGTGTGGTAGTTTAATTAAAACTGGCTATTGTCCTCTGTCCCGGATGACCTCTTGGCCCCCATCCAAGCCTCTGCAGTTGCATTGTGGGCTGAGCCCTAAGTGCCGCATTAGCTGCCCCCCGCGACGATTTCTTTCTTTGGACACAACTACAGAAGTCGGCGGGCATTAGTCGCGGAGGACATCCCGCTGATCCTTTGGCCAGGACATGCCCCATCGCGGGTTTCCCCCTCTTCTGGTCTCGATGTCTGTCTTTTGTGCGGAGTGTATGGAGCAGAAGGAGCTGGCTGACTGCTCCTGATCTGACTCAGTTTCACATTCAGTTGCAGTCAGCCAGAGGGGAGCTCTCACTAAAATAAATACATTCGGAAAAAGTTTTATTAAAAATGGCAAGGCTTAAAAAGAAGTTAAATTAAATATTGCCAACAACAGTAAAAGAAATATATGTACTTTTAAAATTATAAATTTAAATCCCATTCCCTTAGATATTTTAGAATTTAAACTTAATTTTACAAACGCCTTGCCTAAAACGCCTTTTCATCATAATTAAGCATCACTTTCTCCGAGTGCACTGGCTTACTTTCTCTGCAATTTATGTTCCAGGCCTGGCCCAGTGTGAAGCGGTCCTTTGAGCTCTTCCCCAACCCTGCAGTGCCGCACAATGTGCACACGGTCTCAGGTAAGTTAAGATTCTCATGTGCCGTGAAGAGAGGAAAACTCTTCAGCCAAGTGCCCTCGGCGGAAAATGGGAAATGCACTTTGGCGGCAGCGACAAGTTTAAAGCGCTTTCTAAACCTTGTTTACTTGTCTCTCAAATTGATTTCTGCATAACTTGTAAGCGCTTCTTGTAATACCCCATCCCAGCTCATGGTACCCGGGGCGTATGCGCAATTTGTACAACCAGGCAACACGAATTTATTGCCCATTAAAATTCAAATCAAACTGGAGTGCACTTCCCGTATCTGTGTTTCCCTTCGCCCCCTCCCTTGGCGAAACTGACCCAAACTGTCCAAATGGAAACGGAAGATTACAAACTTGTGGTCACTCAATGGCCATAGAGCAGAAATATTGTGATTCCGGCGAAAGAAAACTTAATAAATTTCATGGATAGCCAGCAACTTGTGCCAACTTCAATTGACTTAATCCCATAGCCGCCCAACCGCCCAGATTTTCCATCCATTTTCCTTTTTCCCAGGGGAAAGTCGTCAAAGCAACCGCATGTCAGGTCTCACAAAATGGAAAGTTGCATCACTCTCAAAATCTCGGTATCAGGTGAAACATCAACAAATCTGTGGCTATGCCAATTTATAATTGCTTTTATTTATAGTCAGGGAAACTTTAACCTGGTGTGGGAGGTTGGTGTACCTGGGGGGTTGGGTCAGCTTAATGACGTCACATCCACAAATAGAAATTCCATTTCGAAGGACAAATGAAAAACAACTCTAATCCAGGAATAAACAAAGCAGTCTCTTGATAGCATCGGTGTTTGGCAGATATAAAAATGTTTCAATTTTGAATAAATTTGATGATTTGAGAGATTTAAATGCTCTTAAAACATCTCTTTACCTTATATTTTATTTCATTTTTATTCAAGAGGAAATTCACTGGTTCAATGTGTGAATATTTTATTATTTCTCATCAACTACCAGCCACTTATGCTTATTAAAATTATGGCCTAGCCCATCAGCGGCCTAATCAATTATTAATAGACCGTTTTAATTGTCTTTTGCAATAAATGAATATATTAAAAGGCCAAAAAAGGCACCACTTGAAAGCAATTAGCAAGTGTCATAAACAAATAGGCGCCTCCGCTTACCGACTCTTCCCATCCTTCCAGCACCCTATTCCCCATCAAGGGATTCACGTACGAGTACATCCCACAAAGCCCACACGAGTACATTCCGAGTATGTGACATGCATGCCAAGAATGGGACAAAAAATAAGTCAAATAGTAGTTTAATTGTTTTTGGGCCTGGTCTGGGAGATGGAGATGGAGATGCCGCAGAGCGAGAGGTCATAAAAAGCAGCCAACATATCGTATTTGAGTGGGTGACCCGGCTAATAATGCCGGCCATAAATCAGCCAACGATGGCCGGCATTAAGTGGATGCGCATGATAAATTAATTGTTGCCCAGGAGCCAAGTTAGAAACAATCAAAGGGGATTTCAATTGCCCGCCCCTAATCCCTCAATTCCTCCTGGATATGGATATCGTGGTGGAAATTTGCGAAGACAAATTGGTTTCAGATTCGGATGCGGATTCGGTTTTCGGCTGCTATTACTGCTCCAAGGCATCAAGTGCATTTCGTGCACGAGGAGAAATGCGGACTTTAAAATATTTAACGAATATTAAAGTCCTAAAATATAATCATAAATTATTGACTTAACAACGAACTTTTTAACGTAAAAGAACTTTTGTAGATTTCTATGACAGGGCTTTTATACTTAAAGACTTTACTTGTCCTATGAACCTGCCTTTTCGCTCAGTGTAAAGCCATTAAATCCAACCCCTTACTTTCACCCCCACTCTACCTAGATTGCATGCATGTGGCCTCCGAGGCAGGTGACTACATCTTCAAGAAGCTCAACCCTCTGAGTTCAGCCCTCAATCGGGAGGTGGCTCTGCTCGAGCTGGAGGCAGCAGGAGGAGTAGGAGGAGCAGCAGGAGTGGGAGTTGGAGTGGGTGTAGTGCCAGGGGAAGGAGCGGCAACTGGAACAGGAGCAGATGTCCAGGAACTGCAGCCCGAGGTCTGTGGACTTTATGTGATTGGGGAGCCAGACACAATTGTGGAGATTACAATGAAGCACTACGATGCGAACTGCGAGACAGGAGCCCTAATGGCGGTAAGTGCTTCAAAGTGTCACTAAATTATGCCCAATGTGACCCATTTTCCTGGATAGTTTGTTGATGGCTGGGAGCTGAATGGCGAGTACTTTCCGGGCATTAAAGATCACCATCGCCCTTTGGAGGAGCGTGTTTACGAGTTCTGCAACAACTACAGACAATGGTGGGTGCAGATTAGTTGATATCTTTGTATCTTCTTAGCACTTAATCCTTTAATATTCCAGGCCACGTGTCAGTAACAAGAAGTTCTTCCGGTCGAGTCAAAATGCCGCTTTGCTCCAATACCGCATTCCTGTGAGAGGTTCCTTTGTGGCCAATGTCCGATTCCACAAGATCACGCAACGTAAGTTCAGGGGTTCTTTACATTTGATATTTCATTATCCCATCCCCATTTCAGCCTGCAATGTTTTGGTACAGGACACGGCTGCTATGTACAAGATGACCAACTTTGGCCAGGCTCGCAACTGCACCATCTCGGCGCTCTTTCCGGCCGTGGTTTCTCTAGCCAGCTTGCGGATTGGCGGAAAGAGTGTGAGGGCCCAGCCAAAGGTCAACTATGATGTGGGTGCAACCTTTAAGTTTCCCTATCCTTAGTTAATATCCTGTCCCCCACTTAGTGTCAATTGCCCAGTGATCGACTAGAGATCGGAGGATCTTCGGGACTGGACCCCATTGGAATGGAGCAGGCCAGTGCCGTTTGCGGAGCCTCCAGTGATTTGGGACCCGAACAAGCCATGTTCTGCGGAGTGAGCACCGTGAGATTGGTGTCCTCCGGCCGCTTCCAGAACCAGGCGGCCATTGTCCTGCGAAAGGCCGAGGAGCAGGACCTGGACATCGCCACGCTCATCTGTGCGCTCTAAGCTAGTTAGGCGAGAGCTGGGACCCTGTCCAAAAATGTATATGTTTGTAAAAAAAATGAAAAAGAATCCAGAGCAGCGGACGACACCTCCCCGGACTCCATCGTAGTGCTTAAACTTAACTCTTAACTTAATCCAGCTAATTCGCAAAGTATTCGCTACCCGAGAGGCATCTTAGGTAATATATATATATGTATATCGAACATTCTGAGTGTTGACTACAAGAATCGTGTGTGTTTATTGTTGGTTTTTATTTATCTCCGGAGGTTTCGGGCATTCCTTTAGTAGTTTTATAACCCCCTTTATGGGGTGTGATTATCGCCATTGATATTATGTGTTAAGAATAGGCGGGGCCATTGATAAGACCTATCCAAGTACTTTAGATGCAGCTAACAGTGCCAGCAGAGACCCCAAGCTGAGGGCAGTCAATCCAGCAGCACCTCCACTGCCACCATCACCACCATTGTCATCCGTATCGGTCTCATTTTCCAGCTAAAAGGAAATCATGGCTTATAACAGATAAGTTATATAGGGTATTCCAAAGGATACTCACACTCTCCGCCAGGATGGCCTGCAGCTCCTTGCAGCGAGTTCGCTCCTGGTAGTTACTGGTGGCTATCCTGCAGATGGTCTTACTCAGGCAAGAGTCATCACAGCCTTCGGCCAACTTGGGGTCCGAGTTGGTGAACTTGTTCCGCCAGAACTTCCTCAGCAAACTTGGTTTCTCAGCCATTTCCACCAGCAAGCGATCGATTCCCGCAGGACTAGTGTCCTCGGTGTATTCCTTAGTGAACTGGTACTCCAAGGCCCATTGGGGCTGCTCGTCTGGCTTCAGATTGGCCTCAGTCAGGTTAAACGTGAAGGTGTGGTGATCTAGAACCTGCCAGTTGGTAGGATGCAGCTCATATAGCCTGTAGTTGGGATTCTTGTTCGAATAGGAGGTCAGACTACCGCCATTCCAGTTGACCACGGTGGCGTAACCCTCATCGGAGTAGTGCAGGTTCATCTCATCCTTGTGGGTGTGACCACTGAACACTCCAGTTATGATGCCATTGAATCGAGTGAGAACCCTATTGTACTCATTGGCCCAGCTGCTCCAGCAATCGCCATCGCCAGCGGGAATGTGGGTAAGGATGTGGACAGATTCACCCGCCTGTTCAGCCGCTAATAGAGTATCGTGGAACCACTGAAGCTGCTCCTGGATCAAGGTGGCATTGTAGAACAGCCACCAGTTGTAGAGATAGCAGTCCATGCTGTTGAGGGCCACAATGCGGTGTCCTTCACTCGGCGACACGGTGTAATATCCTCCCCGAAGGACAGTGTCCTTGGCCTCACTGGGCAACCACTTGGACCACAAGCTCCAAACGTGTTCATAGAGCCAATCAACTTTCAAGGCTGAGGGCACCTCATCATTGCCGAAACTGTAATGAATTTAATAAATGCGAAACAAATTTAAAATCATTGTTAAGTTTATTAATCTGAAATCAATGCTAATTCATACTTAAGTAATCCTAGGAAATAAGGGCGGTATTCCCTTGAATTTCCTAAAACTAAAGTGCATTGAACGCCTCATTGAAATTAGCTGCTTGACAGCTATAAAGTAATTAGTGTCCCCCAATCGCTTAAAAGCCGATCACTTTTAACTTTAGTAGATTAGTTTCGGCTAGTGGTAGTACCTAATTTCCAAATTGTATCAATCAGCCGTAGTAAATATTTACTATAGGGGGCCATATCAGGCTTTATGGGTTTGCAGTGGGGGAGCAATAGGAGGAAATTTTCACAATAAACTTTATCTAGGCGGAAAATACAGGAGTTCTTAAAGCGTATATTTAGCATCATCTATAATTGCGTAGACTAGAGCCTTCGCTTAAAAGGGTTCTAATTAAGGGTAGTAGTATTTACTATGGGTCCATATCGAACTTTATGACTTGTGGGAAGAGTTTTATTGTGGGAAAAACTGACAATAAACTTTATCTTGAAGGGAAATGCAGAAGTCAGAAGATATTGGTTAGTAAGTTTTAAGAAATTATAGGTCATATACCAATAAAGACTCCTAATTATGCGATGAAGTAAAAGAAACTCAATTCGATTGGGTGCTTGGGCGAAGTCTTTTATGACCTTTAGTTTTCTTGGTCTGTGGGTCAGAAATAATACTTGCTCTTTAAGGCGAAATAACCGAGAATTACCCAAGGCCAAGGCTTTTTTGCCCCAATTCAAGCCAATTTCGGACACGTTTGTTTGAACTTTTCCCATCCGGGTCATTAACTTAATCATATCGAGGGAGTGCAAATTACGAGTACTCACACGTTCGTTGGATGAGGTTCGTGGTTTCCGAGGCAAGGGTAGATGGGCGTATTTGGGAAGTACTCGGCCAGGAGGCCATCGATTTCGGACAGCATGTCCAGATTTCCCTGTTTGGTGGTGGACCAGACATTGTGGGGCGGCACGTCGCCAGTGTGGTATATCCACTCGATCTTGTGGTTATCCTTGATGTGTTCAAAGGCGCTTAAAATGAGATGTTTGGGGCAATCGCAATCACGGTAATCAGACCAGTAACCAGCTGCTGCCGAGGAGTCAGATCCTTCGGCCAAAGAGTTCCGACAGCACATGGGCTCATCGCAGGCTGCATTACTGCCCACGCTATACTCAGGATCATAATGGATGTCGGTGAGGTGCAGAACGAGGATATCCTCAGAGGTCTTGGCTGGCAAATTTGAGTTTGATTCGGTGGGCGAATCACCCTGGATGGTCAAGGTAAGATTGTACTCATCCTGTTTCACCTGGCAAATGGGAATGGGTAGCATTCCGCAGAACGACTGTGAACTTGCCACAGTTTCGTTCAGGATAAAGTCAAAAATAGGCCAGTTTAGCTCGAATAATCCGGAGCACACCTCCTGAGTGCTGATTGAAAAGTAATCGCAGAGTCCCAGAGCCAATTTCTTGGCCTCATCATCCCTTTGCGGCCCACTCAACTCTCCCTCGGTGAAAGTTCGAGCGAAAACATTAATGGTGGATCTGCAGAGGGTGCAGACGAAAAACTGATCCGCGGAACTCAATTCAGCCATGGATTCGGTGAAAATGGCCTTTTTGCTGTGACTATTCCGAAGATCCTTACCCAGTTGCTGAAGTCTCTCGGTCTCGATGCCAGTTCGATGATACTTCAGGTACTCACGGCTTATCTCTTCCGCCACGCTAGCTGTAAAGAGGCAATCAGGGATGTCAAAAACAGGTACTCGAAGCTGTCAGCTGGAAGTTATCTTTTGGCCAACTCCAAACAATTTCGACTTAGTGACTATCTGGCTACCTGATCCACGCCATTCATGATTTGATAGGCATTCTAATTCATAATGGAAAGCAATACTTAATCTATCCACTTAGCGAATCTCATATAAATATATGATAATATATATTTTAATATAAACTGAACGTGATTATTGATCGCTCTATTATGGACACAGAACTACACTTTTATGATTAATCCTTTGAGTACTAATCAAGAACAAAGATTTTCTTTTGCTCACTCGAATAGGTTTTAATGTTCTTTTAAGGATCTTCAACCCACCTGAGACGATGGCTGCAGCACGTTGCTCCTTGGTCAGGTTATCGGCAACGTTCGGAAGGCTGAATGCCCCGCACCCGACGAGCAGGATGGCGATCCCCACTACAGCTATGCTCCAGATCAACTTCATGGCGAAACTGTGTAAAGGATTGGAGACCAGCCCCTACTTATAGCCTAATATCATCGCTATCAGCTTAGCCGCTTATCAGAAAAAGTGATATCGCTTCGGTAAAATGCCAGCGGTCATCAGCCCATACTAATTTAAGTTCGAGGACAGATTTCTTCGGCTGCTAATCGGTATTAGAGTCCTCATATAAGTATAAGTATATAAGCAAATAAATTTTCGAAAGAGTAATACATCTTTTTCAGTTTTTCACATTACTGGAATAGTTTTTTGAAGTACGTTTTAAGCACCTGTTCAAATGAGTTCTGTATTTTTAGATTATTCAAAAATATTACTTTTTACCCTGTACTAATATACTATATATTTTCTTTTTGAACTAAGTTTATATTATATATATTTTAATGTTTACATTACCAATATTTTTTAAGTGTAAATGAGTGACTAAGATTGTGGCGTGATCCCCAACATTCGATCACGATTCTCCACTTAATCGGTCCGTCGTAAATCATTACCAAAATAAAACTCTGTTGCACGTGCTTACATTTATCCGCGTGTTGAAAATCGGCCATTTTCTTGGCCATAAACCTGTAGCCAACGGCATGTTTTATGGAGAATGCTGCTAAATTGGCTAATTTGAGCTAATCGCCATTAGCAGATAAGGTAATCGACGGGAAAACAAAGTCCCCCCAACAAAAATCACCAGATTAGCTTCGATAGGGATAAGCGCGTACTTCTATTTGCCACTTGAGAGTGGTAACTTTTGGAATGGAATCCATTTGCTTATATAACTTAGGGGGTACAAATGAGGGTTTCTAGAAGCTAAGACGGATGGAGAGGACGATGGCCAGCAAGGAGCTGATGCTGAGCAGTCCCAAAGTGGAGGACCCGCCGCCTCCGTTGTCATCTTCATCACCTGGAGTGCTGCTGCTGGGTCCTGGAGTCGTGGGTTCATCGCCACCAGATGAGGTGTTTTCCTCGTTATCCAGCTAAAGGAGGAGGTTTTAGTTTCCGATCTACGGGATTTCATAAGAGTGACTTACAGAGGCAAACAGCTTTTCCCGCAGTTCCTCGCATCGTCCTGTCTGGGAATTGATGGTCACAGCAGCACGACACAAAGATCCTGCCAAGCAAGTGCGATCACATCCTCCATTCACCTGAGGATCTGCAGAGGTCACACGGAATCGCCAGTACTAAAAGATAAAAGGGTATTTATTAGTTAGTATAAAGAATATAGACTATATACGTGAAATGGATTCTTACCTTCCTCATCAGGGCGGGATTCTCGGCGAATTGATCGAGCAGTTTGTCAATGCCGGCAGGACTCGTGTCCTCGGTGAACTCCTTGATGAACTCGTACTCCAAGAACCACTCGGGCTGCTCATCCGGTTTCAGATTGGCATCCGTGAGATTGTAAATCCAAGTCCAATGGTTGGTTACAGTGAAGGTTTCGGGATTTACTGCGTACTCCCTGTAGTTGGGGTTCTTGTTGGAATAGGTGGTAACGGCACCACCGTTCCAGGCAACGGCCGTGGCATGTCCTCCTTCCTCCGAGTAGTAGACAAAGAGTTCATCCTTGTGCGAGTGTCCAGTGAAGATACCACTAATAGTGGAACTGAAGCGAGTGATGCAGCGGTTGAATTCTCGAGCCCACACAGACCAGCAGGTTCCGTCACCCGATGGAATGTGGGTCAGCACATGGACGTACTCGCCGGCCTTTTCGGCCTCCAAAAGGGTATCGTGGAACCACTGGAGTTGGGGAATCTTGTCCGTGCCGCTGTGATACAGCCAGAAGTTATCCGTATAGCAATCGTTGCTGTTCAGAGCGATGATACGGAAACCCTTCTTGGGCACCACTGTATAGTAACCTCCCTTGAGGATCGTCTCCTTGGTCTCTACGGGCAGCCACTTGGACCAGTCGTTGTACAGATGTTCGTAAAGCCACTTGGTGCTGATCTCATCTGGAACACCCTCGGGACTGAAGCTGCAATTTCAAAATTAAGATAGATTAGCACGTGTGGTTAAAAACATTGTAAATTATTGGGTGATATGCAAGAGGAAGTCAAAGATAAGGATTTAGTAGTACACTTATAACTCTGAGCTAATCTAAGATTAGGAATTAAAACTCAAGAAATCTATAAATAGACAGTATTGCTTATATAAAAAAAATATCAAATGCTTTCGACCAGTAAATGTAAATCTTAAAGATTCTTAAATAGTTTTTAATGGATTACTTACAGATTCAGAGGATGAGGCTCATGGTTTCCAATGCAGGGATAGACGGGAACATCACCAAAAGCCTCGTTGAGGCGCTGGCTGACCTTGGTCAGCACTTCAGTGTTCTTCTCCACAGAAGTGGCCCACACCATATGGTCCACAATATCTCCAGTTTGATATACATAATCGCATTTGGTGTTGGCCACTGCGTGATCCAGGGCGGATTCAAAGGCGTGCCACGGCAGATCACAGTCCCTGTAATCGCCCCAATATCCGGCAGCATCGCTGGTTCCCTCGGTTGTCTCCTTGTTCCTCTGGCAACACATGGGTTCCGCGCAGGTGGCCAGACTTCCGGGCGTGTATAAGGGATCGTGGTGGATATCAGTGAACTGGCAGATCCTGATATCAGACTCGCTATAGGTAGGGGTGTCGGACTTGGGGCCAGACAAGGCCTCTCCAGTATTGTCCACAGTCAGAGTCCAGTTGTAATCCGCATTCGAGCCGGCATTACAGAAGCTGTACTCCATGAACAGGGAGCAGAAGCTCTGGGAATCGCTCTCGGAGTTCCGCATGATGTACTCGACGGTGGGCAGGTTGGAATCAATCAGACCTTCACAGACCTCCTCCGTCTGCAGGTTCAGCCTACGGCACACATCCATGGCGAAATCCTTCATTAGAACCGAGCTATTCTCCCCGTGGAGTTCGCCGTCCTCATCGCGAATGGTGCGGATGAAAACCCGCATGACTGATCTGCAGGCTACGCACACAAAGAAGCTATCCCTGGGTTCCAGATCGGGCATGTTCCTGGTGAATATATCCTTCTGACTGTGTGACTTGGCCAGCTGATTAGTAAGCTTCAGGAACTCCGGCGTCTCCACTCCGGTCTTCAAATAGGTTATGTACTCCTTGGCTAGACGCTCAGATATATCATCTGCAATGGCGGACAGGATACTATCGTCCATATCGAAGTGTATGGGGACTCCGGGCAGGTTTACGGCGGAAACCACCAGAAGCCCGCAGGCCAAGGCGACCGCTAGCTGAATTCCGATTCCTCTCATGGTTCACAAACTGGAGCAACTGGAGCATAACTTCAATCGGTGGGGCCACTTATAGCCTCTGGTTATCTCTCCACCAGCTGGCCAATCCATTTAACGGTGAGATTAGCCTAATCACGAATATGCGAGCTTTTGTGTTTTTATATTAGGCTGAAGAAGTGGCCATAATCTGCCTCCGGTGGGGCAGATTTCAGATTACTCAATAATACATCGTAAAAATGCCGATTTTGGCAATTCACCATAAATTGCGATTAAGAATGTTATATTAAGCCATTATTAATAAGAACTTTAGCTACATATTTAATAAGTTTAGTTATACATAGGCTTAAGTTAAAATCATGAATTCCACAGAAGTGGATGTAGATGGTAAACACTACATTAATCCTATCTTATCACTTTCCCAAAATAAAATATAACAGATAAAGGCGCTAGCGATTCCAAAGAAATATCGATGTAGTGGTGTAAGAGATTTTTATGTCTTAGATTGATTTACTATTGTTTACAATTTGAACTCTAACATTTTAAGCGGTCAATATACTTTAGTGTGACCATGCTGCAGTACTTGTCAAACACCCCACCTCTTCCGGCGTCTCCGCCTGGTCCCACCAGCCCAGCCGTTGCATGGTCACATCGCCAAACGAGTGATTTATAAATATTCCAAGAGGCAGGGCGATAATTACTATTGAAGCAGCGTTGTAAGATGCCATCCGAAGTCCAGGACAGGCTGTGAGTGTTCAGGATCGGGCAGTGAACAGAAAGCACCCTCCCCTGGATTAGAACAAGGATAACTAGGCAGGATTACCAGTGTTTCGGGCCAGAAGCAACAACAAAAGACTGCCGAACAGTGACGCCATTTTCTGTGCGAATAAAGAGCAGGTGGGGCACACAAGAGATATACCCGATAAAGTGACATTATACCCACTAAGTACAGAGCCCAGCCAGGATGAGCAGCCTTATCAACTTTCTCAACCCAAAACTGAAGCCCTCTGTAGAGAGCGATGCCGTGTGCGAGGACGGATACACTGCGGCTAATCTGGTGGCTGACGACATCGAACAGCTGGAACGGGGATTCATGTGCTTCGCCGTTTGCAAGCCACCTATAGAAATCATTTTCGATTTTCCCAAGGCGGTGGACATGAAGGTCATCAAGTTGTGGCCCTCCTGCGGAGCCCTCAGATCCACTTCCTTCGAACTACATGGACGGCACGATGGCATTTGGGAAAGAGTGGCCTTTGTCCGGGACCTAGGACGTGGCGTGGATTCGGTAACCTTCTGCTACCAGAGCGACTACAACTCTCGCAGCAGTTCTAACTCGGAGCAAAGTGAGAAGGTTTTCTTCTTCAAATCCGCTCACAAGATTCTGGCGAACACTAATAGCGTTAAGGTAGTGATCCGGGCCACGGAGAAATGTCCTCCAGTTCTGCGCAAGGTTCAGATGTGGGGCCTACCCGCCCGATCCCTAGACAAAGCCGACCGGGAACTGGTAAAGAGTATCTGGAGCGAGATTAGCGATCCATACGGGCAGAGGGATGCCGCTCAGACACCCACCGGACAGAGGTCACCACCGCGTCATGTTCCAGAGCTCAGAGAGCAATCCTCACTCTCCATTCCAGAGGAGTTCCTAGATTCCATCACATGGGAGCTAATGGTAAGGAATATTTTGTGTTTAAAACTCCTTTTAATGGCAGACAAAATCTATTTTCTTGATTTCCTAATGTTGATCCACAAAAAGTATACATTTGCACTGAATGCCTAGTCATGAGTCAGCGTCAGCCATTTTGTCGATACCACTTCCGCAAGAAATGCATTGCAAGGTCGATTTAATCTGGTCATGTGCTCATAAGTGAAACGGGAACACGCCTGCATATCTTGGGAAGTCCTAGGAAATGAGGCGATATAATTTTTGTAATCTTTCTGATTCAGTTTCCATTTTGAAATCATATACGCACCTTTATCAATGTGTAACCAGGAAAATAACGAAACAGCAGTCATTCAACCAAGAAATATCAGTTCTTAAATCATTAGGCATGATTATTACCCTTCAGATATGATAAAAAAATTCAACGAAATCCTTTAAAACATGTTATTTCTTCGTGATTCAACTTGATTTCTTTCTCTTAGAAAATTTCATTGAATCATTATGGAAACTTTATTCACATTTCATTGTGATATTCCAGTAAAAAGATGACTTGTTCTGCCAAGGATTTCCCAATTCGTCATTATCAATCCTCTAACGCTGCCACTTTTCACTTTAGATCTTTCCCACCGTGTTGCCGTCTGGAAAAGTGGTGGACCAGTCAACAATCGACAAACACGCCGAGGAGGAGGCCAAGTGGGGCCGCCAGCCATCGGATCCCTTCACAGGCCTGGAATACACTGCACAGCGCAAAGCAATCCTCAATCTGGCATTGAAGGCGCGCATCGAGAAGTTCCTCATGGAGCATTCGGAGCACTTTAAGGCGGTGCCGCGTTCTCTTGGAACATCTCGTCTGCGTCGTCGCCATGCCTCGCAGTTCGCCAGCAGCACCTGCCAGCCGGGACAGATCAGTCCGGCTGCTGGAACCTATTCGGCACTGAGCAGCGCCTACAAGCAGCAGCAGCGGAAGAGCAGAGCTACAGCCACGGCCACTTCCTCATCGGCCGCATCCTTCGGAGGATCCCCGCACTCACCACCGGCGGCTAAGAGGGCGAGGCATAGCCATCATGGCAGCGCCTGTGCCACGGTGACCTCGGCTACAACCTCCATAGATCAGGCAATTCAGCAAGCGCTGCAAAAGGTCACTCGCTTCAGCCAGCTGGCAGCGAACTCGAGCGTGGGTTCCGGATCATCGAGTGCCCCTCCCGACAGCTGCATAAACTGTCGGAGTGCTCAGTTCGGCTACGAGATCCGCACCTGCCGCCATTTGGTCTGCCGGGAGTGCCTGGTGCTCCTCTCGCGCGACCAGCAGTGCGTTTGCAAAGTATTCTTCCGCGGAGCCGATGTGGAGCGGTATCATAAACTGGACCCTTAAGAGCTTCCCCGTACTTCTCCCGATCGAGCCTCCTCAGTCGATCGTCGCAATAAGTTTGGTTCGGCCCTTCGGTTCAGTTTGTAAGCCAGTCAATCGCTTTAGCCCCTAGGCCTCGTCTACGTTAGTTTATAGTCATATCAGAGTCGGTCTGGTCGCAGAGTCGCAGAGAAGCCAAAAGTGTACACGCGCGAGTCTTTCCCGATTCGGCAGTATGTATCAGTATCAGGTCACGTTTAGTCATAGAGCAGATTACGGATTACCGATTAGCAATAGAGAGTGCGCGCCTAGTTTTTGTAGACACTTTATATACAGTCCCCGAAAGACAGGATCGTTCAGCGCAGGTTTATATATTCATACCAATTATATTTAGAATAAAATACAATAAAACCCAATTCGATTGCGTAATCAATGTCAAAGTTATTTTTGTGGTTTGATATTTGCATTTTAAAATTATTTCCATATTTTTGTTAAGTTCAAAATGCCTCAAAACGTTTACATTTTAATGTAAGAAATTTACATTTTTTTAGCTTTCTATAAAAATGCATTTTACTTTTGTTTGAAATTTTTATAGATATTAAACATTCATTTTTATTGTGTTGCACCTCGTTTCACAAATAGTTCAATTTATTTTATAAATTATATAATGTATTTTTATACTTTGGCTCAATAAAAGCATATACAATAAAATATGTTTCTGTACTTAATTTGTATTGCTTACAAAGTCATGTTTCACATATTAAAGTACTAAAATAAATATATATTTTAAGTTCTTGAGTCTCCTAATAATTTGTTTGCTTGTTTTGTTGTTGATCTTATCTACATTATACATTTCAATAAGGCGCCCCCTTTTGCCTTTTATATGCGACTTAATTCTGAATCTGGGATATCGATAACAAACAGCTGGTCCCATTCCGCTTTATTTGTAAACATTTGAAAAACCTGCCGAATTTCGTAATTTTTTGATATTTTGATGTCCGATGAGGCAAATATCACTCCTCAATCCGGTCGGAGACCCCGTCTTGGATTGGGCAAACGAGGCTGTCAATCAACGCCCCTACTGCGTATTAAAAGGGAAGATTCAGCTGTGCACACACCAAATGAGAATTTGGAGACTCCAAGAGCTTTAGCTTTATCCCTGAGCTCCCGTAGGATAGGATTGTCCAAGAACAGATCGGAATTAACAAAAAAGAAACTGGAGTTTGCTGCAGTGCATGACACCAAGGATGAGGAGCCGAAGGTTACTAAGAAACCAGCCAAAAAGGGCAAAAAGAAAAGGGATTCTAAAGGAGGTTCCAACGAAAACAAGGGTGTTCAGGACCTGACAGAGAATAATAATCCTCAGAAGAATGAACTCGAAGAGGATCCTCAGTGCAGCAAAATTATAGAACTTCAGGGGGATATAGAAATCTGGCGTAAGGCTTTTATAGCCTCTGTGGACGATTTACTGACGCTGGCGGAGCCTGGACTCTCAAAGAAGGACCTCCTTTACCAGCTGGGCATTCCCTCCGAAATGCTACGTTATCTGGAGGAGGAATGACCTAAGTTAAACATAGTTTTCCATTAGATTTAACATTAATAAACTGTATTCCCATTGCAACAAAAAGGAAACTCAAAACTTTAAAAAAAACTAGTACTTGTGCGGACGAACGGGTCTCTCGGGATCGAAGAGCTTAGGGTCCTGCAGGAAGTCGAGGTCCTTATGATACCCTGGCATCAGCAGACACTGCTGGGCGCGCAGGATGGCCTGCTCTACTTGCTCCTGCCGACGCTTGCATAATCCGGTAATATGACGCCCATAAATGCGACCAGTGTATGGTGACTGGAATTGGGAAAGCAGCTTCACGTTCTTGTAGTGTGGCTCTATGCTGTGCTTGCAGAGGATGCACTGCTGAGGGTCCTTTTCGTAGGGATTCGTTATGTCAATTGGTAAATCCGAGTCAGAAGATTCCGGTGAAGCCGAGTAGAGACGGCTGGTGGCCCCAAATTGCTGTCTGCCCACTAGGTTTACAACAGTGGCTATAGATTACTTTATTAGTAGAGTTCTTATATTTTTACTGACTTTTTAACTCACCATTTTGTGCTAGAAATTTGCCTAGTTTCAACATTTTAATATGATAATATTACCAAAAAACAACTATTAAACAGTGTTGGTAAATGCAGTAAGGTAACATGTGTTCAGCAATCGATACATCGATTCGTTTATACTTTCGATAAAACTAGCATGTTGTTCGACGGTCACCCTACTGCTTAGAATATTAATGAAAACACAAAAATGAAACCGAGATCGCAGAAAACCCAAGGAAAAGCCAATGGAAAACCATTCAATGGCCCTGGCAAAGTGGCCCTCAACCATAAGCCCTATTTCAAGAACAAAAACAAGCAAAAGGCCAAAGGGGTAAGTGAAAAATCAATCGTACAGAGGAGGTATACACACATGTTTTACCAATATCTTCTCAGGATAAACCAAATAAACCCAATAAACCAGAGATCCGGAAAATGAAACGCCAGGAAAAGGCTTCTCAGGCAGCGGCGGAAAGAGAAAAAGTTCGTGCGGAGCGGGATGCCAAAGTAAAGGCCTACAAACAACAGCGTTTGGAGAAAACCAAGGCCATTAGCAAAAGAACACAAAAAGGGCAGCCTTTGATGAAGGATCGCATGCAGCTCCTTTTGAAGCAGATCGAAGAGATGAAGCGTCGTTAAGTGAGTCAAGGATCTTTTTACGACACACGGAACACTTGACACTAACCTCGATTTTTCCTAGGAGGCAAAAATATGATTACTTTTAAAGTAGGTTTACTTTATTTCTAGTTTAAATAAATTGTTTTCCACATTTACTTTAGTTTGGCACATATTTTATAAGTTGAATACATTAATGATTTGATCTAAACGCTTATCTTATTTTAAAATTTCTCTTCTAACGTTTAGCTATCTATTTTTTAAAGAAATCTGAGACAGTAGGCATTATTTCCTGAACAATTTTATTTTCAAAGCTGTTAGAAAGTCAAATTTAAAACTGATTTTTGTCAACATTACGCCTAGCCGACTCACAAATTTATTTAGAATGTAGTCAGATCACTTGATAATATGGAATAACTTTACAAAACTCTTAGCCGTATATTCGTCAAGTTTGAAGGCAAGGTCTAATTAAACTAAATTCTTATTCAGCTTCCCTTTGTATATAAGAAAAACTTTGAATTCATACATTTTTTTAAACTTTTATTGAAAAAAACCCCAAAAAACGGGGAAAAACATAAAGCTCTTAGTAAGAGATGCCGGTGTTGTCGCGGATCCAGTCCAAGTATCCGGTGACACGGCTGAAGACGGCAGGGTGACCGGACTGGCAGCCAGCGGCGGAGCCATAGGAGGTCACTCCGACCAGGCGGTTGCCCTCGTGTGTGACCAGGGGACCACCGGAGTCACCTCCGCAGGTGGACTTTCCTCCCTCAGTGTTGATGCAGATCATGTTGTCGTGGAGAGACCAGGTGCGGCTGCAGTCGCTCTGGGACATGATCTGGACATCGACGGCCTGGAGCCAGTCGGGCAGTGGGCTTCCATCGTAGGTACCGCCCCATCCGGAGGCAACAGCCCACCATCCGGCGTAGTCCTGGTAGCGATCGTTGTAGCTGGGGAGCTCAACCTTGTTTACCAAGCTCCAGAAGTCAACGTGGGGAGTGCGGATCAGGGAGATGTCGTTGTGCAGGTTGCCGCTGTTGTAGTGGTGGTGCTGGATGATGTCGCCGCTGCCGACCCAGTGGGTGTACTGGGGCTGGGTGCGGATGCTGGCTCCGTAGTTGATGGTCACTCCATTGGCATTGTTAGTGCAGTGAGCGGCGGTCAAGACCCAGGTGTTTCCGATGATGGAGCCACCGCACCACCAGTTTCCGTTGCCGCTGAACAGCAGACCAACGATGTAGGGCACCTTGCCCTCGTAGGCTGGGTAGCCGTTGGTAATGCGACCCTGAATGTCCTTAACAGGGACAGGGGTCAGCTTCTGCTCGGGAGCAGGGAGGGCATTGGCTGCGGCCACGGCCAGAGCCAGGAATACGAACAGTTTCATCTTGGATAGGTCTTTCAACTCATACTTTCCTCATTGCTTGGCCGCCCTTTTATACCGAAGCTAAGGCCTTATCAGGCCCAAGAACCACTGTTGGATGTCTGTAAGAATCTACGGTTGTATATTATGGCCAAGTTTTGGCATGACAAGTTTTGCAGGCTGATAAGTGAGTTTTTGCTGAAATTATGGCATGTACTTGGGCTGTTTTGGTAACTTTGGTTCCGAATAAACATCAAGCCCGAATTTCGTACTCCCCTTTCCCTAAATCTTAATATTTATCATTGTGCTTGCACTTACATCGTGACTATCAAATCGCAAATCAATTAAATTAAAGAAATCCTACAAATCTATTAAGAACTATCATAAATAACTTTTTATTTGTTTTGATAACAATTTTTTACTATCGAACCAGTAAGTCGGCAGTTGATAACAGTTTTCATTCAGTACATTCTACTTTCATTCAGCTTTACCGTGGAAATTCCTACAAGAATTAACACTCATTAAATGAATGCCGGGAAAAAATATCCTCTACAAGAAAGTGCTTCTTGGTTTTACCTATTAGATGGCCGTCAGCTGGGTGATGGACAGGGGGACCCACATGAACCATCCAGAACTTGCACTCAGGTTCCAGATGGACTTGCCGTAACTGTCTGTACACCCGGAAGTGCGACTACACTCTCCTCGCGAGGGCGGCCGGAAACAGGTGCTTCGGCAGGGACCAGTCTCTGCCGAAGGTCCTGGCGAATGGTAGTCGGGCGAAGAGAAGACAACTCTAGAAGATCACCCCAATCCAAGGCGGAACAGCCTGCGTCGAAGGATGTGTGGCCGAGGGGGAACTCGGTTCTAAGCAGGCGAACTCTGCGCACCTGTCGACCCGCAGTTTTAGTCCAGACTTCCTGCGGCATCTCGGGCTCTGCCGTGGGCGACCTCCTTTCCCGTGCACTCGTGGGAATCAAATGAATAGTTCAATAGTATATGAGTCAGATGCTGCTCCAGATGCATCACCCAACCAGAACCCTAAAGAACGCTCAGGTCCTGACTTTGTCAGGCTAAGGACTAAGCAAAGGAAGCTGCTGCGAAAGGCGCTCCGAGTAGGACTCACCAGAGAGAAGGCTTTAGTGATAGCACAAGCTGTTCCCATGGCTAAAGGACTCCTGCCTGCTCCTTATGGCATCCAGACCAGTAAACCCTACCCCTACTCTACTTTTCTTAAATGTGTTAAACTCGGTTTTGTTTCGGAGTCGGATGGAACACCCCTGACTACCGAGCAAATGTCCAAGATCAAGGAAGCCATCATCGACGTCGTCGTAGAGCAAGCCGGCAGCAAGAAGCCAAAGTTTGAAGAATGTGTGGATCGAAAAGGCTGGCTCCTTGTCATTTGTTCCAACTCTTCCACTGCAACATGGCTTAAACGAAATTTCTGTCACATTCAAAGCAAGTTAACTTTTAAACTAAAGTTATTGGAGGAGTCAAACCTTCCGAGGAAAAATGTGGTTTGCGGTTACTTTCCAGACAGCCTGTCCACAAGTAATGAAAAGGTCCTAGAAATCATAGCTGCCCAGAATGCAATCTCCACTGCAGAATGGAGGGTTATGAACCGACTGACCCAAGGTGATTATCTACAACTAGTCCTGACAGTGGACAATGAGTCACACCAGACACTGGTGAAGATGAACGGCATCATATCCTACCGATTCGGGAGCTTAAAGTTGAGTATAAAAAGCTCTTCGGTTAGAAAATCAGTTTTAGATGAAGAAGAGGAACCCTCGAATGAAGCACCTCCAGAAGAGACACCCCAAGTGCAAGGGGATGCTCAAAACACTGCTGTGACTGTATTTCAAAAACCACCTATTCAAAATAATGCCCGAATGAACTTCAATTATGGTCAATACTACTACCCATGGAACCAGAATGGAAATGCGTGGAATAATTACAATAATCTTTGGTACCAATGGCATCAGTGGAATCAACAGCAAATGTACAGGTATGATCCTTCTTACCCCAGGGATAATTCATGGAACTTTAGGCCTAATGGATTCTATGGACCAAATGCGTGTTATCAAAGTGACATGAGTGTTAGACCTCCACCTATGCCTTGAAAGAACTTAAGGATAAATCAAGTAAGTTGTTATTTTAAGGATACTTAAACATATATCTCTTATCATAGCTATTTGTGATTGTTATTAAACTCTTTGGACTAACAAGATTTATTTTCAGGAATTTTGTAGTTAAGGGTAAAACAGAGAACAGCAAAGTGACTCCGAGGATATGGCAACATGAGGTATTTAGAATTTTTAGTGAGTAGACATTCATACAGGACTCTTCCCACTTCCACTTCCGAAATGGACTCTTTTAACCTATAACACAAGACTTTTGCTTACAGCATCCGATACAATCCAAAACAGTAACACTGGTTACACTAAAAACAGAACAAGAACTCAGAAAGCATGCGGTCTTAAGCTGAAGTTCCTTGGCTAATGGTAATATAATGTAATTATGGGATGTGATTCTATGCAACAAGCCTCTCCTCAAAATCTAGAATTTGATTATAGAAAGACCAAAATGAGATGATGAGGGGTAGGTCTGTGCCATTGAAATCTGGCTAAAAAGTAAGGGGTTTTAATAAGTACGTGCCATAAAGCTCTCCTGGGTATTCGAATATCAACTTTTCCGTGCACGCTCCTTGCGCTAATTAAATCTAATGCAACCTGTAATAAATTCGCTTGTCGCACTTTTCCGGCCGTGCGAATCAACCCTTTTTTTCGCGAGTTCGCTTTGCATATTCTGGCGGCAAATTGCCCTGCTGCCATTCAGCCTTATCATCTACAGCATCCTGAATCCTGTACCTGCTGGAGTCACCCTTGTAGATCCTCCGATTCCCTCGCGATTTGGCGAACAAAGCAATTTGCTGGCAGCCACGCGATTCAATTTTCGCCAAAATATTCGGCATAATAGTAAAGTTTTATGCGAATTCCGCTGGCAGAACATCCGTTTCCGCCTTGAAAAACCAAGGGTTAGCTCTGGGTCACCTCCTTCCAACCATCTAGCCATCTAGCCATCCAACCATCCGCCACCCCTCACCTCACTTCAGATTGACAATCAGCATGCGGTCTCATATCCGCTGGAAGAGCAAACAAAAGCAGGGAAAACTTTCACTTATGCGATATTGCGAAACTATTGGGCTGCGCAACCCGTTGACACAAATCGCACTAAATCAAAAATTATACTTTGGCCAAATAAAACGAAAGGATGCCTCGCAGGAAGTCTCTACACCCTGTGGCCATAAATCTCATCTAGTCAAATATTGAATTACGCCGGATGAGGAAAGGGTTCGCTGGCGACTTGCAGATCCAATTTAGTGGGTCAGAAGGATATGGCACATCCCCTTGCCATAGCCACCACACCATATAGTGTGTGACATTTTCCCGGCCATTCCCGCTTTGTTCTGTTTATTTAATAAAAATTTGAAGTTATGAGTGCTCAAAGGGTCGTTTATGCGTCGATAATGAATAGTTATGGCCGTTCGAGGGGTCTGATCCGTAATGCTTTGTTTGGGTCGCTTATAATGCAATTTATGCATGTTTATGTTCGAGTAGTTATGGGCTGCTTGGGGTGACACAATGGGTTAAGAGCTCGCCATTCTTTATATTCCATTTTATTGACAAAAACACGCCCGTTGCCAATGAAAAACAAAACATACTTAGGTGAGTGAAACATACAATTTTAAAACTACATATTTAACTAATTTCAGGCGCTTAGAAAATACCTCCAAATCTCAGAACAACACCTACAAAATAATCTGTAATATCGGGAAATATTTTCAGTTTGCCTGCTTTACCACAAAAACCATCTAGAATAAACATATTTATACAAAAACAACATGACAAGATGTTTTAATTAAATACTCGCCTAGTTAATTCTCTTTAAAATATTATATTCCCTCAACATCAATACAGATTAATTACGGCTCAAGGTATATAAGCACCTATGAATAGCAACATCGATTCAGCTGTTTTGGGTTTTTCATAGAGCAGCCGGGGGTTCACTTTTCGATTCATCAACGAGCTCGCCTTTGGTAAAATCCAAGCTGATAAGAACCCCCGATGTCATGATCATCGGGACTTCGTTGTATTTACTCGAAATCTCAAACATTTAATCACGAGCCATCCCCGCCAAAGCTTCAGTCTTAATTCAACTCTCAGCTTAAGAGCAATACCCGCGGATTATATAACTATCGAAATGGAATACTTCAAGTTCTACTGGCTTCTGCTCGTAGTAATGCTCTTCGTTTGCCCGGAAAATGCCTACGCAGCTCCCAAAAGAAAATCCAAGCCAAGGTTCTCGCTTCCTAAGATCAACATAAATATCCACCATAATAGTAAGTACTTAAATATTGTTTTTAAGGGAATTAAACTTATTAATATATAACTTATTCCCATTTTAGATATCCGCATTGGCTAGTGGACTTAGTATTTAGTAGTTATAGTGTAGTTGAGTAGCTTAAAGATGATTACTTTAACTTAGTAACATGTTCAGCCATTATATGGTCTATTAAAATATATAAACTTACTTAATTTAAACTTATTAAACATCAAAAAATAAACAATAGCTGTGCTTACTAGCAATACATACCTAGCTACAGATTTTTCTTCATTTGCGATAAGAAGCTTCGGCAGCCAAGTAAATATTTGAAACACTTTCCAGCTGAAAATTAAGGAAACCTTGCAAAATGAAAGTAACTTAACTTATGTCTCTATAAGGAAATTCCTTAATTTCAAAGACTTAACCCTTCTCAACCCAAGAACAACGTTTAAATGCAAAACTTGTGCATAACTCACTGGCTTTCCAATCTTGTTAACGATTCGGTATGCTAATTAAATTCTTGCCAATGCAGGCAGGAAAAACAAGTGGCCCGAAAGGATGCCGAGGAAATTTTCACTTTCGCTGGTCTGAGATAGGAAAAAATCTGCCGGGAAATTAACACCCGACCCGTAAAAGGTTTCCCCCAGCAATTTGGAACTGATCCTGTGCCGCAAGAAGGACCAACTTTTGGCTGTGAATTTATGGGTATTCTGGTACAGTGGAGCTGGGGATGCAGTTGCTCTTATCTGGCTGAAATATTAACGGTTTAGGCTTAATTACAAATGGTGACGTTGCCCGAGGACTCCAAATTAACTGCCAGGACTTCGGCTTTTCTGAGGACATTGCTACGTAGATGGGGCAGCCATTAGGGTAATTATTTACAACAATTTCAAATTTTACACATGAACAAGCTGTGGCACAATCAAAAATGGCGCCACAAAATGTTTTGCATGCACTTTCCATGTTTCGTGTTTCGGTTTCAGTTTTGTTTGTTTCAGTTTTTGGCTTTTGGCTTTGTTTTTCAAGGGCTGCGGCTCATAAATTACGAAAGTGCGGGCTGTAAATCACAGGATCACCCCTTTTCCGTTCCGTGTGGCTCCCGGCGAATTGTCCATGTAAATTTCGAAATTTTCAACAATTTGCAACACTCTTTCTTTCTCTTTTTTTTTTTGTGTTTTGGCCAACGAACACGTGGCCAGAAACAAGGGGCGGGGGTAGTGTGAACAGAATCCTTTGAGGGCTGGTGCATAAATTTCAATTAAAATTGAAAAGCCATGAAAAATAAAATCCCCCACAGGGACCAAAGTGATAACCATGAAAAGTTTTTCCATGGACTGTTTGGGCTTTGGCGGGGGGGCATTTTAATTGTGGACAGCAGCAGGTGCAGGCATGCATGAAAGTGGCCCAGAACGGCGGACAGGGCCAACAGTTTTTCAATTAAAACTCGAAAATATTTCCAATAATTGCCGAATAAGTGAAACTTTGTCAAGCAGCCCCGAAAGGGTTGCAACATGCCTCCGAGGAATGTCAATGGAGTGTGGATTCTGGTCACTCTGATGGATGTCACACATCATCGATTAAAAGGGGGTAGACTGGACATCCTTCATGGGAAGGAATTCGTTCCTAAAAAAGTCTTTTTATATTTAATATTAACCCCTTAAAGTAAATCATTTTAAACTGAAATCCACAGTGGACAGTGCCCACTTCATCGACATATTTCACACTTCAGCAGATCGCAGTTTTTCCCAAGGCATCCATCATCCTATCCCCTCAGTCAGGACCCACTTCCGATACTCATCTGCAATCAGCTTTATTCCGGCGACAAATGTCAAAACTATAAGCTGACACTAAACCATTGAGGCACTTCAGCAGCTAACGGTAAACAGCTAGTAACAAACATCGAATACAAAATCCCCAACCCCTAAGTTACTAGACAATGAGGGTGACTGGTCACCCCTGTCCTGTCCGAAATTGCTCTTTAACTTGCAACAGCGAGCGGTTAACAAGCGACGCGTGCCGCATCCTGTTTTCACACGCCACAAAGCTCAAGTACAGTTGCCGCACAGTACAGTTTCGTCTAAGGGGCGGGACTGTACTGGTGACAACGCTACATAACCTCACAATGAGCCATGACATAATTCACTTCCTGCCGCATCATCAGCGAGGGACATCCCCAATAACTCGGTTTAAAGTCGCATAACTCTCGAATTAAAGTGACCATGCGACAATTTTCAATTTCCACATTGTCCATAAATCAAATTGCGTTTACAATGAGTTGGCCAGAGGGCATTCGCAGTGGAAACTGGGCGGGGTTAGGCACATGGGTGAGGGTTCAAAGTAGTACCTTTTGATGGGTTTATTGAAAAACTGTCCTGAATTTGTTGAGTTTCATGTACCCTGTGCTTGAAAGGGAACAATAGTTAAGAGATGAAGTTGGAAAACAATAACAAGGGGAAGGGGAGTTGGAAAACTAATAAATATTTTTCAAGAACACATTAAGAAGAGGTTAGCATATCGATGTAGCACTGTAACAAAATAGCATATAAAAAGATATAAGGGTATTTAAAACTTCGAATATCTCTGGAATCCTTCCCCCGTAATATGCTTGTTTTCAGGTTTTTTGTTCCTTGGTTTTTTGGGTGGTTCGGTGTTGACATACCAGAGATAAGCAGGCAGAGTAGGTCCTGTACCATGTGTCACAGTTATGAGCATCTGCAATCCAATTTAATCAGAGCTGTTGGCAAATGGCCCGCCTCTGACCGAATTTTGGGGCAAAAACACAGCAAATAATCGCATTAGGGCCTTCGGGAAAAACCCGCAGACAATGGCTATGTGGCATGTGTCAAAATTTTCACATCGATAAGAGAGATCTAAGGACCGCAGAGCACATGTGTGGGCCAATTTGAAACATGATTAGCAGCGAATCGGAGAGTGGCAAGTTTTGAAATTCAATTTTTAAATTGGCCCTGGAATTTTCCTCCCTAAGTAACCACCAAGGCACCAGCACCAAGGGATTTTGGGCTGGGCCATAAATCTGGAAAAAGTCTTAACATGTCAGCGACACTTTCCCCAAACAAGGTCCAACTTTATTCAAATGCCAGGAAGCAACAGGAAGGGCCTGACGAAGAATTCCGAGTCGGACTTTCTTAATGTCTACAAATTCCTTTCGGCAAATCCAATACAAAGCCCACTGACTTTGATTTATCACGGCGGGGCGTGGTATTTTTAATTTACAAGCCCGTGGAGTTGCCCCAAACCATCTCTTAACCCTTTGAGACCGCCTGTCTGCATAATTATGTCCGTGTGCCCGCAAATTTATGGACCTGCCAACGTCTTACTCCTGCAGCTCCTGGACTTTCACTTTGTCAAATGGGGTTTCCTTGTAATTGGCTTCGGTCTTGGTCTCTACTTAGTTGGGATTTGTTTGGCTCGGACTTATATGGTGGTCAAGTGGTCATCCGGACCTCGGTTGTTTATTAATTTGTGGTGGGATTTTACACAAATTTCTGATAGTTTCTAAAAACTGAGTGAGAAAATCATTCTAAGGACTCATCATAAACAAATTGCCTGACAAAACTTATTCCTCCACTTGAGAATTGAAACCCGCACTCCCGGGGAAAACCACAAATGATGACTGCATCAAGTGAGGTTGAGTTTGAGGGAACGGGGATGACAACAGCATGACAATCCTGAAGAGCAATTCCTGTAAAATTCTATGACTTCGTAACTAATTAGCGCAGCCCATAAAAACAATGAAGGCAGCGCAGAGAAAGGCGGGGAAAGTCACCCTCTTGGAAAACCCATCCTCACCACTTTCCTAATGAAGTTTGACGTGCTGATGTGCGGTGACGTTGACGAGGAGGAGGATTCCCAGGATTTTCAGGAGCGGAGAATTGGCAGTCAACAAGTGAAAGTCAGCCCGCGGTGAAACCCAATGATGATGCCCCTCAGGATGATGCTGTTTTGAGTTGTGAACTGTGACGAAGGACTTTGTTGAGGGGCCATAAAATGCATAAAAATTAAAAACGTGTTAAAATGCTCAAGAAAAACTCGCGCAATCTTTTTAATGAGCTCTTAATGAGGCTGCCGGACCAAATCAAGAAGCTAAAAAACAAGCAACCGAGCTGAACCGAAAATAATTTGCGTCTCGTTTGCTTGGTGGCGCAACTTAAAAAATCGTAAATTATGGACAAATTTTTAATGAAAAAAACTTCATTCCGGCATATGCTCCAGGTCGCCACCCCCTTTTCCAAGCCCCGGATTTTCGATCCATATCTGTGTGTGACTTTTGTTGCTGCCCATAAATTATGTAAATTTCCATTCGAAATTCAAAATTAAAAAAAAAATGTATAGAAATGGAATCCCGAATGGTGTATAAAAAACCGCTGTCCTGCTGGCTGTAATAAGGGTGAAAGGTCAGAGAGGGCTAGGGGGCGTGGCTGGTAAACATCATAAAAGTGAGAAATATGCCTCTTATTTTGTATTTTGTAATTTGTTTTGTAATTTTGCGCCTTTTTGTTCTGAAATATGAGTAAAAAATTGCCACATTTACCCAAAAACAAAAGCAGAGGGGGAAATGCGACGCCGGGTAAATGGATTTTTCATTCGATTTTTATTCCCTCACCACCGTTCGTGGGAATCCCCATTTCCCGGGCTTAACCCGCACTAAGTCTGCGAGTTTTCTTCCTTATTTTCCTTGATTCTCAACTGTACAAATTGAACGAGACAGGCTGCAAGTTTTCCAGGAAAAGATGCATAGATACGTAGATACTTTTCGGTATCGCATAAATTAAGGAGGCATTCGCGGAGGGACTGGGACTGGGAGTCAGACATATGCAAAGGCGTGACTACCGAGACTCAGGTGAAATTTATTGGAGCGAAGGAGTCCAACACGAACGTGCTACACTCAACTGCAGGGTTGATTAAATTGGAATTTAAGTTGTATCAACTAAGCTTTTAGACTTTTCTTATCAGTTTTAGGAGTATCTATAAGTATGCTACAAAATATTTTCAATCTGAAAGATAGATTACTTTAGTATTAAGAACTCTCCCTATTTACTGTATACTTTTAGTCAGCTTTACAACTTTAACAAACTAAAAATATATTTTATAAAATATAAAAGAATGTAAGAGATACTTTAAGTCTTTGTAGTCCAGTGTAATTAGCTGACGGCTGCTGTAAGAAGTCGACTGCAAGTTCTTTTCTGGCTGCGCTTAATTTTTAATGCGGGCCGTGAAATTTATTGGGCCGCCACAAATTTGAGTTAATCTGC